ACTGATTAAAAAAGTCCTTCTATGTTCCCCAGACAGGTTCGAAAACTCATCTCCTTTTTGTATGTATTGACTGTATTGTATTGTATTGTATTGTATTGTATTGTATTGTATAATATTGTATTGTATTTTATTGTAATAAACTATTTGCGATGGTTAAATAGATAGGTAAATTCTCACCGGACTACTGATGAAATACATGTGCAGCGTTCACCTATACGATAAGACTCACGCCGACCCCTTTCTTCACAACTTCATTTTTTCATTACAGTCATTCTTTTTGATTTCTTTAAAAAAGTTTAGAATGTTTTATTGTAAGTGGGAACATGAGAAAATTGTTTGGACTATGAAGTAAATATGAATTAGTATTATCGGCTCTCAGATGGAGCAAGTGGCATGGTTACCCCCTATCACACCAAACTAGTTCCCAATCGTTCTTTCCAGTCGTACAAAACTGTCGTAAAACTGGCTAAATCTGGCTGTGGTCGGAAAATATGTCTAAAATAATTACCTACTGCGTTCATAAACAGTCTTCAATACGTCTACACATTCATTCTACAATCAGAGCGAGTGACAACGTACTTAAGACGAGTTGGACGTACTAAGAACGGAACTGTTCTTCAATCCTACTGTATAGGGACGTCCACACACGCAAGTGCAATTGATATCCGATTGCACAACGTCGTAAACGCCTCACGAGTAGGGTCGAAATACGGAAATTACATTCCTATTCCTAGTCTAGTATGTCATCTCGTTTGAAGTACGCTGTCACATAATCTAATCACAGAACAGTATGGTCTGCATCGAATTTTGAAACGATTCAGAATTCAAAATTTCCTTCCCATCCGAGCACGTCCATAAGTTCATAAATACACCGTAACCGTACTATCACACCAAACTAGTTCTCACTACGTTCTCGAAAACGGGCTTCAACTGTGTACGAACGGACTGGACGTACTTAGAACCGTCTGGGGTCTATTTACAAGCTTCATCGAACGTACTCGAACGGGCTGGTCCTTTAGAACTTAGAACATGCTCAAAATGTTCTCGTGGTCGTCACGTTCTACAATTAGAACGAGTGACAACGTACTAACGACGAGCTGGACGTACTACGAACGGAACCGTCGTACTTCAATCCTACTAGGGACGTTTTTACAACTAGCTGAACTGTCTGAGGACGTATATTGAGAACGAGGTAGAACTAATTGCAAACGGATTTATACTGACAATGTACGTATTAAAGACTGCTTATGAACGAGTTAGCAAAAGTATAGCTATCACACCAAACAAGTTGCCACTGCGTTCTTCAAAACTGGTTTTAAACTGTGTGCGAACGGAATGAACGTAGCTGCAACTTTCTAAGTCTATTTACCCAGTCATGAATTGCCCCATTTTGTTATGCCATAGCTTATTATTCACTATGTGGTATTCATGCCACATTCATTCTACATGGCCCTGCACATAGGTTCCACCAAGTGCTACATGTACATACTTTCTCCTCCTCTCGTCCCAGTCGTTTACTTGACAGCAAACAACTGGTCTCTTGGCCATCTTTCATTTACATTCATTCAAGACGACATGAATTCAGTTATACCGAAGGATCATTGTATTTATCTATCTGATTTCTGTCAGTGACTACAGAAGGTCATTCATTCTTAAAAACAAAAAACACAATAGGGTGCCTTTCGAAACAATAGGATTACAAAGTATCTATGCATGGTGGTATGGTATTAAAACTGTATCAAAATTGGACATCTTATATTTATGTGATATCTCTTACGCATAGAATAGCGTTTAGCAGAATACATACACAATCCGTGTTTGTTCGAGTTTGCACACTCTATATTTGTTAAATCACACTTGTACACGCGTATTTGTGTACTATGCATTGTTTAAAAATGACATCGAACAGGGTGCACAAGTCGAACAAATGCTTTATGCGGCTCGCACAAACGTTTTTCCTTTCACAAACCATGATGTGCCGATCACACACCATGATGTACCGATCACACACCTTTATGTAACATAAATTGCTTTCTAGAGATGTTCGAGATTTTTCCTAAATCTCGCGTTACTTTTGCACTGAACGAAATAACACATCAGTCAACCGCATTCATGTTAATGACAAAAACAACAACAACAATGACTTAAAGGAATTTGTATACTTTCTATAAATGATTACTACAAGCAAGGTGCCCAAATTAAGCTAAATTATATATTTTTAACGGAGGCGCCATATTGCAGAAACCAGGAAGTAAATATCAGGTGACTTCAAATCTCCACCCTATGTGAAGTGCAACTTGTTATGTGACAGCCTATGCGAGCGGGAACCATCCTATGCGAGTTTGAACTCAATGCGTGTGTGAAATTGGCACGTTCGTTTGAAATTTACTTTGATCCATGTGTAATTCTTTCAGTATTCTATGCAACTTATAACACAATCCGTGTTACATTTCAATATTGCTTTTGGATTTTTGGAAAGTGATTGGAGTTAGTGCTAACTCTTTGTGTGACACTTGATACAACCAGTGCGTGTGTGAATGAAAATAAGCTATGTAAGAAAATTAACTGTTGGTATAACATGGATTGAAAATGGCATACGATGATGCGAGTTTCGCATATAATGATGCGTATTTCGCATAGTATGATGCGAATTTCGAATCATATAGTTCGAGTATCACATCATATAGTTCAATTTTCCCATGGATCATGTAATGTCCAATTTTGATACAAAATAAATTCCATATGGTGGATCTGCTTAGTGAAGGTTATTATGCTCAGACACAATGTAGTTTTATACTGACAAGTCAATTTAAGTGTATCTACAAAAATCAAGATTTTATTCAAGGTTTTGTGAAAATATTTGAAAATTATTCATTTTAAGAGTCAGAATGACATGTGTTAAGAATCGCGGTAAAAACAACTTTTTACCATATTCTTGTTTATGTTTGTTTATGTTTATTTATTATTTGAAATACACACAAAATACAATATATGAACTGGGTGACACTTTAAAAAGTGTATATTCCCAATATTAGGCAAAAAATAATACATGTGTGTTGTCATACGCAGTTCTAAATATTATTTTTGTGATTTGTTGAAAATATACTTCTTAAAGATTCATATTATATCAAAATAATCCTGGAATTTCAATTTACCCTTTTCAAAAAATTTCTAAGTCCTTATAAGTACGTCCAATCCGTTCGTACTTAATTTACACGCCCGGTGATCGTGAAAATGGGACGGAGGGGGGGAGCAGGCAATTTCTGCAAGAAAATTCAACAAATCTGAGAGATTTATTTTTTCAAGAAAAAGTTTACTATTGAATTGCTGAATTGATAGGCGCACGGTATGGTAAAATATGTTAGGTCTTCTGGGATTTTTTCTGAAATGATAGGCATCTAAGATATGAGATCTATTAAAAAAGGCGCGAGGCAACCAACAGACACAAATCAACGTTTTAGCTATAAATCAAGCAACAATGGTCTACACGACCTGTATTAAATACTTGTAAGTGACGATATCATAACTAAATTAATGCCATTGCTGAATTTATAAAATAAGTTTCAATACGTAAAATAAAAAATAATCGAAAATAATTATGGGACGGAGGGGGGGAGCAATATGTATCATGTCTTAATACATATTGCTCCCCCCCCTCCGTCCCAAAATTATTTTCAATTATTTTTTATTTCACCTATGGAAACTTATTTTACAAAGTCAGCAATAACATTAATTTTGTGACGATAATGTCACTTACAAGTATTTATTACAGGTCATATACACCATTGTTGCTTCATTTATAGCAACAACATTGACTTTTGCACGTTGGTGCGTTGCGCCTTTTTTAATAGATCTTATACCCTAAAAGAGTATCGGTTGAAAAAAAATCCTAGAATACCTAACATATTTTACAATACCGTGAGCCTATTTATTTAGCAATTCAATAGTAAACTTCTTCTTTAAAAAATAAATCTTCCAGATTTGTTGAAATTTCTAGCAGAAATTGCCTGCTCCCCCCCTCCGTCCCAATTCTACGATCACCGGGTGTGATTTAGGCCTGTTTTCGTGAACGTAGTGAGAACTAATTTGGTGTGATAGTAGGGTAACCGATCGGACAGTACCGTCTCCATTGAATTTTGAAGGAATAGGGTAGTTTTTATAAAGCTGAATGTATAATAGATGTCATCTTTGTGTATCTTCGCTTTGGTTGGGCCAGGCTGCCAAATTAAACTTGACATCTATCTACTGTAGCTTCAAAATCACATATAGAACTTTCAAGAAATTTCGCAAAACATCAATGGAGATTTGGCACAAATTTCTTAGAATGGTTTCAAGTCACGGAAAAGTCTCTTAAAATCTCACAACAAAACGAGAATTAGCGAGATTTCAAAGCTATATAAAAACTCCGATCCTCTATTACAATTTATGTTTATTTCAATATATTTACCATTAGCATGCATACATTACAACTTCTCAATCTAACCCTACTATCACACCAAACTAGTTTTCACTACGTTCTCGAAAACGGGCTTCAACAACGGACTGGACGTACTTAGAACCGTTTGGGGTCTATTTACAAACTTCATCGAACGTACTCGAATGGGTAGGTCCTCTAGAACTTAGAACATGCTCAAAATGTTCTCGTGGTCGACATGTTCTACAATTAGAACGAGTAGGCCAAAGAAATAAATTATGAGTTTAATAGTTCAACTGACCCTATGGGAAAATTTGGTATCATAGCAAAGCTCAGAGAATTGTCTATGTCGTGTGATAAATAATTTGTGTTGGAATAGGTGACGTTGTCGTGGAAACGGGCGTTGAACAAAAGATGTCCTTAATAAGAATAAAAAGTACAGCACCATTGCAAGGGATATCTGGTTAAGTCAATGTGCAACTTTGAAAGAATAAAAATAAAGGAATTGAAAGAATTTTAGTTTATCTTCAACATTTAACTCAAAATTATACACATTCTACTCTTTTTTGATTGTTGTGATGTCATAATGGTCTATTTTGAATGAAAAACAGTTGGTCTCATATGAAATTATTAACACCATTAGATTGTGTAATCACAATTGCTTACAAATGTTACCTTTATGTATATCAAATGAAAGCTACTGCTCTCACGATCATTTTGGTATATAAATTGTAAACATTGATAATTTACTCTCTGAGATATTATGATATAAGGTGATTTAAATTGTGGCCTGAGTTACAGAAATACTCAGCAGTTCGGCATTATCGCAAATGACAAAATATTGGCGAATTTCTACCATTGTATACATTCTTATTGATATCATAACTTTAGTAGGATTTTGACCCTATGAGAAAAGTTGGTATCAATGCAAAGCTTTGACAACTGTCTATGATGTGTGATATATGATTAGTGTTTAAACAGGTGCCGTTGCCATGGAAACGGGCGTTGAGCAATAGGTATCCTTAATAAGATTGAAATACGTATAGGAATGGGCATTTCCAGCTGCGCATCTCGTGCAAGGATTAAAATACCACCTTCTTGGAGAATGTTTCGGTACACAATGCACTGAGTCCAATGCTTCTTTTAATGTTGTCTAATCTTTTTTCATTTTGTGATTATATAATTTGTAGTACGTGTATATTACGTATTTGATCAAATGTGTGATAACAATAGCGATGATACCACCAAATACAACAAAAGAACACACAACCAGTGCTATTATATCAAGAAGGTAGTACTGGAAAACATTTAGCTCGTTTTCTGCATTAGACCTCAAATGATGTGCCCCTTTATGTTTGATGACATACTCTATCCAATACACAAGCTTCTTCTTTGGATCAATAGGCTGACTATGGTAGATATCAGCAGTTTTGTTTGCATTATGTTTATAGCGTTCATCATTGATCACCTCTTGCATAGCGTTCTTCAATTCTTCACTCGTCGTTTCTATTGGCATAACTGTTTTTCCAGACATTATTTTGTGAGTTAGTTTGTGGCAGTTAAAAGGCTGGTCCCAAAAGAATGGCAATCCAACAGTTGGTATACCATAATGCAATGCTTGGAATAACGCAGACGCTCCACAGTGTGTCACAAATAACTTTGTAGAGGGATGTGCCAAGAGACTCTCTTGGGGTATCCATTTGTTCACGATTGTGTTATTTCCGAGTCCTTTTGGCGGGGGGCCCTCATAGCTCCATATGACAGTCTGGGGCATTGCGGCGAAGGCAGTCGCAAACTTTTCTCTCATTTTAGGACTTAATCTACGAAGCGTAGATCCAAAACTAGCAACAATTATGCCTTGCTCTCCTGCTTCCTTTATGATATTTCTGTACTCTGTTTCTAAAGGTTCCGTTTCAGACTTTAAGAAAAACCCTTCAACAGATATGATATGTGGCATATACGGGGCAGGGTAATGGACGGCATCATTTCTATTCATCATGATCAATGATATGGTCTTGTATGCATCTCTTATGTTGTCACATGCATCACCATAACTATGTTCTCTGCAGATAGAGATGAACCGATTGTACATATCGTACCATGTCCACTTTATACGCCAAAACTCTACAACGTTCATGAACCGTTCTGTAAATGTCATTTCATCCGTGAACGTTGCAGGGAAAAAAGCATGAACATATGCCAGATTATATCGTGGAATGAAGTTGGGGTCAATTGACATTGGACCCCAGTTAGAGTAAACAATCATTGGTATGTTAAAATATGCAGAAACCAGTCTCGGAAAAAATACAGCGTCATCTGCAAAAATGAGATCAAATTTTGACGACGCTATTTTATTCCACATTTCCTTGTCTCTCAATGCGAATTCTAAGTTATCTTCATACACTTGTCCTACGATTTGAAGAAGGGTGGTATAGGGTCGATTTACCCATTTGTCGAGCCATTCCTGATTTGCAGTGGAGTCGACTGTATCCGGATTAAATTCGGGGGTCTTATAGTTTAAAACACTGAACTCAGATTCGAAGGTAGCGCCCTCTGCATGTTGAAACAGAGATTCTTTCTCCGTCCTATCTGACACGATCACAGTCACGTCATGGCCAGCTTGCAGTAAAATTCGCCCAATTCTTAGGACATTTCTCATTCGACTATTATAGCCTATACTATTAAGTGGGGCGAGAAGTATCCTACTGCTGTCAGAAAACGCCAACCAAAATATCATAACGAGCACAGCTTTGATCAAATCCATATTCCTTAACTTAAAGCCTTCAATGATGTTGCGACCTTACGCAAACAATGAATATTTGTAAGTTTTATTCTGGCGTATTTATAATCAAACCAGCCACCGTTTTTTACATGAATTAACATCCATTTATAATTTCAAACACCATTGAGACTGGAGTAACATATTCCATCAAGGTGTCTGCGCACACTAAAAGATTGCAAACATATTACCAACACTTGATATTGCGAGGGCAAAACAAGGTTATGTTTTGTTTAATTTATTCTTATCACCCCAAAATACTACTAGTAAACATGAACGGGTGATACTTTTAGCAAGTGTTTTATCTATATGGTTCACAATGACCCCTTTTTAATACATTGCTTACATCTAGCATTTTGACTCACCGAGGTACAAGCTTTGTGACCCCCCCTCCCACTACACACTTGCCTCCCCTGCGTGGAAAGGTGTGTAGTCAAGTAGTGGGAGGGGGTAACAGGGACTTGTACCCAAGACTACATTTTGACAAAAAATAGCAACTAGCGGAATCAATTGGTGAATGATCTTGCGTTTTCATACTAAAGTTTGTTTTTGAGTTTTTTCTTATAGTTTTATGTATTTAAAGTTATTTAAGAGACAGGGCCCTTTTTCTGAAGCCCTTTTTAGAAAAATAATTCAGATTACAGAGGATACCTGTTATTTCTGCTTTTTAACACAATTTTAATAGAAAATTCCAATTCCAAACTCCTTATCTCACTATAATTCACCAAGGGAGAATGGCAATTGAGCAACTAAACTTGGCACACAGTTAGATCCTATGATAAACTCTAATCTTAGGGCTTTGATTTTTTGTGATATCTTATATTTGCCTAGCAACCACATAGCAACCACCTAAAATAACATATTTTACAATATAAATTCACTTAATATATGCTAGGATGCTATAAGACCATTACAAAAAGTCTTCTTATCCTAAAATACAATAATTCAAACATATTTACAGAAGTGACATCACCATGTTGCATAGCAACAACATGGCAACAGGTTACAATGCCCATTTTGACATTTGCACACCATGTTCCTATTATATGTTCACTTCTTTTGGATCTCTTCCACATTATTTCTTAACATATAGCAAATGTATTGATGCAGTTATGTCTGACCATTTTCCCTAGCAACGGCTTGAGATAAAGGTTAAATTTGCCTAGCAACGACCCAGCAAGATCTTAAAATAGCAATGTTTCTCATAAGAATTTCACTATATATCCACTATATGACTTAAAGAAAATCAATATATATGTCTTTTGTAATTTATAAAGCTTTATAGTTGCTCACTTAAAAATCTTTAGTCTCTTGTGTAAAGCATGATGGGACATTTCTTGTTTTACGTATATCAAATTGCAATTCATGTTGCAGTTCTGATTCATCACATTGATACTTGATACATTTTCAGCATTGATACCCCTAAGATAATACTCTATTTTGGTGAATTGCTTCGATTTCCTTTACAGGTGCATAGTTCGATGCAGTAGAATGCACCATGGCATTAGCAGTTCCCTTTGCAGTCACATTTGGTGCAGTCACATTTAATTATGACTTTACATGCTATGGATGCTTGGGCAATATCTGGGCACCCACAATCCTGATGGGCTCCTAAACCATCCCCATAGGCTTGGTGAAGGAAAACTGTCACCTTGCTATGATGGTAAAATCCAGATGTGATATCAGTTCCAGTAAGGATGTGGAACATTGGCAGCCCACATGATCTTTGTGGTCCTAGTGCTCAAGCAAATTCATAAATTGGAATGTAGTGTTGAAAATGCTACATAGATCTCAATCTGTAGCTCAGAGGCACGGGCTATTAGGCTATAACAACATTACTGTCCATCGATCTTATCATAAATGTCCTGCAACCTTTTCCGACACCATGAGACACATCCAAAAACATATGTGTATCTGCCTCTTCCCGGTAGCAGGGACTATTATGGCATAATTAGCAGGATTACTGATGCACTCTCCTTCAATGGTTGAGACAAAGACTCTATCGTGTGCCATAATATGTCTTGTAACAGTTGCTAGTAGTGCAAAGAACTCTATATTGACCCTTTGAATTGCCTATGGACTTCGAGACTGGATTTTATCTATCCCACATCATTTGAGACTCAATACTCTATCTTTTATGAGTACAAGTATCTACAACTATTTTTGATGTTATGAGTATTGGCTATCAATTTTTCAATTTTTCTTCAACATGTATTGTAATGACTTAAGTATGAATGAAATGTCCCTTGGTGTTCTGGTCCTGGATCGTGATATTGGTTCTCGATTGGAGGGGGAGCGGGATGTTAGACATTGTTTCTTTTCACGTTAGACCATGGTTTTGGGATATATAGGGTCTACTTTTCTTATGACAGATTTACACTTACAGTTTGCTTTTCTTGTTGGGTTTCCTTAAAGTTTTTAGTCACCCTTCCCTTTTGGCATTTGTGCTTATATGTTGTTGTCATTGTTTCTGAGAAATCCTATCCTAGCACCAAACTACCAAGCAATATTGGCAAGACTTTAGCATCTCAAGTGGTAAAACTTGAAACTTTAAAATGAATGACTTGTATGTTTCAGCAAATCCCAGATAGGATTTTATGCTTTTCACAAGTATAGCCTTGACCTTACAATTTAATCAGTAAAATATGGTGTCTTGATTTAAAATCTATATACCAGTATTTTGAACACGCCCTGCTGGGATACATAAACCCCATATATTGGGTTCAGTAGAATATTACTATCCAAATGTGGAAAATTAACAATGTCATGAGGCAGATACATATATGTTTTTGCATGTGTCTCATGGTGTCGGAAAAGGTTGCAGGACATTTATGATAAGATCAATGGACAGTAATGTTATTGTGATAGCCTTAGCCTGTGCCTCCGAGCTACAGATTGAGGTCTATGTAGCATTTTCAAAATGCAAAACGTATCGCTACATTCCAGTTCATAAGATTGCTAGAGCACTAGGACCACAAAGATCATGTGCGCTGCCAATGTTCCACGCCCATACTGGAACTGATACCATGTCTGGATTTTACCATCAGAGTAAGGTGACAGTTTTCAAGCAATGGAACTTATGTAACTAGATAATGGCAACTCCGCGGAGTAGCAAATCCCAACGAACAAAATATCAATTACCGAATTCCAATCAATTATACTCATTACTTTGGTTAAAATTGAAAAATTTAGATTTTAGAATTGCGAATTCCTGCAAAGCAGCCATTTTGAATTTTCTGAGGTACAAATCTGAAAAATAATACAGTGTATTGTGATCTACTCCAAAATTCCTTCAATTTGAGTATTATATAGCCATACGTTGAAGGGATCAAAAAGTTATTGCGAAATCGTACAATAGGAAGGCCATTTTGAATTTTACGAGGCTCGAATCAGAAAAAAGATATAATATTTGCAATTTACTCTTAATTGCCTTTCATTTGAGTATAATAAAGCTATACTTCAGAAAGATCTAAAAATTAGCGAAAATTTCTGTTTTCCTGACCCCCCCCCCCCCATTCACGGGCCCCTGGGGGTCAGGATGAAAAACATGGAATATATGTGAAATAGATAGATGTTGCGAATATACTACCAAAATTTCAAACAATAATATTAATTACTTTGGTTTAGAATGAAAAATTTATGATTTTTGCGAAAAAGTCCCGTCATTTTTAAAGCGGCGGCCATCTTGTAAAAATCCATTTTGAATTTTCTGAGGTACAAATCTGACAAATAATACCATAATTGTGATCTACTCCAAAATTCCTTCAATTTGAGTAATATATAGCCATACTTTGAAGGGATCGAAAAATTATTGCGAAATCGTACATTAGACGGCCATTTTGAATTTTACGAGGCTCGAATCAGAAAAAAGATACAATATTTGCAATCTACTCTTAATTGCCTTTCATTTGAGTATAATAAAGCTATATTTCAGAAAGATCTAAAAATTAGCGAAGATTTCTGTTTTCCTGACCCCCCATACACGGCCCCTGGGGGTCAGGATGAAAAACACGGAATATATGTGAAATAGATAGATGTTGCGAATATACTACCAAAATTTCAAACAATAATATTAATTACTTTGGTTTAGAATGAAAAATTTATGATTTTTACGAAAAAGTCCCGTCATTTTTAAAGTAGCGGCCATCTTGAAAAAATATTTTTTTGCGTAAAACTTTTCATCAATATACATCTTTCCACCAAATATGAAGAAAATCCGTCAACTAATATTTGAGTTATCTTCCGGACGGACGGACGGACGGACGGACTGACTGACGGACGGAGGGCTTCACTATATCCCTACCGAACTTCGTTCGTTGGGATAATTATCTAACAGGTGTCCTTTTGACTCTAGTAGATCGCCCATCAACCGTAACAACAACAGAAGTTATGGGCACAATTGAGAGGTTCATTATCCTGGTTTACCAGCCTACAAACAGCGAGATAAATCTCGATACCATGCGCAGGCACATGTTCACTCATGACAGATGGATCCAGATAGAGTACCTCCAACATGAGATGCAGCACTCTATAATGCCATGCTCCAAGGAGCACATGTATGGGGGCAATGCCATATAGTGGATCCAGTTCTTTTTTAGGAGCGCATCAGGATTGTGCATACCCAGATGGACAATACTGTCGCAAGCATCCGAGGCATGTAAAGTCATAATTAAATGTGGATGCACCAAATGTGACTGCAAAGGGAACTGCAAATGCCACGATGCATTCTACTGCACCGAAACTATGCAACTGCAAAGGAAATTGTAGCAATTAACCCAAATAGAGTATTATCTTAGGGGTATTAATGCTGAAAATGTAACAAGGATAAATACAATGAATATTTTGTATTCACTTTATCTCAGAACCTAAACATGAATTGCAGGACTGTAATTTGATATGCATAAGACAAGAAATGTCCCATCATGCTTTACACAAGAGACTACAGATTTTTGAGTGTGGAGCAACAAAGCTTTATAAATTATTTTTATGAGAAACATTGCTATTTTAGGCTGTTGCTACGTCATTGCTAGGCAAATTTAAGCATTATTTTAAGCCGTTGCTAGGAAGTTGCTAGGGAAAATGGTCAGGCATAACTGCATCATTTATGCTTAACTACAATTTCTGTATGTTAAGAAATAATGTGGAAGGGATCCAAAAGCATGCAAGTGAGCATATAATAGAAACATGGTGTGCAAATGTCAAAATGGGCATTGTAACCTGTTGCCATGTTGTTGCTATGCAACATGGTGATGTCACTTCTGTAAATATGTTTGAATTATTGTATTTTAGGATAAGAAGACTTTTTGTAATGGTCTTATAGCATCCTAGCATATATTAAGTGGATTTATATTGTAAAATATGTTATTTTAGATGGTTACTATGTGGTTGCTAGGCAAATGTATGATTTCTTAAAAGATCAAACCCCTCAGATTAGAGCTCATCTTAGGGTCCAACTTTGTGCCAAGTTTGGTTGCTCAACTCCCATTCTCCATTGGTGAATTATAGTGAGGAAAGGAGTTTGAAATTTGAATTTTCTGTTCACATTGTGTTAAAAAGCAGTAATAATGGGTATCCTCTGTAATCTCAATTATTTTTCTAAAAAGGGCTTTAGAAAAAGGGCCCTGTCTCTAAAATGTCTTTAAATACATAGAACAATAAGAAAAAATTCCAAAACGAACTTTAGTATGAAAACGCAAGGTCCCTATGGGGGCCTTGCACCAATTGATTCCACTAAACCAAGAAATGCTGTGCCAGTGTAACACCTCACATAGAAAAGATTAGCTGATAACGAAGCAACTGAGTAGAAAAGGACGATTCTCGGTTTGGAGAACGAAGGTCATCAATCTAAATGAGCATTATCCCTGCTTCGGACAAATTTGATTTTTTACATAATATAGATTTGAATGTCTTCTTTTGAATAGTCATAATTTAATTTGGGTAATATTTCTAAATGTTTCGCAAAAAAATATTAGCGCAGTACACTGATGAACTTCTTTCCCCAAATCGAGACTTATATTTTTATTGAATCGGTCTAATTGAGCGTTACCCCTGCTTCAGACCAATTTGTTATTTTTACATCTTGTAGATTTAAATGTCCTCTTTTTAATATTCATAGTTTAATTTGGGTAATATTTCTATATTTTTCATAAAAAAAATTATTAGCCCAGGAGACTGTTCTCCAAACCGGAATCGTCCTTTAACAAGGTTAGATCCTAAATATGAGTTTATGGCAGTTTAACAGGTAGCTTCAAACCACTGCACAAACAATTTAATTCCCGGGTGTTTTACGCCTTTGAGTAACCTCGGGCGGGCCCGTGCTACACGAGTTCTATTCCTAACTCTAACAAGCCAAGGATGGAGAGTTTTGAGTTATTCTTGACTTGGGGCGGTGAATTAGTACGATCCAGATCCGATCCGGATAAATTTCGTCATGGTAATCCAAAAACTGTGGATTCGTACATTCCTGGGATTAATCTCAGGATAAATCTCAATCCACCTCTTGAGGTAGATTACTTTTTGGATAAATCCGAATTCCAATGCAAATTGGATAAATCTTGGGGATTCCCCCTCATAATCTTCGGATCGTACGAATTCACCAAATATTTCAGATTAGTAATCCAAGATTTATCCAAAAAGATAAAATTTATCCGGATTAGATTGGGATTGTAGGAGTTCACGGCCCCTAGAGTTAAGGATTGATGAAGGATGTACGGGGACAAAAATGAACTAAGAATCTCATTGGGACATAACACTAAACGTTGTTTCGTTGTTTTCATCATTATTAATTTATTTCTTAATTTATATCTGAATTTTTCACAAAGTCACAATTAAACATTTCCATTTGAAGTTTTATAAATATTAATATTCTAATGGATAATTATCATCATTGTCTTGATTTTTCATGTTTTCACGAGAATATTAAGTGATAATAAATAATCCACTATAATAAATAGATCCACTATGAACTATAACAAAAATCACACACAGGGGTACATGTGTAAATATCGCACTTGAAAAGCAAAACACCAATAATTGCCTCTATAAACCTTTCAGGTAAATCCGATGAATTATTCTGAAATTTTGACAAAATCAAGAAAATTTAAAATGGCCACAAGAAAATTCAAAATGGCCACCATGTAATGTGCCCAGAATGCCTACAAAGTTCATCAGACCTTGGCACTAGTTTGCTGTTACAATTGTAAATAAACAGTTTGAGTTAGAGAAATGGACAGTTTTCTGGATGACAAGATTTCTTGTGGTGCATTGCATATGCGGACACATGCAAGTCCCGTCGTCGTAGGAAAACCGATGTACGTCCATTAGCACATGACTATGATTAATATACACTGTAACACTTTACAAATGCGATAAAAACATTTTAATTTCATGAACAACTTCAATAACAATTTCTCAATCCAATAATAAATTGTCACTGAATTGTATGACACTACATTCAATGCTGAATAAAAAAAAATATTGCACTTGCCCGTTGTAATGTAAAATACGACACAGAGTGATAAATATCGCACTTTAAAGAGCAAAATGGCTGTCATTTGATTTAACAAACAAGCCCTAAAACCTAGATATCTATTCTTACAACTGAAAGAAATTTAAGTTAAATGGCTAACAATTTTCCTGGAATTTTGATGACAAGATATACAGTACATGATTTATGGTGCGCCCACCAACTCATCCAGACGCACAAAGGCCGATAAGCAAAAGAAGATATTGACAATATAGAACTTTTTCAAAGTGCAATAAAAATACTTGTTTCAAAGTGGTACATTTTTTTCAAATGAGGTTATATTAGTTAACAATAATATAGTCTTAATTTTGTTCTCAGTTTGATCAGTTTTAGTTGAAAAGCATCTGAATAAATATATACTTCTGTGATATTTTGGGGCCTGTTCACCATTTCTGCTTTATTTTTTCAATAACTGAGTCATAATGCTCTGATTTACACTTTTTGAAATTCTACCATTCTTGTTTGGACACACATGGTCAGTCATCACAAATGGCCATGAACCCCTACTGGAATGCACAATTTTCCCACAAAATATGATATCCCTTGGGTCTAATATTATCAAGAACAAATCTCTAATTGTCATTAGTTCTGAAGGAATGAACTTAACTTCATAAGATGCAGGCCCGTAGCCAGGGGGGGGGGGGCTTGGGGTTCGGGCGAACCCCCCCCCCCCCCTGGCCAAAATTTCTTTCAAAATCATGCAGTTTTTCACCATTCTGACTATTTTTTGAGAGATTTTTGGCCAAATTTGCCAAAGTGAACCCCCCCCTAGAATTTTTGGGAAAAGTGAACCCCCTTGGAAAATTCTGGCTACGGGCCTGAGATGAATGGCATATTTTCAATAATTTGTGAATTCGAAGACTAATAATTTTTGAAAATTTCAAATGACTGAAAAATCAATGATTTTAAATGAAGAAGGGGGTTTAAAACCACGAAGAAAACAACTTCATTTTTTCACAACTACTGACAACATCTCTTAATGTTCAATATTAATATTTTAGCCTTTGACTTACTATAGATTTATCAATATCATGTTTTACTTGATATAAAATTGAAAAAAATTGTATGGCAATAAACATATAAAATGAAATAAATACCCTAGTACTATACTATATATGCATGCTTTCTAATATATATACAGGGTGGTCCAAAAAAAGTGAACCCCTGCAACTGGCCATATTTCCCTTATTACTTGCAGGAATTATTTTTTATTTTCACATGTTGTAGAGGAAGGTCTAAAATTTATGTTGGTACCATACATTTTTCTTAGTCTTGAAATTTGCAGAAATCATAAGCCCTAACCAAACATTACTGAAAATGGACAAATTGTGATTTTCAATATCCGCGATTCTTCAACCCTTTAACACCTTTCCCCTGAGAATTTTTTAAGCTGCAGTCTTAAAGACCTAATATTTTCTGACTTTGTTCAATTTTAAATCTTGCATATTATGGCTTAAAACTAGCATCCTACATTTGTTAGTTGCAAAGTTATTGTGATCCAAAGAGATGTGCTAAGCTTCCACAGATGAAAACATTTCCAGTGAAATCATGAACATACCCCTATATGATCTTGAAATGTCAATATCTTCATAAATCATGGACCAATTCTAATGATATATGGCTCAAAACATTGAATATTGGATTTTCTTTTGATTTTTTAAAGATATTTGATGAAGAGATTATCAGATTCCTGGTCACAGGGGGCAACTTCCTTCCATAAGAAGCCCCCCTCTAACTGTTGGTGTAGGTAACATACCCCTGAACTGTTGAACAGTTAAAAATGCTTCAAAATGATCAATGAAAGTGTGAAATGTGTTTTCTGCTTGAATAGTGTCCCCTTTGTCATATGGTAGGGTTTTAAACTTGTATCTCTAACTGAAAGCTGTTTAACAAGATTTTTTTATTGTGTTTCAAACCAAACACTTGGTTTCCTCACAAAATCAATTACAAGACATTTACATATAATTATACAGTTAAAAAAACAACATGCATTGTTTCACAAATACCATCGTACAATCTTTCCTTTTTCAAATAGCTCCCGACGCTGATTAAAAAGTTTATTTATAAAATGTATCAATTCGTTAACAATTTCAAAATCATCAGAAGTCATCAAAAAGTTATATTTTTCTTCATCCGACATATTATCAAATGTGTCAATAAAACTTAGTTTATTAAAAAATTCAAATCTACATTTTTTATAGCCATCACACACAAGAAGAAAATGTTTTTCATCCTCTACTTCCCCCTTATTGCAAATCTGACAAATTCTTTCATTTATTTCAAGTCGATGCTGTTTAGTGCCATCTTTTTTCTTTTTCTCGTGTCTCCCTGTTTCAATTCTTAAATTATGGTTTGCTAATCTAAACCTGGCCATTTTAAAAATTAACATTTTGTTCACGCTTAATGTTAAATATCTTTCCAGATTGTAATCAATTTTTATATAATTTCCAAGTTTTCTATTTTCCCTTATGGCTCTATCATTAAGTTCTATATATTTTCTTTGCATTTCAAGTTTAATTGCTTTTAGTAATCGTTTTATTCCAAACGTACTCCCATTTTCAAAGACATGTTGAAAATGAAAGTACTTTAATATGCATTCCATATGTTTGACATATATGTTATTTTTATCCCGAAATGATATATTTATTAAGCTATCCGCGTTTGTTTGATGCACACATTTCAACCAATATTTTATGGAATATATAAGTGAGTCTATAGCTAATGGAAATCTTCCTAAATCTTTTTTGACGGCATAACTTGAAGTATATTTGTTAACCCCTAAAAGGAATTTGCAAAATTTATTGTGTATTTTTTCAGGAATAAAGTCTTCATAAGAACTCTCTAGTTTAAGGTCCCCTTGACTAATCCTTCTGTCAACTTTCAAGTGAAGCATTGACCAAAATTCACTTCCGTATAATAATATAGGCTTAACACACATGTCAAAGATTTTTGTGTGCAATTCTACATTGATAGTTGAAAACTTAAAATTTTGTCTCATCATAAAAATAACTTTCAACGCCTTCTTGCTTAATTCTGATATGCCATGTTTCAAACTCCCAGAGCTTTTTAAAACAAATCCCAAATATTTATATTCATTTACTTTTTCTATATTTATACTTCCAAATTTAAAATGACTGTGTTTTATTATTTTTCCTGATTTATTAAAAATCACAACTTTCGTTTTTTCAATATTAATGTTTAATTTCCATTTTGAACAATATGTTTTTAGTTTATCAAGACAGTATTGTAGTCCCTCATTTGTTTCTGATATCAAGACCAGATCATCCGCATATAAGAGTACATTTATTAACGTTTCATCATTACTACCGGTTTTGACAGGCTTACATTGGTCATCAAAAATATCTATTATGTCATTTATATATAAGTTGAAACATAAAGGACTGATTAAGCAGCCTTGTTTTAATCCTAATTTAGAGTGTATTGGACTTGTTAACCCGTTTTTAACAATTAACCCGTGTTTCAACAATTTCCGTGAATCACATTTGTAAAATTTTGTACAATATCTAATTTCCAGGCATGTTTGTTAAACGCTTGTAATTTTTTCAAAATTTAAGACTGAGAATAAATTATGGCATCAACCAAAATTTTAGACCTTTCTCTACAACATGTGATAATATGAGCCAATTCATGCATGTATTAAGAAATTTGTAGCCTGTTGCAGGGGTTCACTTTTTTTGGACCACCCTGTATATACCAGTAGACTAGGCATCTGAATATAATATTGTAATTTGAAGTCCATATTTAAGTTTCATACTTCATAATGCTGGTCTCAATTTTAGTATTAAATGGAATTTCCTAATATGGTCACATATACCTAATATGGTATGCCAACTTCAACACATATTCCTCATGTACTTTTCCCTTTTGTGGGTGCAATTTGGCACACATTTTACATAGTATCCAAATATGGACATCTGTGTCTATTCTTCATTTAATATATGCATTCCAAATATGGCTCATATGCCCTAATATGGAATCTCATTCTGCATGTACTGGATAATATCATAGGACTTTGCCCTCCAGCTCAGATAGCACTCGCGGACCACCTTCAACATATAAGCCGATGCTTCCTTTTCACTTGCTTGAGGCTGAAAGCGCTGGCGCAACAGTTTTATAGTTTGACCACGAAAACATGGCAGTCCAGTATCCAACATTAATGTCACCAGAGACACTATCGCTTCCTGGTATGGCCTAGAAGTACAGATTAACTAAATTTATATACATGATATATGTCCGTATATGGTAAGGACTATAAAAAGGAATAAAAAATATCAGTAGAACTGAACAATCGACTTGTTCTTTAAAATGAATTAATAGATGGCGGCAGTAGTTTTGATCAGGCTAGAATACCATTACCTAATATGCAAAAAACAAAACAGAATTTATAGCAGACTCTGTTGATTTAATTTATCAATAATCAGACTTTTTATTCTGTGTCTGAGTTTGAGCAAATAAAACCAATCGAAATAAAAATTTAAGGCATTGACATGCAAAATGTCACTACCTGCCATTTGTTACAGATGTCAACCATTGAGCACCAACCACCAAACACAGTCCACAAAAAAATTGAAGAATATAACAATAATATAATAATATAACACCACTTCTGGTGGTGACATAAAAACATACCTGACAGAAAGATAGGCTCGTGAACATAGTTCCATGAACCACTGGAAGGGAGGAGCATCTATCTTGCCCCCCATTATCAGCACCATCTCATCTGTCAGCTTAAAGTCAGGTTCCCAACCAAGGTTACCACCTGGGGAACTTTCAAATAAGAACCCAAAATCTAAAAAAAAAATATTATGGTATTCATTTTATTTCATCTTCTTTTCATGAACAATTTGACTCTAGGTTACCACCCCTAAGTGTAACTTTCAAATAGGAACTCAAAATCTGAAAAAATAATTAATCAACTTCTTTTCATGAACAATTTGACTACTGGTTACGGTTACAACACCTACCCCTGAGGGGAAATTTCAAATAGGAACCCAAAATCTGAAAAGTTATGGCATTCATTTCATTTAAACTTCTATTCATGAGCAATTTAATTATAATCTCTAAAAGGTTACCCCTCATATTCAGGAAAATTTAATTTCAATATTGAAAAGGTTTGTGACAAACAACTTTCAAATAGGAACCAAAAATATGAAACAATCCATACCTATGTGTATGAGGTGCCCTTTGCTGTCCAACATAATGTTGCCATTGTGTCTGTCTTTGATTTGTAAAAGGAATGTGAACACACTATATGCTGCTGTACTGCAGATAAAGTTTCTCCTAGCCTAAAATTGATACAATGTTTTCCTTATTTCATAGATTCTTGGTTCATTTTAGGAAGCTTATTACCGTAAACTCTCCAATAACGATCCATATCATTATTGTAAAGATTTCTGTTACTTCGTTCAGATGATTGCCATACATGGAATTCCAGGGGATTTTCAACTTCTTTTATATAAAGACGCTTATTAGAATGGTCTGGAGGAGGTAATTTTCTAGCAACCCCCGGGGCTAATTTGAGAAAATTTGGTAATTATCTTATATAATATAATCATAGTGTATAGTGTTTAACTCCAAAAACATAATAATCTGTGCTTTTGGGCAGATTTATTTTGTGAAAAACAACATGTTCTTTACTTACTGCTTGGAATTCGGCAGAATTATCATCTCCATATTTGGTGTTGAAATATTCATACATTCCAATGTCTGTTTGTCTTCCTATCTGGTCACGTGATTTGCAGTCTGGGACACATTCTATGACACCGCACTATAATAAGTAGAATAAGATTTTGTGTAATTTAAGTTGTTTTACACTCACTTAGTGCATTTATAAATAACAAAGCTATCCATGCCTACCAGTTTTCTTGCTTTCTGCTAGCTGAAAAATTGAATTTTGCAGATGCACTTGTGAATTCAATGAAGGCCAATTCTGCATGGATTCTTCAGGATTTATTTGTGGAAAGAGACAGATATTCCTTATAATTTAACAGAAAAAGAGTATTTGAAACAAGCATATGACTGACAGAGATAAGGCTGATACTTCACCATACTGACAAAAAATCTATCAATTCTGCTCTCCTCACTTGTGTCAATATTTGATATAAACTTGTTGATAAAAATTGATGTAACACATTTAAATTTCTGAACAAAGAATATAGTATAAATGTTTTTAGAAAAATAAAATTAATTAGTGACATGACAAGAAAAAAACTTACCCCAGGGGCTGTGGCCACAACTCTGTATGGGAAGAGATACAATTCTAAGCCGAGATTCTGGAAGATCTTTTGAAATAAGTCAATCACCTGCAGAGCCAACATGTCCTGAAATGTGAAATAAGTCAATCAGCTGCAGAGTCAACAAGTTCTGAAATGTGAAATGAGCCAATCAGCTGCAGAGTCAACAAGTTCTGAAATGTGAAATGAGTCAATCAGCTGCAGAGCCAACATGCCCTAAAATGTGAAATAAGTCAATCACCTGCAGAGCCAACATGTCCTGAAATGTGAAATAAGTCAATCAGCTGCAGAGTCAACAAGTTCTGAAATGTGAAATGAGCCAATCAGCTGCAGAGTCAACAAGTTCTGAAATGTGAAATGAGTCAATCAGCTGCAGAGCCAACATGCCCTAAAATGTGAAATAAGTCAATCAGTTGCAGAGCCAAGAAGTCCTGCAAAGTGAAATAAGTCAATCACTTGAAGAGCCAATAAGTCCTGAAATGTGAAATAAGTCAATCACCCGAAAAGCCAATATGATCTAAAAAATGCAATATTCAGATAATCACTCGCAAACAATGGTATGAAGCTCCGACCAATTAGAATGCTCTAACTGCTCATAAAATATTTGGAAAATGAACAAATCGTGCAAACTGAATAATAGAATCATATAGGAACATTAACATCATACAAGATATTAAATGCAAATACTTAATACATAAAAAATAAAAATAAAAACAAATTACTAACCTGTCGGACATCATCTCCAACTTTAAAAATACAGCCCTGCCAATAGATGTCAGTTGAGAGATCTGAATGCTGCGATGCGGCAGAATCACCATGCATTCCGATACTTTCCAACTCTTTCACTCCGCAATGTTTCACTTTAAATCTAGCCAAATATGGAGCTTTAGCCGCACTGAAATGTATTTTAAAAAACTTAATAGTGTTTGACTTATTATATAGCGACGGGAATTAAAGATGCTATGATAACACCATCTCACAATTTATCTTTTAACTTATCTCATAACACAAAAGTTTATAAGTAGATCTACCTTTGCATAGGAGTGCCAGACTTTTTGTCTATATCCAGGACTATGGCTTCAGGGTTTGATGGAAGATAGCAACCTACAATTTCAAATTTTCCACATGTTAAATTGAAATATTAAATGCAATATGAATTTATTAATCAGCAAATTTCATTAAAAAGAAAGAAATTCCTTGCGTTTTAGAAATGGCATTTCATTTTAACCATTTCCTTACTGTTTGGAATTTTATTTTATTTGTGCAATGAGCCTTCTCTTGAAAGCTTGTGCATGTACAAAAGGGTTTTAAAATATTGTTCATTAAAAAAAGAAAAATTAGATTCTCAGCTCAGTGTTTTAGAAATGCTGATTATTTTAACTCTTTCTCACCTGTCTGAAGTTTTATTTTACTAAGAGCCTCAAGGCAAGCTTTCTTTCTCTCTGGTCCTTTAGGGAAAGGCCTAAAAATATAAATAGAAATACATTAAAGAGAAGGAACATGTGGAAATTTTAATTCCGAAAGCAGGAAACTTCACATAGTCTCTTCCATCAGTATATCTAATTTCAGTATGGTGCTTCAAAATAAATAATGATGTTTCTTGAAGTACAAAAAAAAAAACTGAGATTTAAGTCACAGGTTGTCAGAATTTAAGTTGCAAGAATGAAAAACCTTAACATTTGCTACTTTGTATTGTACATGAACCACCCAGAAAAGTTGTCGTTGTGATTGATCACCCTGTACATTGACCACCCTGTATAAGGGCCACCCTGTATATTGACCACCCTGTATTAGGGCCACTCTGTAAGATGACAACACATTACATGTACACTGATATCCTAACTGACCTGATTTCACCAGAAATGGCTGTTATTTTGTCAAAGAAGTCAAATTCTCTCTCATAGAATGTAAGCGCATCTCCAGAAAGTTGTTTCTTCATCTCATCAATCATAGCCTCTAGTTGATCACCAATTGCCTCTGAAATCAATATATAGGTAAATTTTGTTCCCCTTTTTAGAGGTTGAATTCAATAAAATTCAAGAATTTTAGATCTTTTCTATTGTTCAAAGTTCAAATTCTCTCGGCAGTAGAGCTCCCTGATTAACCAAGAGAGGAGTGATTGTGTTTTTTTTCAAGGTCAAAATATTACCCACAATGCAACTCTTATGCCTTGGTCACATTTGCTCCAATTTCCACTACGGCGCCTGCCGATTGAGTACTGTACGCCCGGTATTCTTCGCGTGCGATTAACTTTCGCGCTTTTCGCGATGGTGTTAAAATCGCGAAAAATTATCGTCGCGAAATTGCCAATTAAATATTTAGGTTGGCAAGTCTGATACTAGTAGTACTGTGCAACTCCAGAATGGCTCCCAGAATGCAACATTGATACTCTCACGATTCTTGATGTTGGGAGTACAAAATTCGAATAACTACTAGTAATACAAAATACGAATTCAAACTGCTTTTTCGTTTTAAAATAAGACCGAAATTAACGATGTGATAATAGAAGTTGATATGCAGCTTGCCGATGATAAAGATCCCAGTTATTGTAAATCTGATCCAACTATGACATCAGGTAAGTGCAATTACTGTACATCTACTAGTAATTTAGCTTGAGAATTCCGAGAATAATGAATTTCAAACTTTGAAATTCGCGAAATTTAATAGCCGCAAAACCGTGTTTTCGCAAAATTCGCGAAATTAAAGCTCGCGAATAATACCGGGCGTACAGTATTTTGTTAAAAATTGAATACAATATTGAACAAAACACTCAAAAAATGTGAACACTTATTTCAATAAATAAACAAGGCATTAACATGACAAAATGTCACCACCTAAAACAATTTGGTCAATTTAAAGCAAGTTGGAAAATACCTTTTGACCTTAAGAAGAACTTCTAAGAACATGTTGATGATTTTGAAAAAAAAATTAGTCAATTTGAAGCAAGTTGAAAAAAGACCTTTTTGACCTTGAGAAGGTCATTGAAGGTCAAAGGTCAAATCTAAAGTCAGATTTGAACTTCTGAGAACTTGTAAAGTCAAACTTCTGAAAAGATGTAGATGATTTTGAAAAAAAAATTTGGAAGCAAGTTGAAAACAGACCTTTTTGACCTTTTTTGACCTTGAGAAGATCATTAAAGGTCAAATGTTAAATCTAAAGTCAGATTTGAATTTCTGAGAACATGTAGATGATTTTGAAAAAAAAAATTAGTCAATTTGAAGCAAGTTGAAAAAAGACCTTTTTGACCTTTTTTGACCTTGAGAAGGTCAAATGTCAAATCTAAAGTCAAATCTAAAGTCATATTTAAATTTCTGAGAACATGTAGATGATTTTGAAAAAAAAATTTAGTCAATTTGAAGCAAGATGAAAAAATACCTTTTTGACCTTTTTTGACATTGAGAAGGTCATTGAAGGTCAAATGTCAAATCTAAAGTCAGATTTGAATTTCTGAGAACATGTAGATGATTTTGAAAAAACAATTTAGTCAATTTGAAGCAAGTTGAAAAAAGACCTTTTTGACCTTTTTTGACTTTGAGAAGGTCATTGAAGGTCAAATGTCAAATCTTAAGTCAAATCTAAAGTCAGATTTGAATTTCTGAGAACACGTAGATGATTTTGAAAAAAAAATTAGTCAATTTGAAGCAAGATGAAAAAATACCTTTTTGACCTTTTTTGACATTGAGAAGGACATTGAGAAGGTCATTGAAGGTCAAATGTTAAATCTAAAGTCAGATTTGAATTTCTGAGAACATGTATATGATTTTGGAAAAAAAAATTTAGTCAATTTGAAGCAAGTTGAAAAAATACCTTTTTGACCTTTTTTGACTTTGAGAAGGTCATTGAAGGTCAAATGTCAAATCTTAAGTCAAATCTAAAGTCAGATTTGAATTTCTGAGAACACGTAGATGATTTTGAAAATTTTTTTTAGTCAATTTGAAGCAAGTTGAAACAGACCTTTTTGACCTTTTTTGACCTTGAGAAGGTCATTGAAGGTCAAATGTCAAATCTTAAGTCAGATTTGAATTTCTGAGAACACGTAGATGATTTTGAAAAAAAAATTTAGTCAATTTGAAGCAAGTTGAAAACAGACCTTTTTGACCTTTTTTGACCTTGAGAAGGTCATTGAAGGTCAAATGTCAAATCTAAAGTCAGATTTGAAGGTCAAATGTCAAATCTAAAGTCAGATTTGAATTTCTGAGAACATGTAGATGATTTTGAAAAAAAATTTAGTCAATGTGAAACAAGTTGAAAAAAGACCTTTTTGACCTTGAGAAGGTCATTGAAGGTCAAATGTCAAATCTTAAGTCAGATTTGAATTTCTGAGAACACGTAGATGATTTTGAAAAAAAGATTTTGTCAATTTGAAGCAAGTTGAAAACAGACCTTTTTGACCTTTTTTGACCTTGAGAAGGTCATTGAAGGTCAAATGTCAAATCTAAAGTCAGATATGAAGGTCAAATGTCAAATCTAAAGTCAGATTTGAATTTCTGAGAACATGTAGATGATTTTGAAAAAAAATTTAGTCAATGTGAAGCAAGTTGAAAAAAGACCTTTTTGACCTTGAGAAGGTCATTGAAGGTCAAATGTCAAATCTTAAGTCAGATTTGAATTTCTGAGAACACGTAGATGATTTTGAAAAAAAAATTTAGTCAATTTGAAGCAAGTTGAAAACAGACCTTTTTGACCTTTTTTGACCTTGAGAAGGTCATTGAAGGTCAAATGTCAAATCTAAAGTCAGATTTGAAGGTCAAATGTCAAATCTAAAGTCAGATTTGAATTTCTGAGAACATGTAGATGATTTTGAAAAAAAATTTAGTCAATGTGAAACAAGTTGAAAAAAGACCTTTTTGACCTTGAGAAGGTCATTGAAGGTCAAATGTCAAATCTTAAGTCAGATTTGAATTTCTGAGAACACGTAATGATTTTGAAAAAAAAATTTAGTCAATTTGAAGCAAGTTGAAGACAGACCTTTTTGACCTTTTTTGACCTTGAGAAGGTCATTGAAGGTCAACTGTCAAATCTAAAGTCAGATTTGAAGGTCAAATGTCAAATCTAAAGTCAGATTTGAATTTCTGAGAACATGTAGATGATTTTGAAAAAAAATTTAGTCAATGTGAAACAAGTTGAAAAAAGACCTTTTTGACCTTGAGAAGGTCATTGAAGGTCAAATGTCAAATCTAAAGTCAGATTTGAAGGTCAAATGTCAAATCTAAAGTCAGATTTGAATTTCTGAGAACATGTAGATGATTTTGAAAAAAAATTTAGTCAATGTGAAGCAAGTTGAAAAAAAGACCTTTTTGACCTTGAGAAGGTCATTGAAGGTCAAATGTCAAATCTAAAGTCAGATTTGAACTTCTGAGAAGATGTAGATGATTTAGAAAAAAATTGAAGTCAGTCTAAACAGTATTTGTTAAGTTATAGGAAGTTGTAAGAAATTGTTACAGACGCCGGACGCCGGACGCCAGACGCCGGACGCCAACCACCAACCGCCGTCGCAAAAAAACGGAGACCATAACAATATGTCACCACTTTTTGGTGGTGACATAATAAAACATTATACACTGAAAAAGTGTTCAGATTGGAAGGAGGTTGACTGGCCAGGTTTTTTTTAATTCTAACGTGTAATAGTAGAGTCAAACCATCGTCAAATAGTAGTAGAGTCAAATCCTTAGATTTATCAGAATAATTTACAGTAATTACAATTTCACTGCTATGTCTCTAATTGGTCCCCGCAGTTAAGCAAGAAGTACTCCACGCATCAGGAAATAAACTGTGCTACCGTTCTGATTCAGGTGAAACAGGTATTAGCCGAAAATAAAATGAAATATTTGTTTTATTATTCCTCACCATCTTTATGCTCAGCATCTTCATCTAGGTAAATGTTAGTCTTCATGTTCCAAATCAATTGATGTGCCAGAAGCTGAGACTTCTTGGAGGCCCATAGGATGAACTCAGTCACATAACCCATCTTGAAATAGAGAGCCATTTAATATTTCTGGACTGACTTGCTCTGAACATTTTAGGGATGAACATAATGCTTTGTTTCCCCATATTTGATTATATTCTCAGCCCTTCAACTAAGTCATGCTGTTTGTTTATTCTCGCATGATTATTTCAAATTGCTATTTTCCTAAACTTGATTTAAATGCATTCACTAAGCTTACTTCAGTTCTCTAGTATTCTAGCAATATAAGGTGGTTACGTTTGCATGTATCCCATAATGCATCAGCAGTACTTACCGTGTCGTATCTTACAGCCTGGACTAGTTGTGGAATGTAGAATAGAAGTGCGTCTGGAGGATAGTGGCGTAAAACGCGCACGGCATACTGCGCTGTGATTGGATGAGGAGGAAATTGACGGGAAAAGTAAGACAGGGCAGTTGAGGGTGGAACAGGAGCCCATGTCAGCATGTGGGTTAACTAAAATGGAAAAATAAGAAAATATATTGAACTCAAGTAAAATGTTACATACACATTTTAGATCAGAATGAACAATTATGAAAAAGAAACATAAAAGGGAAACATTGTATGACAATTTAAATGAAAAATAACAAGGCATTAACATGCAAAATGTCACCACTTGCCATTTGATACAGACACCAAACACCAACTGCCGAACACTGTCCAAGTCTGGGACCATGACAATATGTCACCACTTATGGTGGTGACTGTGGTGACATGATAATGATCCAAAGCAAATGCTTAGAAACCCATTTCAAAATAATGAGCTTTAAAATAGTGGTTAATGATTTCAGTAGGAATATTCATCTGAATATCATATAAATAGATGATGTCATACCTCAGGGGCATCTGCTTCAACACTATGTGGGGTAACAAGAAATTGTAACGCTTGCGGTATATGACTCACGGAGTTTGGACTAAGACGTACAAGACGTGTTACTTCCTTTCCTAATGTGTCAGAATTACGGAACCTAAAATACAACATATTTTTTCAGTTCAACTGATTATTAACAAAATGTAACAAATTAAGACTAATGCTGATGTCAAACACAAGTCAAAACACAATGTTATGACATAGTGTCATAACATTTAAATGTCACTGAGAAAATACATGATCCTGCAGATTGAACATGGTCTCCAATTTGAATAGTAAATTGGAAATCTATAGACACATGTTTACTTTCAACTAACAAATCAAATTCATTATTACATTCTAACAAAGATAGAGATTATGATACATTGTTATAATCTCCAAACCAACCAGATACATTGTTCCAAGCAGTTTGAATCAGATTCTTATTGCAACATTCCATCAACCAATCAGAAGCATTGTTACAGTCTACCAATCAGATAGATTGTTACATTTTACCAACCAATCAGATTCATCGTAACACTCACCTCTCAGGTAGAAAGACAGCCAAAGCAGGTGAAATTTCCCAGGCTAAACGTGCCATCTCTCTCCATTGTTTCTCAGTGACAGACTTGCTACGCCATGCATTGATCGTTTCCTCTCCTACTATAGCAAGCTCTGCCAGACAAAGTGGATTGTGCCACGTAACCAATCTCTCAATCTCACTGGCCTAAAATAATCCAGATTTATCAGGCCTGTAGCCAGGGGGGTTCACGGGGTTCGAGCAAACACCCCTGGCCAAAATTTCTTTCAAAATCATGCAGTTTTTCACCATTCTGACTATGTTTTGAGTGATTTTTGGCCAAATTTGCCAGAATTTTAGAATTTTTTGGAAAAGTGAACCCCTCTTGGAAAATACTGGCTACGAGCCTGTTTATAAATCAATGCAAAGAAAACTAAAAACCAAATGTTCTGCCAGACAAAGTATATTGCGCCATGACGTTACCAATCTCTCAATCTCATTGGCCTAAAAGAATACAGATTTATAACTCAATGCAAAGAAAACTTAAAACCAAATGTTCATAAATGTTCATGTTCATCCTAGATGATGATGCAAAATTTATATGATGAAATTTTTGTATCTTATTTTATTCATAGGATATTCCGGTTTACAATTCTGTTTTCTATTATCACAATTCTATTATCACAATTCTATTATCACAATTTTATGTTTATGGTTCATAGATTAGCTGCATATTTACCAGTAGGTCCAAGATCAAGTTGCGCTTTCTTATATAGTCTTTGATAAACTGTCCACTACTCTGGCTTTTCCTAGTCCCTATAAAACATATAAATGACAAAAAATGGTAAGAATCCGACACTAACATTGATGCGGCTTTATATTCTTAATTATGGGACAACATGTATCAACTCTTACCTGTTGATGAATATAAATAAATTATATAAAAAAGAATATAAATAAATATTATGTACAGATGAATAAACGCAGGAGCTATGCCTCTTGAACTCACAAACTCATGGTTAGAGCGACAGTGCCTAGCTAAGTGTGTTCGGTGCTCTAGACTGCTTGAAGCAACTTGACAATCATAAAAAGGGTGCTTCATCAGCCTAACAAGAAGGAACAGGTGTTCTTCATAATATGAATTCCTCTGTAAATTGTCGTAATCATGGATATAATGATGTAATGCAGACCCGTAGCTAGGGGGAGGGGGGGGGGGTGTTCGCAGGGTTCGGGCGACCCCCCCCCCCCCTGGCCAAAAATTATTTCAAAATCATGCAGTTTTTCACCATTTTGAGCACTTCTCAAGTGATTTTAGTCATATTTGGACCAAAATTGTCAAATGTGAACTCCCCCGGAAATATTTGAAAACTGAACCCCTCTTGGGAAATCCTGGCTATGGGCCTGTAATAGTAAGAGAACTATGGCCTTTGGTTATCAATTCGTCTTTTTCATATTTCTCTTAATGACCCCTGATAAGTATTTTGTCTCTCAACAAACAGACTATTGTTTCATTCAATGGTTCTTACTGGTAATACATATTAAAGGGTTCCGATAAGCATCCCGTATAAAAACAATATGGCGGCTCCAGGCGAATCAACTGGATTAGTCCATTTTTAAGAAATAAGGGGAGTTCTGTAAAATCCAGTTTATAGAAATTGTCTTTGAGATAAAGTAATCCGTTTATAATGATTTTGAAAACGTTATCCATAGAGTAATTGCGTTCAAAGAATACATGTACAACAGCCAATATAAATTATTGTATTAGAACTGCTTTGTTTCATTTGTAGGATATTTCATATGCCAAGCTGTGTGCTATTACGTTATGTTGAAATTTAGATGACAATTTTTCCTTATTATACACAAATAGAATATCCCGAAACTTCACCCAAAAATGTGGAATTGATTTGTCAAAATAAAAATCACCCTTTTATAAATGTGTGACGATCTATAATATACTTATGCTATATAACAGTTAGAGGTGTTGACACAACGACATCGAACCTGTGAACCCTTGAGTATTATTCCGGGATCGGGCCTTTTATACTAAACGGTGAGCAACACCAGAAACGAGCGTTCGATTTGCTAAACGATATGCGTCACCCTTTAAGCTTTCTAACCATTCTATTCAATTTCACTCCAGTAACCATGCCAACGGTCCAATTAACAAACTCATTTGACTCCTATGACAAGTGATAAGTTAATTGCTAATTAGTTCATAAAAATCAAAATTTTATTCATTAATTTTATTGTAACGTCTGTGCCTTATTAATATAATATTAAAAGCCATGGCATATGAACCAGATATGTGACATGTTTCAGGCTATTAACTAGCTTTAGCCAGGGGTGGGGGCAGTTTTTCAAAAATTTTAAGGGGTTCAAATTTGACAATTTTGGCCCAAAATCACTTGATATATGCACAAATTTGTAAAAATGCATGATTTTGCAAGAAATTTCAGCCCCTGAACCATCTTGGCTACGGACAATGTATGAACAGACAGTTTTAAATAATAGATTTGATTCGGTTGAACAACAGAAGTGAATGATAGAATGTTGAGATAAGAGGCCATATTAGGTGCACTGAGATCTAATCTGCAAATTGAATAACAATTGACAAATAATGATTGAGCAATTAAATGAACAAGTTCGGAAATGTAAAATATTTAAAAGCTAATCATAATAACTAGATTGTCAAGCTGGAATTATCGTTAAATTTCACTACTTTTATATTCTATCCTGCATTTATGCAAATCTACGGTGAAACATTTATTTCAAGATGGATATTTTACACTCATGGTTGTTACTCGTTACATTTGTGACTCTTTCCAACTGTCAGCACTTAAAGAAGGTAAGACACACTCTGTTCTATAAAACATACTGAAGTTACAGATAAAGTTCATATACAGGAAAACCTCTTATTTTCATTTACTGCACATCACACCAAAATCTACAGGGGTTTCACCAGAATTCCATATACAGGAAAACCTCTTATTTTCATTTACTGCACATCACACCATATTCTACAGGGGTTTTACCAGAATTTCATATACAGGAAAACCTCTTATTTTCATTTACTGCACATCACACCATATTCTACAGGGGTTTTACCAGAATTTCATATACAGGAAAACCTCTTATTTTCATTTACTGCACATCACACCATATTCTACAGGGGTTTTACCAGAATTTCTCACAACAGGCCAAATCAATGAAAACAACAGGCAAAATTAATTGAAATCATAAATTTAACATGGAAAAGTTGAAAAGTCCCTAAACACAACAGGCGATTTCGTGAAAATCACCTGTGTTGTCTGCTGCTATTGAAACCCCTGTTCCAGGCATTACCACTGTGTAAATGCGTTTGGTGTGATTTACATAATAATTGATAGTTACCCTTAAGCTTAATATAGCAGGCCCGTATGGGGGGTTCGATGGGTTCCCCCCCCTGGCCAAAATTTTTTCAAAATGATGCAGTATTTTACCATTCTGAGCATCCAATTGTCAAAATTGAACCCCCCTGGAATTTTCCAAAAAGTGAACCTCCCTTGACAAATCCTGGCTTCGGGCCTGATATAGTTTATTTTGAAATGCTCATGGCAACTGGCAAGCCATTATGTATGAAAATTTTGTGATGATAAAGTATATTGTATTTGTATTCAAATTGTTTTTGGAATTTATTTCTAGAGATTCACATACACATCAGGTACAAAATTAAACATATGGGGTGATATTTTATCCAAACCAGTAATTTGATAATTAGTGAGGGTTGTCCCAAAAGTTTTAAAATTCTGTATATTACTACGACACTACATGTATTCTATTTTTGTTTTATCATATTTCAGTCTGACTTCAAAATTCTCAAGTTTGAATCGAGGAATTTCAAATTGGGTTCAGATGCCACGATAACTGTTTACTACAAGGCAAGCGAAAAGCCAGTTATCCAATGGGAAGCTCAAGGCAGAACAATGACATTGTATCCTAGGGTCATTACACCAGGTAAATTTGCATTGACTCATATTCAACCAATCAGGGGCCATCATTAACAGAAACTTCGTAAAGTTAAAAATTTGTAATTATCAATCGTTGTAACCATGGATATAATGACATCACAGTTAGGGAACAATTACACTTTACAAATTCCTAACTTTATAAACATTATGTTAATGGCCTCCAGGTTCAGCCTAAAATTCTCTAGTGACCATACTAGTTTAATCCAAGTAGTGATTTTGAATAATATGCGAGATTTCCCCTCGCCTGCATGAAATAATGTAGATTCAAATGACCAATTGTGGTCTAACTATTTTCAGTAGTCTATAGTTTTATCATTTAAATATTTTTAGTAAATAGCTAATTATCTGTTAAACAAAACTAAATAATTTCACTTTTAATGATTTTACAAATGTACCAAGAAATCATGTTTTCAAAAAAATTTGGACCAATATTTAAAGCTTAAGATTTTTTAAACAGGATATCCGGACTTCACCGTGGTAGATGAGTTTGTTACCACGGCAACAAGCAAAAGCATTCTGAAGGTTTCTAATGTGACAAGCCTTCAACAACTTGCAGAATCCTATGTTGTGACTTTCTTTTTGGACGTAGGAAAAGTTAAGGTAGTTACAAATGCTAGTACCATTTATTTTCTGAAAACATCAAAGCGTGATAGATATGTACACACAAGTGCCAAAGGGAAAGGATAAAATTGTTTAAGAACCCAGAAAAAGAAAGAAAACATCTAAATGCACACCAGTCATTAAAGGAAATGAACCCTAATTATCCCAAACTACAATACAACATTAAAAATAAATATATAGTTCGTCCCATAAAAAAAAGAAACAAACAAAGACATTCTAAAATCACAAAACCAGTGATGATTACATCAATTCTATTTAGTTTACCAGGAAGCCACATGTCTCCTCATTCCAATGGTATGTCATTTGTTCATATCTGATCCTTCCCATCATTCAAGTTCCAATATCACAATCAAGGACCATGACTCCAATTGACATTTCATTCATTCTTAATGAAATGGAAGCAAACCATTAACAAATTCTTGCCAGTCTTTTCCTTACATTTACCTAATTCTATTTGAGAGATTCAGAATTGCTTACTTAAAGATTCCAATATTTTCTCTATAAGCTAAAACACATTTAAGTTATAAATATGACTACAGGTATGTGTAATATAAAAAGAGATCAAGAAAATGTATTGTGATTCATAAATGAAGAAAAAATAAAAAACATTTGTTATGGCCAGGATTTGAACCGGCTCCTTCCGAGTAAAAAAAAGCCAAATGTTACCAGTGTAAATTTTCTCATTCTAGTTGACAATTCATCTACAAGTCCCTGATGCCTCCGACATACTTGATTACTTTTATAGCTATGACAGTGAAGCAACTGTCATTGAAGATGTAACTCAACAAATCTCTGGAATCGAGCAACTGAGCATGATGCCTGATACAATAACAATGAAAGAAGAAAATCCATTCCAACTTGAATGCAAAACTGAATTTGCAAATTCGCCTGAAGAATCTGGCATAGAACTATGGGTATGTATATATTGTACTCACTGTCCATTTTTGGTAATCAATATATCTTTGGTATGTTGTATATGTCATGGATTGTTGGAAAATATGTTTACCAACAAAATTCTAAGGCATTTTTCAAAATTAGCAAAAAGATAAGAAGTTAGGAGGTGTAAAGAGTATGTAAAATACCAATGTTTTCCTTATACAAACCTAACTTTATTGGAGATTTAAGATAGCTTTTTGTGTGTTCTTTAATAGTTTCACACATCTCCATATATTCTAGTGGGAAATGCTGGACACAACCGCACCAGATTCCAAAAAGAAATCACTGGAGAATTTCAACAATTGGGTTAGATCACCCAAAACAAAAGATGGCATGGCATTTGCAGCTACATTTAAAAACTTAACTTCTGGAAAATGGATGTTAAGCTCCACAGCTAACATTACACCTAAACCAAGCACTCTACGTCACAACGCTATCTATTATTGTGAACTGAGGACGGTTGGTAGTTATTACGCACTACTGGTCCAAACAGGGGTAAGAATAGAATTAATTAAGGCCATTAACTAGGGAGAGAGGTTCCGGTGTTCAAGAGACCCCTTTGTCCAAAAGTGATTTCAAGGTCATGCACCATTTTGAGCACTTACAATTGACCAAATTCCCAAAGACTGACCAACAATGCTGGCTATGGGGCTGCAACTCATTACAAAACATACACAGGAAAATACTTGTATGTAGTATTGATACAGACAGACATTAATGAATGAAACTATGTGTTTGGAAATGAGCAATTCATGAAATAAAATTACCATTATAGAGTTTATGCGTTTGGAAATGAGCCATTTATGAAATAAAATAACTGAATGTGTATTTTACGCATTAAGGTACCAGTAGCTGATGACAAATCAAGGTCTCTATTCAATGGAAATGAGCCGTTCATGTTCAACATTGACTCTGATATTGGTTGGGAAGAAGAGAAGGAAAGTACTCCCCCTGAGAAGTATATAAAAACTTTGGATATTGGTGAAACCGTTGGCTTATCAATTGAGGTATTTGCAAGAAGAAACTCCTTTAAAAAATTATTTATATGGTATTATCCTGTCTAATTTGAATCCTAATCTGAACTGACTCAGGTATATACATTTTAAGGTTTTTATCATAGGCAAAGGTTGAAAGAAATAATTTTTTTTAAATAAAGATGGCATGGTTGTCAATCTGTGTTTATTTATAGAAAAAGATAATACTGGATTCTGTTGGTGCTGCCATCTTTATATGGGCCCAGAACCTATGGTTTTTATCAATGTTAATGAACTGCAGATTAAAACATGGACTGAGAAAAATGGTTCAAATTGAGGTGTTTAGATTTGAAAGGTTTTCCGATATACATGTTTTACTGTTGTTTGATGTGTTTGAGATAAAGGTATTAAAGATGATTTGAAATAGCTTCACATTGGTTCTTCAAATTGAAAGCACACTTATACATGCAAAAGCCACGCTTTGAATTGAAATTGGGCAAAATGTGTAATTATCCTAAAGCTGAGTGTAAGAAAAGTTAAAACATGTATCTGAATTATTTCTTTGTGAACTGGTTGAAATTTGATGATAACAATCTATTTTTTCAATGAATGGATCAAACCTAAATATGGAGTCGCAACACTTGAAGCGTTATAGGTGGCACCACATAAAAACGATGAAACAATTTCCCCAAGACCGTCCAACAGTGTTTTATCCCCATGCCTTAATAGCATTCTAGATGATGCTTCATATTATATATTCAGGTATATAGTGGCCCACTAGCTGAAGTGTCTCTTTACAGACCAGATGGTGTAAGACTCACCCAGGGTGATAATGTTGGAGTATTGGAGGTTGGGAATTCTGGTACATTTGGACATTACATGAGGAAAACATTTACACTGAGAAACCTTGGTCTTTCTGGAGCAGGTAAGCCCTTCTTTCATGATATTAGGGAGGTTTAGCTGCATGTTTTTAAGGCAATATGTTATATACCCCCAAAATGCAATCTGATTTTCGACGCCGTTTCGGTGCCAAATTTCGGTGCCGATTCAGCACCAAATGGACTGACTAGTCCGGTGGCAAATTTTGGTGTCAAAAGGTTTCAGTGCCGGAACGGTGTCTAAACGGTGCCGGAACAGTGCCAAATTTCTTCGATGCCGAAACGGCGTCAAATTATATTGGCTGTGTAACCCCAAGGAATAACTGAATGACTGACCAACTCGCAATTGATTTTTACAGGGCCCCAATGACGCCATTGGCCAATCCCAGTAGCGTTCAGATAACACAATTTTTACTTTTATTTTATTGTTGCTCACATAGGAGAATACACAGTGGAGGTGTCTGTGCCTGAATATGGAATTTTGGCCACTAGAAAGACAGTCAAGGTTGTAGTTGGCCCCTCAATATGTGTTCGGGCTACTAGTGGTCAAGCAAGGGTTAACCCAGGAGAGCAGGTACGGGATGGTGTGCAATTTATTCACAGTTATAGAATAATGAAGTTAGGTTAGATAGGGGAGGGGGTAAACGATGGTTTTGGTTAGCGATTAGTGTTATTTCATTTATTTTACTTGTAGGCAAAGTACACCTGTGAAGTTATAGGTTAGATAGGGGGAGGGGGTAAACGATGGTTTTGGTTAGCGATTAGTGTTATTTCATTTATTTTACATGTAGGCAAAGTACACATGTGAAGTTATAGGTTAGATAGGGGGAGGGGGTAAACGATGGTTTTGGTTAGCGATTAGTGTTATTTCATTTATTTTACTTGTAGGCAAAGTACACATGTGAAGTAATAGGTTAGATAGGGGGAGGGGGTAAACGATTGTTTTGGTTAGCGATAACTGTTATTTCATTTATTTTACTTGTAGGCAAAGTACACATGTGAAGTAATAGGTTAGATAGGGGGAGGGGGTAAACGATTGTTTTGGTTAGCGATTACTGTTATTTCATTTATTTTACTTGTAGGCAAAGTACACATGTGAAGTTATAGGTTAGATAGGGGGAGGGGGTAAACGATGGTTTGGTTAGCAATTAGTGTTATTTATTTATTTTACTTGTAGGCAAAGTACACATGTGAAGTTATAGGTTAGATAGGGGGAGGGGGTAAACGATGGTTTGGTTAGAGATAAGTGTTATTTCATTTATTCTACTTGTAGGCAAAGTACACATGTGAAGTTATAGGTTAGATAGGGGGAGGGGGTAAACGATGGTTTTGGTTAGCGATTAGTGTTATTTCATTTATTTTACTTGTAGGCAAAGTACACATGTGAAGTTATAGGTTAGATAGGGGGAGGGGGTAAACGATGGTTTTGGTTAGCGATTAGTGTTATTTCATTTATTTTACTTGTAGGCAAAGTACACATGTGAAGTTATAGGTTAGATAGGGGGAGGGTGTAAACGATGGTTTTGGTTAGCGATTAGTGTTATTTCATTTATTTTACTTGTAGGCAAAGTACACATGTGAAGTTATAGGTTAGATAGGGGGAGGGGGTAAACGATGGTTTTGGTTAGCGATTAGTGTTATTTCATTTATTTTACTTGTAGGCAAAGTACACATGTGAAGTTATAGGTTAGATAGGGGAGGGTGTAAACGATGGTTTTGGTTAGCGATTAGTGTTATTTCATTTATTTTACTTGTAGGCAAAGTACACATGTGAAGTTATAGGTTAGATAGGGGGAGGGGGTAAACGATGGTTTTGGTTAGCGATTAGTGTTATTTCATTTATTTTACTTGTAGGCAAAGTACACATGTGAAGTTATAGGTTAGATAGGGGGAGGGGGTAAACGATGGTTTTGGTTAGCGATTAGTGTTATTTCATTTATTTTACTTGTAGGCAAAGTACACATGTGAAGTTATAGGTTAGATAGGGGGAGGTGGTAAACGATGGTTTGGTTAGCGATTAGTGTTATTTCATTTATTTTACTTGTAGGCAAAGTACACATGTGAAGTTATAGGTTAGATAGAGGGAGGGGGTAAACGATGGTTTTGGTTAGCGATTAGTGTTATTTCATGTATTTTACTTGTAGGCAAAGTACACATGTGAAGTGATAGGCTACCCACTTGCTGGTGGCGAATTTGAGACTACTTATACTGACAAGTTTCAATACAGATCTGATCAATCAAGGCTAGGAGAAGGCTACAATGTCAACATCACTAGAACTAACAATCTCATACGTGCTGATGTTGTCATCAGTAGTGATGTCATGGAAACAATTGACAACAGACAACACTATTGTCACTTTAAAAATTTCATTACGAGAACAGAGAATAGAGTGCGTGTTAAAAAGCAAGATGGCGGATGGTGGAGCATGGAAGACGTGCAACTCACAGGGTTCGTCCCCGAATGGAGGGCAGAGTGCGATAAAATGTTTGACTCTCTGTCGTAAGATCACAAACTTTTATCGCAGGATCGTGATGTGGTGAAGCAATAGTCTCATTTTTAATGTAGTTTCTGTATAAATAAAACTTCAGATCAAAACAAAATCATCTTAAATTGCAAAAGGATTTACTTGGTGCTTTACAAATATTTTATCCTGTCCCCTTGAGTAAAGTCAGATCGTCTGATGAAACAAGCTTTTTTAAAGTTGTTGAATTGACCGAGCAGTCTAGAGCACTGTACGCTAGGCACTTTCTTAATTACATCCTTTATTTAAGAAAGTAAGAGAAAAATAGAATATGCATTTATGCTACATTCTAAATCAGTATTCAGTGCAACAAAAAAAATTCTGAAACACCTTCAGGAACTCCTGGGTGTGAAAGAAATAACTTCACTCTTTGATGCAATGAGAATAAAAAGCAATGCCAACATCTGGTTTAATGTACATAATAGTAATGAAATAAATCCATGAAAAAAGCATATGGTGCATTACTTCTGCGACAACCCTCGTACTTAATTCTGATATTTTGAAACAATGGGTCAAGCTCAGGTCCTAATCCCAAAAGTTGCAATAAAAATAGTCCACCTACCTGCTCCTGAAGACCTCTTAGACATTGCTGATGACATATTTGTGGCCGTCATAGTATTCATCCAGCCGTGGGGTCTGCTACTGTACTCACTCCCTCCTCCCTTTATACTAGGACTGTAGTCTGTGGACAATGTACTTCCACCCATTGGGCTAGCAGCTCTATCTAAGTCTCCAACATCTGTATTACAAATAAAGCATTCATTCAATATGCACAATTTTAAAAACACACTAATTAATATAACACATTCAACAGATCTTTATTTTATATTTGTCCAAATTTTAGCTATTTGAATCTTGCATACATACTCTCTATAGTAAATTTTTATATGGGGACATGAAATGCTGGAAGGCGATTTGCCCCAACCCTGTCTTTTCATTGTATATTTGTTTGTATTCATGAAATAAACCTATTGATTAAAAAATATATATATTACACTTAAAGAACAGAATGCCTGCCTTACCCAGGACATCCAAAACATAATCAGATTTTAAGTATGCTCTTAACATTACACTCAGTCTTACATCCGGGGAGAGGGGAGCATAAATAACAAAAATCCAAAATGTCACAACCTGCCATTTGTTACAGACACTGACTGCCAAACACTGTTACAGATGCCAAATGCTGTTTCAGACGCCGAACACCAGCAACAAAAAAGTTACTCTAACAATATGTTCTGGTGGTGACATAAAAATAGTCTTGCTCAAAGACTGAAAGACTGTATCCACCCCCCCCCCCTTCACTCTCTTTACCTGGCAATATACAGAGAGAAGGATAAAGGGGGGGGGGGAGTACAGGGTCTTTTAAGCAAGACTAACATAAAAAAAAAACAGAACAACATACCTCCTACTGTAATGATATTGGATCTCAGGTATTTGCGATCAGAATGCATATTTTGCCACATTTTGATAAGTGAAAGAATGTCCTCTCGTAACTCTGTCCCTCTCTGGTGAGCATAGCGTGGTTCAGTACTGGAATATAAACAGGAGGGCAATCAATAATAATGAATTCTAAAGTACATTCACATATAGCTTGGCAAGGTGTGTCCAATACCTACCAATCCAAACAAGCTACATGTTATTTCATATCAGTGCGATACATTACAACCAATAACCAACTAAGGCCACTAGTTAAAAGGTTGTCAAGGTGACAACTGGACTCTTGAAATTGATGCTTTGCCAACTTGACCTTTGCAAAAAGTTTCATTGAAAATATCTTCTAGTGATTTTGTGTCTTTTAGGTGTTTTGTAGAAAATATTTTGCAATGGGAGAAAAAGTTTAAGCCCAAGACTCAATGCATCATTTGCTAGGTCAATTTTGATACGGACCAATTGATTTTTTCAGTAGGTATAAGAAAATAACATGGAAATTGGTCAGCAATGCTATTTTGACCAGCTACTCTCAGTACCTTAGCTCAACCCCTGGACAGGCTTCACTGTATAATAATATGTAAACCTTACCCAAAATAGTCCAATGCAGTAGCATATATCCGCTCTCTGAGAACACTCTTACTGGTGGCTGTTGGTAGAATATCACCCTGTAACAGGGACAAACCCATAGCAAGCATTCTGAAATGACATGCAAAATGGTTCAGCTCAATCATTAAAAGGCTGCTATGGAAACGGATGTTTTTGCAATTTTCAAACTTATGTACAAGTGGATTTGAAAAGGTGGAGTCCTTTGCTTAAGGTCAGGGTGCATGATGGGAAATTTTCTGCATTCCTCAATTGAGTCACATGTTATTTTTCTAACAAGAATCACTCCTTCCCCACATTGTCTATATCTTCCAGTTTTGCACAAAGAGTACACTTATGTCATGTGCCTAGAAAAGACTTGTGAGAAGAATGTTTTGATAAAGTGTATAAAAAACAAGAAAATTCAGTGAAAAAAATCAGAAAATTTTCAGAATTTTTTTTCACTGAATTTTCTCATTTTTTATACATTTTCCAAAACAAACCTCCTCACAAGGCTTTTCTAGGCACATAAGTGCACTCTTTGTGCAAACCTGGAAGATGTAGACAATGTGGGGAAGGAGTTATTCTTGTTTGAAAAATAACATGTGACTCAATTGAGGAATGCAGAAAATTTCCCGACATGCACCCTGTCCTTAACCTGACCTCTTGAATACCCAGAATGACGGATATATCTGTCACAAATAAAATCCATTTGAAACCCAGAGCGACAAATATATCTGTTACAGAATTTTTCACTAAAACTGCTCTTACTTTGGCATTTTTTATCCAATCTTCACAAATTATGTTTTAGAATATATGTAATGGGTCTATGCTTACTATTCTTATGAAATCAAATACAAACATTGTGTTTTTAGATGTAAATATCCAGAAAACTAGCAGAAAATGAAAAATGCTCTGGTTTCAAACCATTTTTTGAGGCTGGTATTCAAGAGGTTAACAACGGTACCTCATTTGTCCTTTTCCTCTATGTGTAAATTAACAATTTTCAGACCTCCATTCTACTAGCCTATATGTCATTGCTCTGTATGATGTCACAATAAAAATCAATGATGGATTATACATGCTTTCCTCAGGATTTTTTCTCAGGTGGGTGCAAAACTTTCACTTTCACAATTCAGACCAAAATTTGTCAAAATATGCCAATTTTTCATGATTTTTCTCATTTTTAAATGGGTGCAAATGGATTTTCAGGTGGGTGCAAGCCTCCTTCAAAATCTCAGGTGGGTGCTGCGCCCACTTGATTTAATGCTGGGGAGATCACTGCATAGTCTGTTGTGTGCAGAGTGTAGTGCATCAAAAAGCCTAAACATAAAATCCTCAAATAATTTTTAACTACCTAGAATGCCCAGGCGATTGGAAGTAGACGTAATATGTATTTTCGGCTATGAAAGGAAAATAAAAACATAATAAAAAAATATGTATATCACCAATCTAAATATTAAATAAAATCAATTGTATGCCTTGAACAGTTCTGAAGAATTCAATTATTTGAAAGCATGATTTTTTAATGAGGGCGTTGAAATTGCTCTATTCAAAAACCTGAATAATGTCAATACACATGAACTTTGTATAAAAGGTCACTCTATGGATCTTTAATGCTCCCCTTGTATTAAAATCTAAATAGTTATAAAACCAGCTACACCCTTAAATAGCTTCTTGATCAATAAAGCAAAAATTGCTTTTTAAAGAACAATGAGTTTAATAGTGAAATTTTCAAAACCCATTCATAAATTTACAGTTTCAAATATAGTCAACATATTTTACACTGGCGGATATGGGGGGGGGGGGGGCCCAGGGGCCCGGGCCCCCCCCCCCCTTGGGTGGGCCCAGAAAAAAAAAATTGTGCCCAAAAAAAATTTTGAGGCTAAAAAGGCTTTAAGGCCCCAAAAAGTAGGCCTTTTGGGTCATAAATTGGCCTTGTAAGGCCTTATTTGTTAATTTTAGGCCAAATTTTGAAGAAAATGGGCCTCAAAATTTCAAAATTTGGGCCCACTTTTGGGTTTATGGGGCCCAAAATTTTTTTCCGCGCAAGCCCGGAAGTTTTTTTCTCAGACCACAAGTTTGGGCGCCCCCCCTTGTTGGTTCCCAGATCCGCCCCTGTTTTATACATGACATGCCCACTGTATAATCATTATAAAGTTTAGTCTTAACTATTTTACTCTTTTCATCTTGCAACCACCAGAGCAGAAATTTCCAGTTTTGTTTTGTTATTTCAGAGTAAAAAGAATCATGGGATGGCACGTCCTCCTTTGGCTATTAAGAACCTTTTTATTAAATCTATTGAAGTTTAAAATCAAGCGATCTATAGAAAATAGCCAAGTCATATGGCTTAGATTGAACTGAAACTATACTGGTATCCAATAATAAAAAGTGTATAGACTGAGAAGAATATACATCATACAGAAACTCAAAATGGAAACATGTAATCATGTTACTAAACTGATTGTTGCATTCTGCATATTGTGTATGTCTCATGGAACATCTTTAACAAAAATACACAACAAACATTTCAATGTCACAAAACTAATTAATATACAGAGAACAGCAAATCATCACAGAACAGCAAATCATCACAGAACAGCAAACCATCACCCTATGTTATACTTTGATAAAGATGCCATCTCTGGATTTAAACATAAAGCTAGGACGACACATGCCCATATTGTTGAAGACCTATGTAATGCTAGAGATGACATCCTCAAATTGAGAGAAAGAACAATGCCTCCTGGGAAGTACTCTAAATTCGCAGGATCCTGGAATGAGATTTATGGGAATGTTTTGCCTCCTTTGGCCATGTATCTTTTAATCTATCCAGATGATGATGAAGTCTTCACGTTCATCCAGGACTCAATGGACCAACTGACTAAATATCCTGATTGGTTGGTGAAGAATATGCCTACGGATGAGGTCCCGATATCCCATTCTCTTATTGGCTATGCCACAGTATTTGATTTTCTCTATGACAGCTTCGATGTCAAGCGTCAGCAAAAGTATCTGAATAAGATCATCGAAACGACAAGATATATGTATCAGAAATCACATCAACGTTTTTGGGGCAAGTGTTACATTCAGAATCATGCTGCATCCAACATGGTGGCCATCCTAACTGGGGCTATAGTAGCATCAGTACATACACGAGAAGCTAGTCGTTGGATAAAAGAAACATTGACACTACTCGAAGGCAACATGTACTTACTGGATTTGATAAAAGATGGCTCTCTCAATGAAGGAGTATCATATGGAGCATATACAACTCGGACATTGACACAATACCTGTTCTTAGTTAAGAGACACTTTAATATTGACCATAGCAAAAACACATGGCTACGAGAACACATCTGGTTTTACTTCTCAACCTTATTACCTGGATTTAAAGAAAATGTAGCTATAGCAGACTCGAATAGAAACTGGTGGTATGGGCCAGAGAGTCAATTGACATATCTAGATAGTTTTGTGTTGAGAAATGGCTGGGGTAATTGGTTAGCGGGAAAAATCAGGGCAGCGAGGCAACATGGGATATCACCTGGGGTAGTTCAGCGCTGGACTACCCATCATACGGAATTTCTATGGTATGACCCATCCATAAATGCCACCCCTCCCATCAAGAATGACATCCCGTCTCTTCGCATATTCCCAGATTGGGGGGTGGTCACATATGGAGGGGGACAGGACCTCAAAGATGGAGCGACATTCCTTTCATTTAAATCCAGTAAGCTTCATGGTAGAGTCGTTTCAGCCCTTGTTGAAAAACAGCATAAAGGTTTATCCTGGGCTAATTTCAATCCAGGGCATGAGCATCCAGACCAGAACTCATTTGTGTTTGCCCCAAATGGAAAACTACTTGTCACTGATGGATTGTACTCTATGAAGTGGACCTATACAAATAATGTGATGATGTTTAGTCCATCCACAGCCAGCAAATGTAGCAAGCCATGGGCAGGCCAGATTCAGGACTGTGCTAAATGGTTGGAGTTTCGGCGAGTAAATGGAGTGACAGAATGGATGGATGCTAAAATAGTATTTGTGAGCCAAATGCAGGGTATGCTGTATCTCGTAGGGGAGGCTGCAAAAGCATACCCTAAATCTTTAAAGCTCAAATCTGTTGCTAGGCATTTGCTGTTGCTAAACAGCCAACTTCTTCTGATATCCGATCATGTCGAAGTTGCCACTGATAGCCCCTTGACCCATTGGAGTACATACTTCAATAACTATGAAAACAAATTCCAAGTACTCAATGACTTTAGTCACAAAGGAGCTAAAATGGTCATCGATGATGAAGAGTATCGAATCATTGTTAAAGTGGCAGATTCAGAGAACCAACCAGATGTGAATATTACTGAAATAGTGAGCTCTAAAGATGGCAAAGTATGGACATTGAGCAACCTCAACATATCGAGCAATCTCCAGGGCAGGACAACAGATATCTTCTACATACTCCATTCTCCAAGCATCACTTTAAAAGATGTCCAAATTACGCCACACTTAAATACAAAAACTGAGATTAAACTTAAAGTAAACAATGAAAATACCCTGATATCAATAGCGCATGGCAACGGTGACTCAAATCGAGGATGTGTTGTGCATGTACAAGATTCAGCTGATAAAGTGATCTTTACCAACCAATATGACCCATCGTTTGATCTAGATAAGGTCCTTGCAGAAAATGACGAGAAGAGCAAAACAACCCCCAAGGGAACTCTTCAAATATCCATAATTGTTGCCATTTTTGGGATCTATTTCATTTATAAGAGATTTAAACTATCACGTCTAAAGAGATGTAGTTCTGTTTTAAACAAACTTTAGTATGGTAAACATACTTAAAGATTAAATGCTGAATTGAAATGAAATCCCAGCTGATGTTTTAATGACAACTCAATACTTTTATTTATCACTTTTATTATTTTATTACAATTGTTGTGTACCATTTAACAACAAATAAATATTGATCTTAACTCTCTATTCTAAAGTGATGCAAGTAGATTTATATCTCTTACTTTTCTTTCTTTTTTCTTGTTATTGGCATTTTAAATGTGACATGGTATAACATCAATATTTAACAAAGATATGTGGAAATTATGCAAGGAAGTATGCTAAGCACTTATTTATTTAATCATTTCACTGAATTCCTACAAAATAACTGTAGTATCTTATAATGAGGAGGTTATTATCTTTGAATGGATGGGTGTTTTAAAACTTATATATTCTGCGAAAGACTATTTCATTAAAAAAAGTTATAGACTAATACTCATATATACACTATTCAATAAAACACAACAGTTCTCTAATATAATACAAGGACACAAACAAGTACAACTTGTCCCCAAAAATCGGTGATCATAGATTTTTGATCCTGAATGCCCACACTAATCAGTTGAAGAGACAAGATTTAGAACAAAAATCCAAAATGGCTCCCTTAATATTAACCCAGAATGCCAAAATCTAATCAGTTCAAGATTTTCATACAAAGAATCATTCCTAAAAATTTGAAATCAATCTGTCAAACAACTATCCAATTTAAGACCATATGAGTGCTCGAACCATGTAGAGCAGCTAGAACTAGGGATACAGTATCAACAAACATATCTTGACCTTTGCAATAATTTGCCAAAGAAAATTGTTTGCTTACCGCATACGGGTGCCTACTGCAGCAATATGTCTATTCATGACACTGTTAGGTCGTCCAACATGGATCCCTAAAGACTTGTGGAGCATGTTGGCGAAGATCTCTACCTGGTCGATGCTGTGGTACTTGGCAATCTCTAGTCTTTCAGCAAGAAACTGAAAGAAAATGGAAGTTGTTCCCATAATGCATTTCAAAAAGCAGACGGTTTTATATAAACTGAAGGAAATGGAAATATTCCCATAATGCATTTCAAAACGCTGAAGATTTTATATAAACTGAAGATATGGAAATCATTCCCATAATGCATTTCAAAAAGCAGACGGTTTGACAAAAATTGAGGAAAAATAGTAGTTTAGCCCTAGTGGCTCTCTTACCTTAGACCATATAGCATGAGGGTAGACGAATGGTGGTTTAGGCCTGGGGGGTTCACCCTCAGAGACAGCTAGGGGATCAACTTCAGGATCCTCCACAGAGAACAGCCCTAACCGTCTGTCAATTGTCATCTGCCAGGAAGAAGACATCTCCTGCATAAACTGAAATTAAACACAATAATGTCATTTCAAAGAAATAAAATACAATATATGGCTCATTGTACATATACGGTAATAAAGAGAACAAAAAGAGATTTTTACTTAATCAAACAGTAAAACAAGACTTTTACTTTACAGATGCTGAACCCAGAATGTTGACTGCTGAATGTCGAACACCATCCACAAAACATTGAAGACTATAACAATATGTCACGACCAAACCAAATTTATATTTCTTATGGTAAGGCAAAAAAGGCAACAACACTGCATAACAATCCAATTATTGAAGGAATGAACTTAAAAAAAATTGTATCACACAAAATGCCGCCAAGAACTTTTTCCTTCATTGTACCCACCTGTAACGTTATTTCTGGATCTTCTTTTGCTGCAAGGAGCCATTCCCAGCATGCAACAGCTGCTTCCATGGACTTCTCTGTGAACAATGTTGCGGGAGACCAACAGAGTTCATGCAATAACTGTCTATTAACATGTGGCATTGAAATCAGGTATGCAGTAATCCTAAACAAACAGTCCTCATAGTTACCTGAAAGAGAATAAGTGTTCCATCCAATATTTACAATATCAGTACTGCTAATATTTACAATATCAGTAATGCCAATATTTACAATATCAGTAATGCCAATATTTACAATATCAGTACTGCCAATATTTACAATATCAGTGCTGCCAATATTTACAATATCAGTACTGCCAATATTTAAAATATCAGTACTGCCAATATTTACAATATCAGTGCTGCCAATATTCACAATATCAGTAATGCCAATATTTACAATATCAGTACAGCCAGTATCTACAATATGGCCATACTTACAGTATCTCCCTAAAGAACAACAATACATATTACAAGACATTAACACGCAAAATGTCACCACCTGCCATTTGCCACAGAAACTGATTGCCAAACACCAACCACTGAATGCCAACTGCCATCCACAAAAAAGTTGAAGATTATAACAATATCTTCTGATGGTGACATAATAATTCCCAATTATTATCAATTATGAAGAAATAAAACATATTACAACACCTTTTTTTTAAAATGAGAATTGATCAAATAATGAGAATATATATATATGAAAAACAGAAATAACCTGATAGAAACCATTTAACTGAGTACAAATGTTTTGTTTCTACCGACATCCTACTTTCACTGATTTGGCCATCTTTTTCAACTATTTCAAAATTGTGCCTGATGAGAACAACTTATCTGCTAAAGGTTAGAGAATCATCATAAACTTACCATCTTTGCTGGCTTCAGCATTCTTAATCTGCTTTGCCAGAGTTTTGGAGAGTACCTGGTCATCCTGTAGTGCAACCTTCATACCAGCCACCTCACCAGCAAATCTTGTACGCATGCTCAGCTTTGCCATGAATATTGAAGAGTCATATTTCACACATGAAGGTCTCTTGTCTAAAGTTACACTCTGAAATATTACAACATAGAGGTTTCTAATAATGTATAGAGTTACACTCTGAAATATTACAACAAAGAGGTTTCTTATGATGTCTAGAGTTACACACTGAAATATTAGAACAAATAGGTTTCTATACTAATGATGTAGAGAGTTACACTGTGAAATATTACAACAATGAGGTCTTAATAATGTATAGAGTTACACTCTGAAATATTACAACATAGAGGTTTCTAATAATGTATAGAGTTACACTCTGAAATATTACAACATACAGGTTTCTAATAATGTCTAGAGTTACACTCTGAAATATTACAACATAGAGGTTTCTAATAATGTATAGAGTTACACTCTGAAATATTACAACATAGAGGTTTCTAATAATGTATAGAGTTACACTCTGAAATATTACAACATAGAGGTTTCTAATAATGTATAGAGTTACACTCTGAAATATTACAACATACAGGTTTCTAATAATGTCTAGAGTTACACTCTGAAATATTACAACATAGAGGTTTCTAATAATGTATAGAGTTACACTCTGAAATATTACAACATAGAGGTTTCTAATAATGTATAGAGTTACACTCTGAAATATTACAACAAAGAGGTTTCTAATAATGTCTAGAGTTTCACCTTTAAATATTTCAACAATGGGGTCTCTATGAGTTACACTCTGAAATATTTCAAAAAGGGGGTAAAGTGTTATCAAAGATATAATATTTGATATAAAATAAGATATGAGCTTACCCCCAGAGGTGCACTGGATTTATTATAACCTGCATACTTGAGTACTGACTCAGTAGCAAGGGCAAGCCCGCTATGTTGCGTTAGACTTTGAACCCTCAGATATTCCATCAAATGGCTCCTAGTGGCATTCGGGGCCCATTTCATCGACTCTTGCAGTATGCCGACGCTCCGTGCAGCAAAGTCTTTTACAGTGCTTTCTCTTACTGACATATTGTCCATGAACCGGAGACTGTATGGCGTGCCAGGTACAGCAATCTGGGGGGTCTCCGCATGGGGGTCCTAATAATAAAAATGGATTATACTTAAAGGGACCCAGTGCCTAAAACTTTGAGCCTTTTTTGTCATATATTCATGACTGTAGCTAGGAATGAGGAATCAAGATTTTACAAAAATATGAATGCAGATATTTTTCGATTGAACATAGTCATGTAACTGTATAAAAGTGTGGTAATTCTCAAGTCGAAAGAATGCATTGTATAAGAATATTGGAGGTGGGGGCAGGTGGATGTGTACACTACAAGTGTTAAATACCACAAGTGTTAAATATGTACTTGTACATGTTAAAATAGTAGCTTAATTAGTTTAGTAGAATATATCGTACCATTTGTAGTGACTGGGAGAGTATCTGTAGAACATCTAGTACAGTCTTCAATACAACCCCACTCCACAACAAATGTGGGAACCTGTAACAGACAATACAGATTAATAAATGAATTATAGGGAATAGTGCTAATTAAAATGGCACATAAGTACTAAAATTGTAAGTACCAAATTAATACTAATTTAGTACCAAATTAAATTAGTGATAAACCTGTTAATATAATGAACAAGTAGAAAAATAGTTCTAAGTAAAATTACTTGATATGTATTCTATTATTCTTTCAAATCATAATCCTGATAAGGAAATGGATAAAGAATTAATTTCCTACAATTTTATATAATACGATTGTAAATAGTGTTGTCGCGATTAATCGATACATCGCGATATACATCGCCAAAGCTGATTCTGGCGATGCATCGATGTCTGAAACAAAACATCGATGTTTTTAAAAAATAATTAATTTGCTAAAAATCACCCTTTCTTATCTTATTTTGACGCAAATCGCTTACCTTTCTCATGAATTATTTCATTTTCCAATGTTTTCTGATATTCTTTTGCTTTAAAACTGCTTTAGCTAGTCGAAATGAACCATTAATCTAAAAAAATTACTTTTACTTTCATTTCACCGTTACTAGAAGTTCCCGGATGTACCAGCGTACTCTTATTAATTTGTTCTGTTCGGTATTTTAGTGCATTAGCGTTCGGTATTTCAGTGCACTTTTCTCGGACTTTTTCTCGATGTACATCGCGATGTGCATCGATGTTCACTCCTGAAAATTGCCGATGCATCGATGTACGATTATGGCACATCGCGACAACACTAATTGTAAACATGTAATTAATATATTTCATACAAATTGCGCAAAAATGCTGTCATATATATTATTTGTGATGTTCCTTACTTGTCAACGAGTTGGGAGAGATACTTGTCCGCCACTCTTCGAATAGGTCTGTGTACATGATTGAATTTGACCAATAGGAACTGAGCGTGCATTTCTAACTCAGTTGTTTTTGCCTCAGTTTTTGGCTGAAAGTAATAAATGAAAGTAAATTATGTCTGGTTTAACAGTATGTCTGGTTTAACTGTAGTAATGTCTATGAACTGTGTTCCTATGAGATTTCTCGACAACTTATTTGTGTTTCGGGTGGTTTGGTTACAATAATATATAATATAATAAATATTGTCTCATTCCAAATCAAGCCACATAATTATTTGTCTGAATCTGAAGTTGATGAATCCGTCTGCTTTTAAAGAAGTGCATTATGGGATACTGTATAACATGTATTAAATCCCGGATGCTTTATTTTCTGAATTGGATTAAAATTGTTATTGCCGAATAAAAGTTTGCCGACCTGACACCCCTAAATGTAAAGCCAAATAAAATATTGCTACGCTGACACCCCTAATTTTAATCACCTTCATTTGACTGACTCAGAAAACCTGACATCCTGACATTATGAGTGACAATTCGAGTGATTTATTCACATAATACCTGCATTCGATAGACTCAGGAAAATTAATACCAGGATTAAAACGTTTAATATTGGGATTAAAAACTTTTAATACTGGGATTTCCAAAGCACTTGGATACAATTAGATCTTCTGACATTTTAACTCTTTAACATGACAATCCTTTTAATATTTTATAGATTTTACTGCATGCATTTTAACTGCAACATTTTTATTAATAACTTTTTATTGTAATATTATGCTGGGGATTAAAGCTTCGATTTTATCGTTGATACTCGTTCGAAAATTACCCTATTACAGTAAGTTGACGCACGTTAGACAACTTCCATATTATCTCCCACTAAGATCGATCTTCAATTACTTAATTATATTGCCAAATTTTATGTTGCCGTTTCTGTTTAACATTCGGCAACTTTATTTCAACGGCAATATTTCATGTTATACAGTATATTACTAATCTTGGCTGGATTTGATTGGTTACATAACTTACCATTTCTGACATAGAGTTGAGGAACATCTTAAATGCCCGGTCTCCTACTGCTAATATACATTGCCACATACCTTGAAATTACACATATTGAAAATACAGACTTCTTCACCTTTTATTAATTAATGCAAAATTTTCCATAACATACAATAAATTAAGCTACATGTCTATACAAAGCACCAACAGTGGAGGCATTACAGACGCATTAACTGTATCTTAAATATAAGTTATTCAATATATCTGGCAAAACTGAAAATGCATGATTTTTAATCAAATGAATCGTCTGCTTTTAGAGAAGTGCATTATGGGATATCTTACCAGCTTTGTCTTTGATAATGGTGTCATCTTCAAGATAATGGAATATGTTATGGAATGCGTCTTTCTCTGGGGAATGGGCCACCCTAAAACAATACATTACATCCTTGCAAAAATGATATCAATTTCTAATTTTTTATGCACATGGAGATATGTATACATGAGTGCAATGTAGAATTTGATTCAGTGTAACTTTTCTTAACTATTTTCCAAAAATCCATTGCATTATGTTTCATTGTGTTCTCGGTAAAATTTGGTCAGATGAAGATTTACCGGTATTTACATTTGGCATATAAATCTGGATTTTTCTGACTTTGAAGAACTCACAAATTCTAAATCTTAATTTCAAATAACTCACAGGTTGTAACCAGAACTCAACGTAACGTGAGCATTTTAAGATCTGCGTGGAGCCGAAATGACTGCCAAGTCGGCTCAGACACATATAGTCCATGCCTTTGCTATGCTACCACCTAGCTAACTCACAGTATCAACAGAATCATGAGATCAAGTTAAAATCCACATAATTGCTCAGTTCATTTAGGTGTCACATATCTTTTTCAGATATTTCAAAAGGTAGAGATTAGATTTTTTCATTTTTTGTTCATTTTTGGAAATGGAAATGTTGCTTGTAATTTTGTCTCCGATTCAACCATTAATCTTATCATTAGGAGATGTACATGAATTCATTGTGTGCTAAAATACACAGTGTTTCATAATGACCTTCCCATCAACACCCAATCCTTGATAGCTTAACCCCATGTGTTATACATCATATGAAAGCTTGTTTAATTCTGGACTCAGTAATGCTGAGAAAAATAAAAATATTTGCTTGACTGTGGGTGAGGTAAGGTCATTACAAAACACCCTGTATAATAACAATACCTTAGCGTTTCTAGCCTGTATACTGAGAGAAGGTATGTGCACTGTGAAAAGCTGAGTTTGTTCACGAGGGGGACCACATCAGTAGGGTGTTCTAGTAGATTACATATACTCAATCTCAACTCATTCAGTTCTCCCTACAATCACATGTTACAAAGAAAATGTTCCTTTAATCACATGTTACAAAGAAAATGTTCCTTTAATCACATGTTACAAAGAAAATGTTCCTTTAATCACATGTTACAAAGAAAATGTTCCTTTAATCACATGTTACAAAGAAAATGTTCCTTTAATCACATGTTACAAAGAAAATGTCCCTACAATCACATGTTACAAAGAAACTATTCCTTTAATCATATGTTACAAAGAAACTATTCCTTCAATCACATGTTACAAAGAAACTATACCTACAATCACATGTTACAAAGAAAATGTTCCTACAATCACATATTACAAAGAAACTATTCCAAACACATTCTTAACTAGACAGAAAACAAAGGATAGGTCGAACTGTCAATATGTTACATATGATATACTATCATCTGATTTAGGGTTGATTTCCAAATGTTGACAGTGACCAAAATCTTTTTTCAAAATCATGCAACTTTTACACCACTTTGAGGACTTTTTAAGTGACTTTGGGCAAAACTTGTCAAATTTGAACCCCCCAGACCTGAAAAATGTTTTTATTGAGTGAAATTCAAGTGAATGACAAATCAACAGTTTCAAAGTTCATTTCACAATTGTCAAAATTTGGAACAAACCCTTTAGCAATCTTATAAATCTAATCTTAGTTGAACACATGTCATTTAAAATGTAGTTAAAATTTAACATAAGGTTCTTAAATGAAACACTAATGTCACACAATCATAGTTGTAGCACATGCACTTTTCCCTCCTGGATTTTGTGTGGAGGATTATTTTTTCTTTTTGTCAACATTTTTTTCATTTTTATTTTGACATTTTAAATAATGGCGAGAGGATTCATTCAAATCCTGTAAAATATAAAGCCAAATTTTCACTAAAATAATGCCTCTTTTTAGAATGAAATTCAAATGCCGAAAATGATGTTTTTTGTTGATCCAAAGACCACAGGGGGTACAAACCCTTCAGCCCCCTGGCAATAGCTTGTATAGGCGCAAATGTGCACTGTTGGTCAAATAAGCATATAAGATGTATATTAAATGTACTTATAACAATTACAAGAAACTACACGTAATATTGTAATAACATAGAAGAGTACAAAGCATACAATCTTAAATGTAGCACATATAATACAAAATGTAACGCATACAATCTTAACTGTAACACATACAATCTTAACCATAACATACATAAATGGTTGCAAAAATGTATATCCATATGATAGATCAAAGATGTTTATAAGAAAGGTAGAAAGATTGATCTAGACAAAGGAAAGATATAGATAAGACTGATCTTAGGACAAGGGAAAGGGTGAGAAATAGAGAAATATAAAGTTCATCCATAAGAGGAGGAAAGTGAACCCATGCATCCATAATTTATTAAAAACAAGGGAACCTTCTCTATTTACGCTATCGAGTGAAGTGAAATATGCTATTCCTGTACAATAGTGCCATCTTAGTACTAAGTTTAAAGGGACATTGTCTGTAATTCTGGTCATAATTGACCATATTTTTTTTCAATTCATAATGATTTTAACTTTTGCCATCAATAGTACTTTTTCAAGCTTTAGATCATATCGAAAAGCATTAGCTATTAGGCTACTGAGCGCACGCTGCATAAAACTAGGATTAAAATTGTTTTGCATTATGGGGAAATTCAGAATCAGAATTACAGAACACAGATGTTGACAATGGCCCTTTAATACACTACAGTTCAACTGTATTTGGTGACTTCATTAATTTTCATGTATCTAAAGGAATGAGATTCCAAGGGAGTGTAAACTATTGGAAGCAATTGTTTTGAAATCCATACAATGTTTTCCGGAATCCTGATATTATATATTTATCTATGTTTCAATTCTTTGCTTTAAAGATCAATGAATTATTCTGGAATTTCAGAAATTGGGCAGGTCATGACGAAGAATGATGACAGCAAAAATTGTCCTTTACATCTTTTACATTCTTTAACTGTGATTTTTAAGAACTCTGTGAAATCCAAATATTCCCAATGATCCAATGCTTGCCAGTTCAAGAATATGTTCATGAAATATTCTCAAATAGTTCATGAACAGTTCTTGTTTTTGCCTATAGGTGGCCACCACCCATCAAGCCATTGTCTCAACACCCGACAAAGGAACATTCTATTTCTCTGCCTTAAATCAGATTCTATCCAATCATGAGAGGTGTCACAGAAAAGGCAAGGGTTTCAAAAATCAAGAAACACATGATCCCAAGGAAATTAATAATAACAATGGAAAAGTGTGTATTAATTAATTAAGAATGGCGAAAAAAGCTATATATAAATATCCGAAAGCTTTGCATTTAACATATTACAAACCTCGACTTTTGATTTATGTACCAAATACATGACGTTACTTTCATAGTACGTGGGGTGAAACAACAGGAGCTCAGTTTCATTCTAGAAGAAACACATGACGAAAAATAAAGATTTGGGAAAAATAGGGGACTTGCTATATACAGATGGATACATAGTCTAACATAGATGGCAGTGGTAGATTTGGTCGGGCTAGCATATTCTAATTTCTATTATGGAGACTTCAGCTCACAACAGTTACTTTATTTCCTGAATTATCAGATAATGTAAACTCCATTGCCATGCCAATTAGATGGTCTCGTTAACATGGTTATTGTAATTTAACCTTACAATTGTGACTCTTAAGAGTGAATCAATGTTTGAAAATTGTCAATGGAATTTAGCCCGACCTTTTTCAGAAAAGATGAAAATCATAGTAAATTGAAATAAATACATTTACAATTAAATCAAAGTTCTTCAGGTCGAAAAATATGCTCAGAAGAGTCTAAGTCCTTTAGTGGCTGAATATTAGCAAATCTATTAAAATCCCCTCAAAAAATAGACTCCAGTGAGAAGTAAAGGCTATAGCAAAGCTCTTAAACTTTACATGGGGCCTTTAAGAAAAATAATTTATCAAAATGTCTAAATAGAAAATAAGAACTGAAAAGCAAAGAAAGTTTCAAAAGACAATCAAATGACTAAGTGGGAATAAGGAAAGTAAAACAATGTGTTTAGGGGAGTACTCAATTGATTGATTAACTATGGGCTTAATTTGTCTCTCAGTAGCAAAATTCAAAGTGATGTTTTTTGTCAAATTAAGAGATGCTGTCCAATGTTTGGAAAAGCAATGTCATCATGGATTAACTTCCTCCTCCATATAACAGCATTTGAAAATTTGATTTTAATTTCATTTACAAAAATCAACATAATTCACTCATGAAAATCATCATTTACCCCCTCCCCTAATGAAATTTACATCATTTTACTGCAAATGTTGGCATCCTGACACCATCACTAAATCCCTTTATTCTTATTTTCATAATTTGTGAAGTATAAAGCATAGCTTCAATGCAATTTTGAGTATATCTAAGGAAGGAAAAAGTATAATTTTCATATTGTATCTAATGGAGAACAAAGTGCCCACTTTTGTTGAATGACCCAATATTTACACCCCTGGCTTTGAAAAAGCATTAAATTATCCTATCATTTATTATATAACGTTTTTTATTCTTCGTGGCCAACTTCCACAGCAGAAAAACATAGCTGAGAATTAATTGCAAAGAATTGTACTTACGGGTGCTACACTGTCATTTTTCAATGCAGAATTGTATGTGAGGGCTGCACGTAGATGCTCCTTTGATATCAAGAGTGGGGATTTTGTAGCTATCTCACATACCCCTTCGTACCATTCCTGGGGCCACAAACCTATAAATGTAATGTATATGCACTTTTATATTAAGCTGCAATATTGACAATGCCAGTATAAATTAGTTTTTTAAACTTGATCAGAATGTATTTTTGGAAACAGTTCCATAAACTTTTTGATAATTTAACTCGACCAACCAAGATTCCACAAAATGATTTCTTGTCCAACTAAAGTCAATATTTTCTCAAAAATGGTACCATTCAATGGGCTAACATAAGTAGCAGCCATGCCAAATGGAGCAAACTACTGTTATCAATGGCCCCATAGAATGGATCTGACCATTATTACAGAAATATACATGTCATGATATAGGGAGAAAATCAATAAACTCAAGGCCTGTGTTACACTTGCTAACTGTATATTGAATGCTCTTACTATGCTAGAATATTTTCTGTCCCTATATCTTGACACTGTTATACAGAAAACAGCCAGTGCTTAGATACATTTGATAAGGGGTCAACATAAAAAGTAGTAAGCCTAGCAATTCAAGGTATTGTTCACTTGGGAGTCTTAGTTCCATTTGATGTCAATGAGGGTGGGGGGGGGGGGGGGTCAATGTACAATGTAACGAGTCTAGCAAGCAGGTCCTGAAGCAAAGAAAGTAATTCACTTACCAGAATCTTCCACTGCAAATCCCATGACAACACAGTACAGCCAGAAATCACGGAATAGTTTCTGAAGACGAGGCTTTTGATCTTTTATAGGTGGCATCCTGCGTGTCAGCTGAAATTATGGGACATACTATGAAGGATTTGTAAATTATTGTGAGCGAATTATTGACAAAAGGAGGCCAAATATTAAATTAGTGATTTTGGGAGATATTGAATTGTGACTATCCTTATACTGACATAAAGTTGACCATTTAAAAGTTAATGCACATGTTTTATACTTATTCTGATTTGACAAAAAGAGACATAATGGGATGGAAAGTCTTGAATTTCAAAATGGGTGCCTTATTATAACCTAGCATGCCTAAAATCTCGATCATGACACGAGTAGATGCTTTCAGTTAAACAGGTGAATGGTCTTCTCGACAAGATTTCTAGCCCAACCTAACCAACCACCCATCAACACAAGATGACAACATAATATAACACTTACCAATGCAATAACTGGTATGAGTACACCTAAGTTACCCGCACTGCTTGATGCCTTCAGGGCCCCTGGTGCTCTTTCACAGGCCCTCTTGCCCTCCAGCCCAAGCTGAACAAACAGCTCTAGAAGACGCACAAGCAGGTCATGCATCTCCTGCTGACCTGATGTGTTTGCTGCAATGTTGGCAAACGCATTGATCACTGCTAGAGACACATGCCTAGAAAATGAAGGTTTAGGATTAAATATATAACTATAGATGAGTCAGACTTAGCATGCATTGATCACTGCTGAACGCATGCTTTGACACATGCCTGAAAATGGAGGAAGATGGTTTAGAACTAAATATATAATAACTAGAGATGGGTAAGACAGCAAATGCATTGATCATTTAGAGACACATGCCTGTAAATGGAGGTAGATGGTTTAGAACTAAATATATAATAACTAGAGATGGGTAAGACAGCAAATGCATTGATCATTTAGAGACACATGCCTGGAAATGGAGGTAGATGGTTTAGAACTAAATATATAACTAGAGATGGGTAAGACAGCAAATGCATTGATCATTTAGAGACACATGCCTGGAAATGGAGGAAGATGGTTTAGAACTAAATATATAACTAGAGATGGGTAAGACAGCAAATGCATTGATCATTTAGAGACACATGCCTGGAAATGGAGGTAGATGGTTTAGAACTAAATATATAACTAGAGATGGGTAAGACAGCAAATGCATTGATCATTTAGAGACACATGCCTGGAAATGGAGGTAGATGGTTTAGAACTAAATATATAACTAGAGATGGGTAAGACAGCAAATGCATTGATCATTTAGAGACACATGCCTGGAAATGGAGGTAGATGGTTTAGAACTAAATATATAACTAGAGATGGGTAAGACAGCAAATGCATTGATCATTTAGAGACACATGCCTGGAAATGGAAGTAGATGGTTTAGAATTAAATACTGTAGAACGCTTATTGTGCATGAAATCCAAGGGATTGAACGTTCTTCCTTGAATGGACACTTATACTGAAATAAGGCCTTTGGAAGGTATTTTGAATATTTTCTTTTTTTTACAATTTTTCTCCTCTTTATTAATACATATTAGGACCCTGAGAATATAGTTCTAAACTAATCTCTGAACAAGTTAGACAATTATACATTTGAGCACCCTTGGGTAACATATAAGAAAATACCTGCCCTTTTTTCAAGGTTATTTCATATAAATCACATTTTACAAGTTAAGAACAGCTAGTACATGTAATATTACAAACAATGTGAATGAAACCCAAGCCTAGGTCAACAGACATTTTTGGCTTTTGCGCATAAAATTCCACATACCTATAACCATGTGTGTTTCCAGCTCTACTGTATGCTGCACTACTTTCTATGCTTATCATGTTGAACATTGTCATCACCTCCTGGTGAATAGTAGGCTGAAATATCAGAATGGAATAACTCAGTAATGATCTGCCATTTAATATGGTAAAGTAAAGTGCAGCATTGTGGGCTGATTATCATTTCTCCATGGTGTTGTTTCAAACTTTGCATGAGATTTGCAGAGTGGAGTGCTATGTTTAGGAAAATGCCTGAGTGGAATGAATCAGCCACAATGCATGAAGTCTTGGGCTTAAATGTTTTATACACATTTCAAAAAATACATAGTCACAGATACAGACAATATAACACTGAGGAAAGTGTAATGAAAACGACAAAAGGTCTTACACATCCAGCAATAATGATACAGCCGAGTTGGTCAATTATCAGCACGTCAAGGGGAGACGGAGGATTGCAGAACTTCTGTTGGAAAATCTGCAAAACGGATTCTGTTGTTTTGGGCATTTCCTTTGACATAACAGCTAAGTGTCCCAGAACCATGATTGTGTTTGTCGAAATCAATGTAGATTCTCTGTAATCAAAGGTAAAAATAAACTCAAGTATTTTGAAATGATGTTATTTTTGCTTTATCATCTATAGATTTACATTACATCTACTCTGATTTACATTAATGTATCTTATCGTAAAACTAACTTTGTTCTCTTGGCTTTAGGAAAAAACCCTAACTCATAAAAATTGCATTAGGATGTTCAGTTATCAAGTGATCTCAATTCATCCACAAAATCTTAACTTTTTTGATTTTCAAAATGTTTTTTCATCTCCATAGTTTAAATTTTGAGTACATAATATTCATTACATGAAGTGATGAAAAGTTTCAAATTAATTAAATGCTGTTAATATTTCAGTATTTTTATATAAAAGTGACTAGTTACAATGGTTGCATTCTGTAGTATTTACAGGGTGACCCAAAATACAAGCTTCTATCTATGGAACAACATTTTCAGTTTTGTCGTCTATCGTCTATCTTAAGTTTTGTTGTGAAAAGAAAGTAAGAGTTCAATGGAAAATCAAGAAAATCAAGAAGATTTCACCAAACTTAAGAGTTATTTTTGTGTTAGAGTGTTGCAATTTTGGGTCACCCGGTATAATAATAAACCACTCTGGCAAACACAATTGCCCTGACATGCTCTAAAAGTAAGTATTACAAAACATGATACCACAATTAATAAATACAAAATCATCCGTCTAACACCATGCTGTGTAATGACAAAACATACAGAGTAACCACAAAAAATGATCATACTATAAACAACCCCTATCCTAACTTTCCTAAGTACAAAATAATTATTGGTTAGATGAAAAATAGATTAATTTCAAATCTTTGGTTGCTCCTAGTAACTAGAATATTTTTATAAAAAATAAAATAATCATGCAATAAATTAGTATCATACAGGGTGATCTGAAATGCAATCTCCTAATATGGTGTCACCCTGTAGATAATAGTGATCATCAATGTCATAATTTGTTGCTGTATAAGTAACAAGTTACTTCCATTGGAGGAAACAGCAGTGAAAATTGCCAAGTGGAACAAGGAGTATGTAAGTGGCAAAGCACCAGTGAGACAATTTTCTTGGTCCAAAACATGTTCCACTTACACAGGTATTTGAAAGAAAACAATTTTTGATTATACTGGTATAAAGACCATGAGCATGGATATAAGAGTCAATGACATAGTAATGCCAAAATTATAACAAAATATAACTTTCTTGGTCCAAAAGGTGTTCCACTTACACAGGTATTTGAAAAATGTTGATTTTTGATTACACTGGCATAATGACCACATGCATGGATAAAATAGTCAATGACATAGTATAAGCAGGGGTTTCATTAACAGCAGGCAATAGGCGATTTTAACCAGTTGTTTTCACAAAATCGCCTGTTGTTTTAGGGACTTTTCAACTTTTCCATGTTAAATTTATGATTTCCATTAATTTTGCCCATTGTTTTCATTTATTTAGCCTGTTGTGAGAAATTCTGGTGAAACCCTTGTATAAGCCAAAATTATGACAAATGATGACCACCATTAGAGTAAATAAGAGCTGTACATTTGTTGGTTGTTGATCTTTCTCTGGGAGTGCGGTGTCAGGTGCTTCAAATTCAATAGACCTTCTTTCACTCGTAATAACCCATCTTTCTGACCATCTTTTAAACTTCTACATGAGAAAAATGAAACTATGCTATACTCTGAGGCTCTAAATAGAACATTGATATGTTATGCTCATGTTCTGAAATATCCTGGGGACAATATAATATAAAAGTATAATATGAAGGCTCTTGGTCAACTCAACCCCAAGAGGTAAGAAAATGTGTCCACAGGTATTTGAGATCAGGTTGGATTAACGAACAGATAGACAGACAGATGGACAAACATAGAGGGCTTTCTTTTACTTTCAAATTTTGTTCAACTACAAAAGAATGGTAAAATGTTTGCAAAAAAAGCAGATACTAAATGTAGATGGTTTACAAGGTGCACTCTTGATTGTAAATTGTTGTAAATTGGGATTGTCAGGGTAAGCATAATAAATTTAAACAAATGCTGTAACCATAACAACCCTTAATTTTTCTAGATAATGTAACGTGACATCATAGCCATACATTCATTTCTATTGTGATGTCATAGGATAATTTGAATTCCACCAGAGGCTTTGTTTATGGCAACCATTATAGGCTGTGATGTCACAGTTGAACAAACAATACTGTTGCCGGGCTCCTTGTTTTATAGCAACCATATCATTGTGATGTCATAGAACATAATCAATATCACCTGGGAATCTTGTCTCTGATCAGAATAAACAAAACTACTGAACAGCAAAGACAAAGATCAATTTGAAGAGAATCTTACACTGCATAACTATCTTATAATATCTAAAATGACACCACTGCCTAACAGAAGCCATAAGATAAGGAACATGACAAGCAAAATATGCTTTTGGAAATCGATGGAGACGAAGCAATTTTGGAAAAGGAGTAATAGAATCACTCCTTTCATTCAGCCAGAAGATGTTGAAAAAGAAATTGAAGAAGTCACTCCAGTTGTTGAATTGAATGAAATAAACCTGGTAGAATGGCCTGAAATGGACTTTTCCAAATATGGAAAAAATGGGATCTACACCGGTAAAAAACGCAACATGGAGACTATTTTAATGATGTCACCTGTGTATGATCCTACATTTTCAAATCCCCCAAAGAGGTCACTACTTGAGAGGGCAGTACACAGATTAGGAAAAAGGGTAAGAACTTTCTCAAATGTTTCATTTGTTGATTCCTCATTTGCATTCAAAAGGGTAAATGAAATAATTGTGTCATTGTATGTTTCAAAATTAAATTAATTGTGTCTTTAATTATATTTTTCAGGCACGAGAAGCTAAATACGCCATCACTTCTGCCTTAAAGAAAGATGATAGCGAATCAAGCCCAAAACAAGATATTAGCTGCCAGAAGACTAATGAAAGCAAATCTGAATTCAGTATCTTCTAAACTAAGAGTCATCTCATGAAGTGTTGAAGAAATGACTTCGAGTCATAGCAAGTGCAGCATGAAAACAAGAACTGTTTCATGGCAGTGTATGAGATGTGTAATGACACTGTTTTATGATAAACTGAAGAAAAAGGCAATCGCTATCACGGCGTAGATATACTTTGAATACTGTATTGTACATGTGTTAATGATATTTGTATATTGTGTAAATATGCATGTTTATTTCTGATTTGTATAATTTTCTTGTAATGTTGTATATAGTGTAAATAAATTGTACATATGTTCTTATATAAAATCCAGTCTTAGTTTTATAATATAATGCCAAACCTTGACCAAGTGAAAATGAGGTTGAACTGACATTTCCTTTCTCTCATCCTTTAAAGTTAAGCAATGTAAAAATAGTAAAAACTCTTCAGAGACTTCTTTTTACAAAATATAATACTACTATTATTTAAACAATTTTGGATTGAGTTGCCTTGGCATTGAGATGACCATGTATTGAGTTGACTTGGGGTTGAGATGACCATGGGTCGAGTTGACTTGGGGTTGAGATGACCATGGGTTGAGATGACCTGGGGTTGAGATGACCATGGGTTGAGTTGACTTGGGGTTGAGATGACCATGGGTTGAGTTGACTTGGGGTTGAGATGACCATGAGTTGAATTGACTTGGGGTTGAGATGACCATGGGTTGAGTTGACTTTGGGCTGAGATGACCATGAGTCGAATTGACTTGGGGTTGAGATGACCATGGGTTGAGTTGACTTGGGGTTGAGATGACCATCAGTTGAATTGACTTGGGGTTGAGATGACCATGAATCGAACTGACTTGGGGTTGAGATGACCATGAGTCAAATTGACTTGGGTTTGAGATGACGCATTATCTTTTGAGGAAATTCAATTTATTCCATCAAATTATGTCATCTCTAACTAATGGGTAGAGTAATAGTAAAATGAGAATCTAAAAAAGTCACATAAGTACAATGAAAAAAATTATGAGGCAATTAAATTAACAATATCATGCAGAAGATGACGTAAAACATCTACAAAATAGATAAATTGTAAATATCGTTATTACAATATGCTATCACATAATGTACAAAAATGGGAATCTAGTGTACAACAGTTAATAATCATAAATCCATAGAAAATACATACTGGCTAAAAAATACAGGAACCAGAATTGGTAGCAAATAAGAATATGAACATGTTCTATAAGACCTGATGCTGAAAAAATACTGTAATTTGGCTACTAAATTTGGACAGATGGTGACTGAGTTCTGAAAGTACTATTAGTAAATCCTATACTTGTTCCCTTTACCTTTGAGGTAATTAGCATGTGACTTTGTCAGGTTTTTCTCATCCCATTTACAGTAATAGTTTCTCAAAATATATCACTAGAAGACAAAATCTGAGTATATCGGCAATTCATTTTAATTGCAGGTGAATCATTGCAAGGATTGCTTACATTGCACTCTCTATCCTTTCGAATTCCTTTAACATCTGAAGATATACAGCTATAATTCAAAGATACAATATTATAAAAGATATAATGTCATAAAATGTCATATCAAATTTATACAATAAAATGAGTAAAAGTGCGTACCTGTCGCTCATATCTGCTGTGTAGAGTCTGTTAGAAAGGGCTGCAAGGAATGCTTGAACACACTCAGCATCAGTTGCAAGACCTGACTGCAACCCCCTGAAAGATATTAGGGTTATGTACTGGGAGGTTTTGGATACAGGGTATATCTGAGGGAAATATGTGTACATGTGTATATCTGCTCCGTAGAGTCTGTTAGAAAGGGCTGCCAGGAATGCTTGAACACACTCAGCATCAGTTGCAAGACCAGACTGCAACCCCCTGAAATATATTAGGGTTATGTACTGGGAGGTTTTGGATACAGGGTATACCCTGAAGGAAATATATGTACATGTGTATATCTGCTGTGTAGAGTCTGTTAGAAAGGACTGCAAGGAATGCTTGAACACACTCAGCATCAGTTGCAAGACCAGACTGCAACCCCCTGAAATATATTAGGGTTATGTACTGGGAGGTTTTGGATACAAGGTATATCTGAGGAAAATATGTGTACATGTGTATATCTGCTCCGTAGAGTCTGTTAGAAAGGGCTGCCAGGAATGCTTGAACACACTCAGAATCAGTTGCAAGACCTGACTGCAACCCCCTGAAAGATATTAGGGTTATGTACTGGGAGGTTTTGGATACAGGGTATATCTGAGGGAAATATGTGTACATGTGTATATCTGCTCCGTAGAGTCTGTTAGAAAGGGCTGCCAGGAATGCTTGAACACACTCAGCATCAGTTGCAAGACCAGACTGCAACCCCCTGAAATATATTAGGGTTATGTACTGGGAGGTTTTGGATACAGGGTATACCCTGAAGGAAATATATGTACATGTGTATATCTGCTGTGTAGAGTCTGTTAGAAAGGGCTGCTAGGAATGCTTGAACACATTCAGCATCAGTTGCAAGACCAGACTGCAACCCCCTGAAATATATTAGGGTTATGTAATGGGAGGTTTTAGATACAAGGTATATCCTGAAGGAAATATGTGTACATGTGTATATCTGCTGTGTATAGTCTGTTAGAAAGGGCTGCAAGGAATGCTTGAAGTCACTCAGCATCAGTTGCAAGACCAGACTGCAACCCCCTGAAATATATTAGGGTTATGTACTGGGAGGTTTTAGATACAAGGTATATCCTGAAGGAAATATGTGTACATGTGTATATCTGCTGTGTATAGTCTGTTAGAAAGGGCTGCTAGGAATGCTTGAACACACTCAGCATCAGTTGCAAGACCAGACTGCAAACCCCTGAAATATATAAGGGTTATGTACGGGGAGGTTTTGGATACAGGGTAAATCCTGAAGGAAATATGTGTACATGTGTATGTGTATATCTGCTGTGTAGAGTCTGTTAGAACGGGCTGCCAGGAATGCTTGAACACATTCAGCATCAGTTGCAAGACCAGACTGCAACCCCCTGAAATATATTAGGGTGATGTACTGGGAGGTTTTGGATACAAGGTATATCCTGAAGGAAATATGTGTGCATGTGTATATCTGCTGTGTAGAGTCTGTTAGAAAGGGCTGCAAGGAATGCTTGAACACACTCAGCATCAGTTGCAAGACCAGACTGCAACCCCCTGAAATATATTAGGGTTATGTACTGGAAGGTTTTGGATACAGGGTATATCCTGAAGGTTTTTGATATAGGCGGAACCCTGGAGGAAATATGTGTAAATGTAGCTGATACCTTATGTAGAATTGTATTGTAAATATTCAAGGATCATTTTGAAGCTAACTGAACTCCTAATTGCAAATTCCTTTATTGTTACTTATATTATACTATATTTATTTTGAAGTATTTGAAATTGTATTTTTATAACATTATAAATTTCACATTCTTTGTATTCTTTAATTTTCAGTATAAATTACAAATCTCTTCATTTGGAGTATTCCGAAGTCTACAAACACATTCACAATTGGATCTCCGATGCAAAAATATGCATTTACTTTTTTGCTATACCTTAGTTTGATCTACAATAAGCATCTTTATCCCAATCTCTCACCTGCAAATGTTTTCAATCGCAGCGTCTCGTAAATTTTCAAATGCTGTCAAAATTTTTGTTCGGGGTCCTCTTTTGGATGCATTTATACTCGACTTACTCTCGTCCGTCACTGTAACACTCAGAGCACCAAATTTGGACGTCTTCTCGACACAGCTGTATTTGTTCAATTTGTTAAGAATTGGGGATGGATTGATGAGAAATTCTCGAAGTGACGATACAACTGAATTTGCAAGATGTGGAAATTTTTCAGCCAGTTTTCCAAGAGTCTGTAAAATATGATTAAAATTGGCTATAAGGAAGAGTAAAAGGAATTTAATCATTATAATGGGCCTGGATTATACATGTATAATATTTTTCATAATTTTATTCAATCTAGTGCATTCAGTTTAAGGGGTTTGGGGTTAAGCCAAATACATTTTAATTTTGTCTTTTCCTTTTTACAATGGATACAAGGTGTCAGAAATTGCATGATATAGTGTGTCTTAGGATCCCTAATGGGTGATCATAAATATCTTAAATATTGTACAGTGGTCAGTCAACAGTCCTGTGATTGCTTTATATAGAGTATCTCATGACCCTTACTGGATGATCATACCTGAATGCAGACCATGAGTAAAGGCTGATGTGCTAGAATCATCTTGTGGTCCATGCTACTATTGATCTTCTCAGATAGTCTACTACACAGGCTTTCTGCACCTATAGCAGACAATGCGATTGCCATTTACGCAAAAACATTAAAATACTCATCATTACATTATTTTCTCTCCATAATTTGTCATATTTTTTCAACCATTCAATTTCATTTTTCATATACATTTACTGTGCATTTGTTTCTTAAATTCTGTATTATTTTAATGGGTAAGTAATATCATGATTTTATGTATTTATATATATCTTTAAATACAACACAGTTAAATGTATGGCCGATAAAATATAGAAACATAAATGAAATTATGGGATATATAGTATTCAGCTAAATTATGGGATATACTTAAAAACAGCATACCCGATTCTTCCTGAATCGCCCAGAACAATAGATCAATGCAGACGGCATTACTCTGCACAATCAAACTGTATGTATCTAGTGTCTTGGAACGCTCGCTGCGATCTTCACGTGGTCGCTCTGAAAGTGCAGTCTGTCCAGAGGCATAGAGCACTTTAACAAAGTCTTGGATTTCCTTAGTAAATGAGGCTGGCACATCTGAAAGGAAATGTTTGGTATAGATTTCTCATCATATTGAATAGAACTTTATTTTATGCTGCTAAAGAATTCACTTTTCAGTCTTATCTTATTTTTTGTTGAAACTTGAATCTAAAATTAAAGTTGAATGCTTCTTACTTTTAGTTGATATTTCATTTAATATTAAACATACTTTTCTGGTGGTAAAGCAGATCTCTAAGCACAGTCACTAGCACCAGGTATAAGGTCTCATTGAAAGATTTGTACGGAAACTGAGTCACATGCCCACCCTGAAACAGAACATCTTAGAATAAAAAAACATTTTCATAGTATGTGAATTGCAATACATGTATAAGTAAAGCACTGTTTGCACCACTGAACATACTATGTAACTTGAGAAAATGTAAGAAAATTCAACAATAATTGAGAAAGTTCATGTAAAATTCGAGGGTTATGCAAGAAAATTAAATCCTAACTGTCATATATTTATATATATTTAGTGGTGTGAGACCTTCATCGATAACTGTGGAGTTATACCATGTGCGACATCGGGTTCTGAGAAAGCTATTCCGAAATTAGGGTTGCGTTTTGGGTCACCTTATGCATAATTCACTTACTGCAAATAACTCGGACGCATCCACATCCAACGCAACCATTAACTCCTTATTGACCATCTTTACCGCAATCCCCAGCAAACATTTCAGCTGCGATTGGCTCAGATGGATTTTCCCGAATGTTTCTTCTTCGGGTTTGGTCGTCTGTGAAGTTGGTAGGTTTGTTTGTGGAAAACTGGATCCAATAACGCTAAAGTAGTTGACCCTGACCTCTGCACTGCCATCAGGAGATTTTGGTGTTGTAGGGACTTCTACGGGAGATGGAGATTTTGAACGGGATCGTACACCTGAAAATAGTGTGGATCCATAAAATACAGTAAAAACCTGACTAATCTGAACCCCACTGGGACCCCCTTAAGTGTTCAGATTAGCGGATATTCATATTTCAAGGTTTCTTTATATGTGAGTCAATGGGTCTAAAATTGGGACTGGAAAAGTGTTCACATTAAGATGAGTTCTGATTGAACACCGTAATACAAAGAGAAAGTGTCTTTGTAACAAGATGACCTACCTTTTAGTGACAGATTTTCATAAAATATTTTCCATTTTATCAACTAACACATTTATTACAGACACCCATTCATGGCAGGCATACTATTTAACCAAATCTTGGACCTTCATGAATTATGATGTGTTTGTATTATGATACCTCACAGCAATTTTTCAATAACCTATTTCACAACAAAAAATTTGCTTACTTTGGCCTGTAGGGCTTGTAGGACTAGTACTCCTTGACAGTCCCTCAGTGAGAATATTCCTAGACATCACACGGGGAATAATGGGTCGAAATGTAGTGAAGGCTCGTTTTGGGCTGGTGACTGGTCGTGTTGGGTGACATATCAAGGGTGTCGCAGTTGGAAATAGATGGCAGATAAGTGGTGTGGCGTCAGTACTCGTGCGACCAAATCCTCGTACTATTCCAATGAATATCGGGATGGTGGTCTTGCAAATTTCCACTGAAAGTAAAATTTATTTTTAGAATCTAATATATATGCAAAAATGCCAAAAAGAGGATGAGTAATTACAAAATACATTGTATGGGAAAACAACATAAATTTGTAACTAATACCTCATAAAAAAGCCCCAAATATCCCCAAAAGCTGAAGTTAGAGTAATGTAAATGGAGGTCTCCAAAATAAAATTCATCAGAAAAATCCCGAGACTTTGGAATCTCTTGTCAAGAATCAGCATCGAATATTGGGATAGGCCATGTGACATCATAATTACATGGTCAGTATGATTAAAGCCTAGAAAGAATTGTATTTGAAGTCAAGAATAGGATGAATATTTATCTGAAACTCAGAAATATTTTGAATGGAAAAAAATATCACATACTTGTATAACTCATAAATGGTCAAAGTTGTGGGTTTCAACCCCAATAACTCAGACTATTCAAACACAAATATATGTCAAATAACAATTGTGTGTGCAGTACATTGATTGTTTTTAATAAAATTGTCAGTCACACACAATCATTGATTTTTTCATGATTGCCAATTTTTTCAATATGCAACAATAAGTGGTTTATACGTAACAAATATATATAAACCATTTTAACATTTCACAAGACAATTATGAAAATAAAATGTAACAATGAGTCTTTTTTAACCCAACGCTAGAGAAAACTAAAATAACAAAAATGGTGACTTACATTTGCTTTGTTCATTGGCTGAAGAGCATGCTCTGCTAAGGATTTGTAACTGGTCGAGTAAGGTTGTCACGATTTCATTCTGGAGTTCCCCCTTCATCCCACACACATCACACAGTATTGTAGTGAGACAGAAGCTGAATGCCTCACAGTTAGGCAATTCTGAAAAAAAGATACAATAAATGTTAGGCAATTCTTAAGAAAGAGTTACAATAAAAGTTCGGCAATTCTGAAGAAAGAGTTACAATAAAAGTTAGGCAATTCTGAAAAAAGAGTAACAATAAAAGTTAGACAATTCTTAAGAAAGAGTTACAATAATTGTTAGTTTGATAATTGACTCACTGTCAGCATTCTTGTTCTGTGGTCCATCATGCCATTGAGCTTTGGGGAGTTGTTTCACAATGTCCAATAAATAGACCAGGATCTTCTCATAATGCTGAAAGTATATGCCCATCAGAATGGTTCATAGTTTGAGTTTTTTGTGAGAGATTAAACAAGGCAAAAGTCCCCCCAATTTTAAAATGGTAACCATCATGAAAATTTTTTTGCGTAAAATTTTTTCCAATATGTACATCTTTCCACCAAATGTGAAGGAAATCTATGCACTAGTATTTGAGTAATCAGGTGGTTTCACTGTAGTTATTATTCAGTGATATCCCCGGGTCAAAATCACAACAAAACAGGGTGTTAAATCCCAAATCCCAATTTTACTTGTTTTTGTGAAAATATATCATTATATTTCATCTTTTTTAGAGCAGGTTGCAAACAGTTTTTCAACAGATTAAAACAATGTAATGTCTACTTTGAAAATTACATACAGTTTAATAATACTTTGTTAATACTGTGGATAAGTTCTGATTATATATATTTCTGCATTATACAAGTATCAAAAAATGTATTTATTTGTTGTTTTATGAACCTGTTTAATAGCTCTTAATATATATATAAATAGCTAATAGTGTTAATCCTTCCCATAATAATTTATTGTTTGATCCCCTATTATATGGTTATACAACAGTTGATTTATGCTTAATAGCAGGCTTTAGCAGCATTTAATAATCATTTTTATCTTGGAATGATACGGGATGTCATCGACTACTTTGGATGATGTGTTGGAACGGGTCGTTTTTACAAGAAATTTCAATATTTAATATTTACACACAATAATTATTTTATTGAAAATATGCTTATTCACAGGAAAACGATTGACATTGTTATCGCATGTACCAGTTCATTTTATCTGCGAATAAGTAGCTTTTTAGTTAAACACCTGCCTCCGCCACGTCATCCAAATTAGTTGAAGACACCCCCTGAATGTAAACTCAGATCTGATATGGTTGTGACTACAATCTTTGTTGAAAAAATTTCTTCATAAATGTTTTTCACTAAAAACGGTCAAAAAACAATATAAACACAATGACAAACAAATAAATTACCTGTAATTTCGATTCCAAAAGGTATACACCCAGAGCAATTATGGCTTCTTGTCCTCTCTTGTCAAGTCTCAGAGCAGAAGCATCTTTGTTCACTTTGGGGCACAGGGCAACTAATCGGCTTACCTATAACACATTTAATATAATGTAGTATAAGACTTATAAGATAAGTATGTGTCTGTATTCTGGCTTTGCACCAGTTATGATTCTATTCTTATTCGCTTGCTATTTAGGAACAGAATTGCGATAAACATAAAGTGAGGCTATGACAAACCTTTAAAGGTGTATGTTTTCATGCACATACACAGGTGGTATAAAGTCTGTCAATATTTCTGACTGAATTTCCGACTAAAGTGAAAAATGTACCTGTCACCTTAACTATCAAATCAGAAGCAACTTTATCAGTCAGGCAGATATTTTTAGTAAGTAATTTAGTAAGTTTTAAAAAATACTAAAAAGTTACGAAATTGCAAATTGTATTTCTCGAAAGTCTGTAACCTTTTAGTAAGTTTTTGAGACTTATTAAATTAGTAAGGTTCGATAAGCTATGTGACTTCATGGCTTTAATTCTCATATTCCATTGTCAGTTGGGACGTTTATTGCAGTCCCAAAGAAAATATATTAATGCGAGGACAGCTGAGCATGTGAGGGAATATAGTCCACAATTATATCAATGCTAAATTGCAATAAATGTACTTTTATTCATATGGACATCGAACCTTAATGAATTTCTTGTATGCTTAATTTATCTGTTTTATATAATGTCTGTAAAAACGAAAGTAAGACTTTCAGTTTGAAAATGTCCAAAAATTTCTAAAGGAATATGAAATCAGAACAATTTATTTAATTTACAGCTTATTATTTCACTCAGACATCTATCATCAACATCATCTGGAAGAATACACCCAAATGGACTTGTTGGAAAAGAAATTGTTGCTGGTAATTCAATAACATTCATGAATGGAGGTGATCTTTCAATTTTTTTTAGTAAATTCATTGCAGATTCAATAATGGCCTCTAAATTGGAGCTCATTATAGATATATCTCAATCCATAGTGAACCAAATGAGTTACCATTTACATCATTTTGACCGCTGGAATACCAGGAGTACACAATATCAAGATCATATGGTTATCTTGGAGGCATCCTCCGATCACAGGGCTTCAAAATCTAGACCATATTCTTTCTTCTTACCCCCTGCGATAAGCAGTTACCATTTCCCCGATTAAGAACTCACAATCTGATTGGCTGTCACAACACTGTGACAGAAATCATGTATAAATCATTGCGCATGATTAGATCATGTGATTCAGATAAATCGGGCACGTCCAAATTGGTTGTAGCAGGGGGAAGAAGGAGGTATGGATTCTGGACACCTGCTTAGGAGGATGTCTTGGAGGATGATTTTATTTTTTTTCAAAATATATTCAAGCTTTTCCAACCTCTCGAACCACCTATCTGTATTCTTGTACATTGTAGTGCCTCACACTCTTATTACCCAAGGACCATCTGTGGTTCGTGCATGAGAGAAAACCGCAAGCTTATTCCTATGAGTCCTTCAATTTCGATTCAGGCAAGGATCAAGAGGTCGTAAAAGCTTTTCAGAAAAAATTAATAATATTTTCCAAAAAAATAAACATATTGTTATCATGATTATCCAGATTTGGCAGTCAAACAAGCCTGAGATGACACCATAAAAGATATAGGTAAAAAAAAATTAATATATCAATTTTGCTATTCTGGCGAGATGATACTTTAAATGAACGACCATTTCAAAAATGGGATGCGCCATGCCTTATTTGAGCATATTGACCAATAAGAGCGTGAAATGCATGTAGGGATGAAGAAATGGAATCCAAATTTAATGTTCATAACCTGCTGTATATCAGTTTATAAGTAATGAACTTCCAACTGTCTTTGGATCCAGGGCACAGTGAACAGAATTTCATATTATTTTTTAAAACTACAAGTGCGGACTGCGGAATCTTTTTTGTCTGATGTATTGATGTTTTTCAAATGGATAATACACATCTTTATCATGATTTTTGAGATTTGGCAGTCATACAGGCCCAAGATAACAGCTTAAAGGATCTAGAAAATGTATTTCATACCTCAATCTTGCTATTTCAGCAAGATACTATTGTGAATGTAAGCACTGCAAAATTCATAAAATTCGTAAAATGACCCGAGCACCACCTTATGACCAATGACATTGCGGGACACATGTGCAGTATCCATGTAAAGTGGGGGACAAAAATAAATCTCAACCCTCAAAAGTTGTCACAATGAGCTAAATTCAAAGTTTCGTGTCTCAAACTCTCCCAAGCGGTAGAAAAATAATTCCCATTCACTTTAAGTAGCACAATAAATGAATCCAAAGCTTCATACCTGCAAATGATAGATAAATCCCTACCAAATCGAACGAATGTTTTCATGAATCGCCATGTTTGTGATCCAAGGAGGATTGACTCCCAGAATGCAACATCAGGTAATCTTATTAACTCGTGACAGATTTCAAAATGGCGGAACAGCATTTTGAAAGCTGACACGTGTCATGTTGCATTCTGGGAGTCAATCAACATTGCGGCGCAATTGGGCTCCAAAATCACCTCAACATTTGAAGAGTTGGCATAACATGTGAATTCCACTTCAAATTTTTAAGTTCTTATTTGTCATTATAGACTTGAATTCTACTATATTTGGACTAACTAGGACGGAGAAGATAGAGCACTGGATACACTGAAGTAAGAATTTATTACATGTGCGACAGCATGTAATTTCCATAGCTTTTGTAATTCTTTATGTCCCCCACTGTAGAAATGAAATTCTAAATGGATCTTTCTTACCTGATATTTATTACTATTTGTATTAAACTTCAAACAACCGTGATCCAGGGCATTTGCAGTTTGCTTGATTATTCAGATATTCGACTAAAATTAATTTCAGTAAAAATTAAAAAACACATTGTTCTAGCAAGAATTAAAACGCGACACAAGGTCAAACTATTCCTCTATATGTGCCTTACCTTCTCCCATGAAGCTGGCTTCAATGCTGCAAGGGATCGTGCTAGGTTCAGCAAAGTGTTAAGATGCTGAGACTTTTCACCTGGCATTTTTGTTTTTCCCGTATAATCGTCCGCTCTGGATTCTGATTGGTCAATTTTTATCCATAACAATCTGATATTTAATACAATTTGCTTGATTATGTTTAATTTTTGTTTATACAATTATTCAGTTTATAATTTTAGATATTAATAGCTATTGATAAGATTTTTTTTTTTATTTAAATTGATTTTGATTCTTATTGTTTATCAACAAAGCTTCACTTCCGGTTGTCAAAATATTCCAAAGTTTTTGAACTTGTTCTTCTGATAACTTTTGAACTTTGTTACCAGATTACGTTTGCAAAGATTTGCATTATGATACGATATATGAGCAGTGGGATATTGGTTTACCAGTTATCAAAACAGCAAATCTACAGAACTTTGTCATCTTTGACCTCCAACACATCATCAAAAGCGCAAAGTGAAGTAAAAATGCAAGAACCAAAACTAAAAAATCAAGAAAAAATGCCCTTTTCTGGACAGCAAATTGGAGAATTCTTTCAAGCTCAGCCCAACCTAGGAAACCAATTTGCAGAGGATACTTTCTTGCAAGATACGCTTAAGAGACTCATGCCAAATAAGGTATGTAAAGCTGTGAAAAGTGTCACTTGTTTTTAGCGACTTATACATGTAAATGTGCATGTAACCTAAATGTAACAACACTGGCTTGGATAGCAAGGTGCTACTCCAGTTTCTGCCACATAAATGTTTGTCCGGTTTGCGTTTTTTTAAGTTTTGACATTTGCATTGGCCTCATATAATAATAATTTAAATAAATAAAAAATGCCAATCCAATCCCACATCTTTGGGGGTTATACAGCTGGTGGCTTAATCCCTCAATGGTAGGGCATCATACTTTGAACCTGAGAGTCCTGGGTTTTGATTCCCACTCAGGGCGTTATATTTAACACACTTTCCTTTATATATGTTTGGCTTGTTACACGATGCTTGGCAGTTGGCCATTCCCCAGTAGGCCCTTGGGTTGTTACACTTTTATATTCTTCATAGCATTAATCTATCTTATACTCTTATTTACCTGTCATATAATATTCCAATAAAGTGTCTTATATACTTTATACAAACCATGATTAATTGTAAGGATCTTTTGTCAGGACGAGAGCACTTTTTGGCTGGACTTTTACTGCTCATCCGAGAAAGAGTCGAAGGCATGCGAGGCGAATCCTGGAAACCTGGGTTTGGGAAAGCACTGGTTCACTGTTTGTTTCCGTTGACAAGTGTGCGAAACTGCATGTACTTTCATAATTCATACGACAGTGAACAGGAGGTTTACAGTCAGACCAGGGTGCGCCAATCCCTTATTTAAATGATTGTTTTGCGGATCAGGGTTTAAGGCCATTCCAAACGAAATAGGTGTTTAATGAGGCTACGAAATATAAAAGTTTGTTTTATTAGAATTGTTCATATGTGTTATTTTGTATCTACATGTACCAAGACGTGAAACATATTGGAAATAGTTACGTATTATGACTGGTCTAAAATGTGCTAAGCTAGAAGACCCCTTATACTCGTTCATTCTCTATTTTGACTAAGATAATATATCGGTACAACAGCTACTAAAGCAAGGAAAAATTGGCCAGTAGAGATGAGGAACTTGAAACAAATTTATTTGTATTCATATTTATTAATAATATTTGATTTAAATACAATTCCACGCTATTACCATCCTCCAGTGTTGCAATTTCTATTGTGTCAGTCTGGGTCAAAATCTCACATATTACAATTGATAACTAGGAACCCTTCTAATAAAAACAATTAAATCCAGGTTTGAAAACTCCCGAAAATAACAGGAATGAGTCTTATTATGAACCGTTCACATTTTTGCAAAGGCGGATTTGGATGATGGCAAACCCGGGTTTTGAGGCCGCAACTTATGGCAACGAGTACTTCTGGCTCATCCAGTCAGTATGGGTGAAGAAGCTAAAAAATCAATTAATCCCTAAGAAATCGCATGTCATCTTGTCTCATCAGGACAATTAGGGAAAAAATGGATGTGTCTCTGATAAAAAATTCAGAGTTCCTTGGTAAAGAAATTAGGACAGAATAGTTTTTGGGCATGTGGATTAATTTTTGAGGCATGCAGTCATATATAATTTTTAGGTATTGTTCACTTTGTAAACTGTTCTCCTGATGTACTGATTACATGTACTTATTTATTTGTATTTTACAAGGTGTATGAAGCAGTGAATCCAGACTTGACCAAATTTGGTCATAGGGTTGCAACAGATATCATGAAACTAGGAGAACAGTGTGAAAAGGAGCAGCCAAGGCTGATACAATATGATGCTTGGGGTAAACGTGTCGACAAAATTGTGACGTGTCAAGCCTGGAGAGATCTACATGACGTCTCTGCAACAGAAGGTCTTATTGCCATTCCATACGAAAGACAATATGCTCAGTGGAGGTTTGTTCATTCTTCCAGTAGACATGTAAAAATCTGTATTGCAGTGCATTGCATTGTATTGTATAGCATTGCATTGCATTGTATTATATTGTATAGTATTGTAAGTATATACTCAGTGGAGGTTTGTTCATTCTTCCAGTAGTCTGACATGTAAAAATCTGTTTTGCAGTGCATTGCATTGCATTGTATAACATTGCATTGCATTGTATTGTATTGGTTTAAATTATACCTGTAAAGTGTGAAGTCAATGTTTGTGTTAAAGAGGCACGCAAGTGCAACACGTATATAAATCTAAAAATGATCCTCTAATGACTAAAAATACCTTGTCAGAATTTTTTCAATCTACATTTTAGTCGACTCTACCAAATGGCCAAGCTGTATTTATTCAACCCCTCAGGAGGTCTTTACCCATGTCCCCTCGCTATGACAGATGGCGCTGCAAGATCAATTGAGGTACAAATTCCAATATAAATAATAATCTGACGTTTCAACAGTCATGCTTTCGAGTGTTGAACAGATGGTTTGTTTTTTATCTGTATCACACTGTTTATTAGTTTACTGTGTTGATATGGTGACAGATAGGGCTAAATGTGACAACCAAATTATAATTGGATTTGTCTTTTTATTTATACCTGTTTTACCCATTCTTTTACTTATCAATTATCTTGGTCTGAATTCTGAAGTCACTTTAAAGTTGAGAACAATACTTGTACACCTCTTTCAGGCACTAGATTTGAAAGGTAATCTGGGTGAGGCATTCAGTCACTTAACATCTAGGGACCCCAAGAGGTTCTGAACAATACATGTACACCTCTTTCAGGCGCTAGATTTGAAAGAGAGCCTTGGTGAGGCATTCAGTCACTTAACATCTAGGGACCCCAAGAGGTTCTGGACCTCAGGGCAGTGGATGACTGAGAGGAAAGGTGGCTCTGATGTTGGTAAATAGATTTTTAATGTTGTTAATGCCTGAGAAATGTATTCATTTTAAACAAAGGTAACCAAACCCTTTATCAAAATCCACGAGATGAATACTTTACAAAAGTTTGCACACTATACTGTAAGGCAAAATGGCCCCATACAATGTTTGTCTGAGATTATATGAAAAGGATATTTTTTATTTTGCTTTCTCTGGTTTTCATCTGTACTTCTTCTTAATTTGGCCCTACTTAAATTAAGTAGAAGTACAGTATTTCATTTCAATTCACTTTTTATGTCACCACCTGAAGTATTGTTATATAGTCTCCAACTTTTTTGTTGATGGTGTTCAGTTGTCACTATTTGGTGGGCGGCCTTGGGCAGTCAGCATCTGTAACAAATGGTAGGTGGGGACATTTTGCATGTTGATACCATGTTTATACATTACAATGTGTGTACCCATTTATTTATTTCCACTACACTAAAACCTGTGTTAGTATAAAACCTAATTAAGTGGAACACATTTTCAAGTCCTGTTCAATAACTTTTTGTAAAGTAAACCCTTGTGAGTGAAGCTCCTCCCAATAAAAACAGAAAACTATTTTTAGGTACCAAAGGCATCCACTTACACAGACTCATTATTTTCACCTAAGAACAGCATAATAAACGATTTAATTTGGAGATTTTAAAACTCAACTTTATTTTTACTTCTGGTTCGAGACTATACAACGATGCCACCTATCTGCTGATCTAGAAACTATAGCACAATAACACAATAGCACAATCATGCAACACTACATATCAACTCATTCTACTTCAATAATTTAAGGTGAAGGTACAGAAACTCTTGCTGTAGCACAGGATGATGGCACTTATCGTCTCTATGGTTACAAGTGGTTTACATCGGCAACAGACAGTGATATGGCCTTGACCCTTGCCCGTATAGTAGATGACGATGGTCAACCCACTCCAGTAAGTTTTAACTACAGTCATAGAGTAAAAACATGTTTACTTTTATTCTTAAACATGTTCCTCAGGTTGGATTATCAAATCACAAAAATATTTTTTCTTTTCACAACCTTTATTTTACTAAACAGTACGTTTCGGATCCTGTCTGGATCCTTTTTCAACTGTATAAAAACTGAACTGGACCACGTCTACAGAATAATTGCATAATGGACTGGAACAATACTACGGTTGTGGACAATGACAATAAGAGACTTGAAAGATGGATTAAAGAATCTATTTTTATAAAGATAAACTATAATAATATGAACAGGGATCAAGGGAACTATAAATTTGCGGGAATTTGGATAAATTTTTGGTGAATTAATATGACGTAATATTGTTTTTATTTAATTGTTTTGTAGCGCTTCAGTTCAGTTTTTATACAGTTGAAAAAGGATCCAGACAGGATCTGAAACGTACTGTTTAGTAAAATAAATGTTGTGAAAAGAAGAAAAAATATTTTTGTGATGTTTAGTTTTAGATTTAGATTCAAATACACCCCCAAAATGCAATCTAATTTTCGACGCCGTTTCGGTGCCAAATTTCGGTGCCGTTTCGGCACCAAATGGACTGACTAGTCCGGTAGCCAATTTTGGTGTTGAAAGGTTTCGGTGCCGGAACGGTGTCGAAACGGTGCCTGAACGGTGCCGAATTTGTTCGATGCCGAAACGGTGTCGAATTATATTGGCTGTGTAGATACTTGTAAAGGCCTGAATCCTATCAGGATATACATGTACAGGTGTCAAATAAGTCTGTTCTCCCCCTTAACTTTTTTAATTGAGATATAACATAGAGTTTTTATATATCATCTTAAAGGGAATTTGATTTGCTGATCACACACCATCAGAGGTTGGTTAAATTCCAAATTTTTAAGAGCATTTTTAGTGATGTTCATATTTCACATTTTCAATAGTTTGTATGTTTCCCCATGCAGCTCGGACAGTCTCAATTCAACAAGGATACGATTCAAAAACGTTCGCCATCAGAGGTGTTGTACTTTCAAGACTTCTAAGAGCTTTCTTGATAAATTTGACCAATGTCTCATGGCTATGAAGTATCTCTGGTTGATCTTCGATTAATTTTTCGACCTTGTCCTTAATAATCACTGTATCAACTGTTCACCGTCCATTCATTATCCTGGTAATTTTGCTCTTTTTGATGTAATCAATGGCCAACTACAACCTTTCAAGAAACGGTGTAAAAATCTTGTTAGAAAGAGTTCATGATTGATTTAGTCCAAAAATAAGTGTGGAAAATTGACAAGCTAAAACGAAATATGCCTACGTGTTGTCTCAGACCTAGATGCATTATGGGACATGACTCTGATAACCTGCTGCATTATGGGCTATTTTAGGGCAGCAAAGGGTTAAGTATGTTTTACCTGGAGTTACGAGACAAAGATGGCAACCTTCAGAACATTTCCATCCAGAGGCTAAAGGATAAGTTAGGAACAAGGCAGCTCCCTACAGCTGAACTGTTGCTTACTGGGATACCTGCAATAAAGGTAACAATGCATGCTGGGTGCTCCCATCCTCCTTTGTTCACTATAGATAAATACAATGCATGCTGGGTCAGCTCCTATCCTCCTTTGTTCACTATGTAATTTTAGAAATCCTATTTCCTATTGACAATCTATAGCCTTTTAAATCAGAAATGAAATCTTCTTTTTGAGTTCCAATTGTGAATGTCTGTTATATTCATGATTTAGGTGAGTAACAAGGGCAGGGGAGTGGCTACAATATCTGTTATACAATGTATTCATGATTTAGGTGAGTGATGAGGGCAGGGGAGTGGCTACAATATCTGTTATACAATGTATTCATGATTTAGGTGAGTGATGAGGGCAGGGGAGTGGCTACAATATCTGTTATACAATGTATTCATGATTTAGGTGAGTAACAAGGGCAGGGGAGTGGCTACAATATCTGTTATACAATGTATTCATGATTTAGGTGAGTGATGAGGGCAGGGGAGTGGCTACAATATCTGTTATACAATGTATTCATGATTTAGGTGAGTGATGAGGGCAGGGGAGTGGCTACAATATCTGTTATACAATGTATTCATGATTTAGGTGAGTAACAAGGGCAGGGGAGTGGCTACAATATCTGTTATAAAATGTATTCATGATTTAGGTGAGTAACAAGGGCAGGGGAGTGGCTACAATATCTGTTATACAATGTATTCATGATTTAGGTGAGTGATGAGGGCAGGGGAGTGGCTACAATATCTGTTATACAATGTATTCATGATTTAGGTGAGTGATGAGGGCAGGGGAGTGGCTACAATATCTGTTATACAATGTATTCATGATTTAGGTGAGTGATGAGGGCAGGGGAGTGGCTACAATATCCCATATGCTAACAATCACAAGGATTTACAACTCTATTAGTGCAGTTGCTGGAATGAGAAGGTAGACTTTACTTTTGTAGATGTTGTCATTTTAATTTCACAAATATGAAAATTGCATTCTCATACTATTTGCTTCATACAATGTCTGCTTTTTTCATTCGATAAATGTATGATTTCAATAAAAGTATATCTGAAAACTGAAAACTCTCAATGTGAATTTTTCAATCTAATTTTTTAAATCTGACTTCCATCTTAAAAAACTTTAATGTGAATACCAGCCTACCGATCCACTTTCGCTATTCGGATTTAACACTAAGAATTAAAAACCTGCATAATTAGACCATTTTTGGCAAAATTGTGAAAATGAAACTATACACTTTAAAAGTGTAGTAGTATCAAGAATCTTCACAAGGGAGTCATCATTTGATATTCATGAAAAATCCCATGAAAACTTACCAATTGAAATATGAAATGTTTATGATATTTTTAGGATTGTGGCACTTGCGCGAGACTTCAGCACGAAGCGACGGGCATTTGGTAAACTGATATGTGATCACTCTCTCCATATGCAGACATTATCAAGAATGGAGGTAATATCCCATAATGCCATTTTTATAGTAGTTACTCTATGCAAGTTTTTGCCAGGATATTCTGGGTTAAGGCTGCTTTTTCCTATTTTGGCTAATATTAAAGTGAAGTACATGTATCTCATAATGGAGCACTAGAACTCTACACACTGAATACTAATAGTAAGTCCTTCTTTTTCACAAGATTTCTCAACATCAAAATACAGTTGCAATAATCATACTCCATGAAATGATAGTATATTTCAATGAATTGTATTTTACGGAACGTATACCCACCATTGTTTTCTGGTTGCTATGGTGATTGTTTTCAGGTGGAGACCAGGGCAGCATTGGGATTGGTGTTTGAGATGGTACGGTTGCTGGGGCTAGAGGAGACTGGCATAGCAACAGAGCAGCAACGGCTTCTGCTTAGATTCCTCACACCAATGGCAAAACTGTACACAGCCAAACAGGTAAATTTTAAGGATTCCATCATCATCCATTTAATTCAAAATCGATACATGTAACAATATTTGCTTCATGATCTGATACAAATGATATAAACAAAGGTGAATGTATGTGTAAATTTAGTTTTAAATGTACATGTCGTTTTTTTGTATAGAAGAACCTCCTTAATTTTTCTTGTATAACCATGAACTACATGTACATTAAGAGGAGGGAAAACCCCATGATTCAATTGATGACATACGATTTCCTCCTTCGCGCACCTCCTTTCCCGGAAGTATGTATTCCCTCTATCTTGGTTTTCAAAGTTTTCAAATTGAGCTAGTTTTAAACCAATCAACGATCGACTCGCTAAACCAATCAGCGACGGTGTCATCTCAATACAGATTTACATTATAAGCGTATGTCATCTTTGAACCCTGGGGTTTCTCCCCCTCTTATGTACATTGTATATAACCAAATAAAAATGACAAGCAAGATAGTATTTTGATCACCTTTTATAAGTTCATAGTTGATAGAAGTGACGTGGGCCAGCCATGCATGCCTGTATTAGAAACGAGGCTACAGCACGATATAAACACAATGGTTGCTTTGGGAAAATTGAAAATACAGTAAGTTTACTGATACACGTCGCACAACAGTTTGTGTCAGTTGACATATCTGTAAACATGTTGTAAGTCATGATGATTAGCATGTTGGTAGCCATGACTGTAATTTAACACTTTCAGGGTGTAGCTGTAGCTAGTGAGGGTCTAGAATGTTTTGGAGGTCAAGGTTACATGGAAGACACAGGGATTCCAGCTTTATTAAGAGATGCACAGGTAATGAAGTATTTTGCATTATTCCATTTTATGGGGGTCATTCCAAACTGGTAATTCAGTCTCACCTTCTATATCGCCTTCTACATCATTTTGGAGAAATCACCATTTAATAAAGTTAGGATAATTAAATTAAATTAATTATGTTTAATCAAGCAGTATATACACCTATATAAGGTGTCCACTGTAAATAATTTGTACTTCGATTTATTGTTATATGAAGGAATTATGAAATAAATAAATAGAAAAAGGATTCACCAATTTTTTTCTTCTACAAACAATTTTTTTCTCTACATATGTACATGTACCTTTGACCATTTTGGGCAGAGCTGTGAAAATAAGAATTTTGTACCCTTTAAGAACACTGCACTGTATATACTTCTTAAGAGTTTGTAAGTGATTATCATACACATGTATCATCTTTCTTTCATTCTCCAAACACAGAGCTACAGAACTCAAAGATATTCTGGATCATTGAGTCCTGTGATTGGAGGATGAACAAGGAGTATTGGCTCCCAGAATGCAACATTGATATTCTGTCCCATATGTGGCATGTTTCTGGAACCACTGTCACGTGTAAATAAGGTTAAGGTCACGACACACAATACCATATATGGGACTGAATATCGATGTTGCATTTTAGGAGCCAATCCTCCTTGAGGATGAACTTGAATACATCACTTTCGCCATCTATTCACACTGCTTTTCTTCATTACATGTTATACTTATAATTCAAGGTGCTACCAATATGGGAAGGTACAACTAATATCCTCTCAATGGACATTCTAAGGGCCCTCATGAAGAGTAGTGGGGAATCACTTGAGGTCTATGCAAATGAGATCCAAACAAAGCTCCAATCAGGAGCCAGCGTGCAATCACTCTCTGGGCCAAGCTCGAGGGTTTCTTGTGCTCTATCGTCATTGGGGACATTTATAATGGGCAGTCAGGATAAGCTGGAGATGGCCGCGAGAGATCTTGCGTACAGTCTTGCGAGAACTTATATGGGTAGGTGTTAGTTTTTTATTCTTCAAAAGTGTATCTGTTATTATTTTGTGGATGGTGTTCGGCAGTCGGTGTTTGGTGGATGGCATCTGTAACAAATGGCAGGTGGTGATATTTTGCATGTTAATGCCTTGTTATGATATTGATATGGCCTCAATTAATCCAGGATAGTCATGCTTCAAGACTGGAGCCCCCCCCCCCCCCCAACGTATCTACTTCACCAACACATCACTTGTGGGGAGAAGTGTAGTTGGGGGGGGTCTCAAGGGCTTGTAGCTAGACTTTTTCAGGACAGCAATCCATGATCATTATTTTGCAATGTGAAAGGGTTTGATTGGTTCGGATAAGGTGTTGAGACATCCCCACTTATGTACACACAGTGTTCTCCACAGAAATTTTTCTCAAGTGGGTGCAAAATTTTCAATTTCCAAATTCAGACCAAAATATGCCAATTTTTCATCACTTCCCTCATTTGCAAGTGGGTGCATTATAGCCTGTTTTTAAAATCTCAGGTGGGTGCTGCGCCCACTTGGTTTAATGCTGGGGAGTTCACTGGTACACAAACCCATCATGTACATGGTAAGCAGTCCCATTAAATTCTCTACTCAATTAACATTCATTTATATTCTAACAAACAATTGTTTCAGGTTTAAGTGACAATGATTTTAATTGTCTAGGTAACTGTAGTTATTATATTTTTGCTATTGCACGTATCCCTGGAGAAAAAAACAAAGAATGTTCGAGTTATCATTTTGATGATATCAGGTGACACATTGATGTCCTGGATCTAACCATTTCTTCAAATCATAAACTTTTGTCTTATTCTCCCGCTCATGTATCAATTTACAAAGTCTACAAAACACATTGGTACTATAAAGTCCCATTGTTATAGACTTAACACCAAAACGCTCCTTCCATTTAAAATATGAGTTGTAAAGTTGGCTATTTTTGGATACTTTGATGATGTGAGCGGCAAGGTCCTTTGTAGATTTGAAATCATCCATGTGAATGTAGGAATCTGGAGGTAGGACTGCTTTGTAGTCTGCCTTTGTGCCTCGTAATATAGGTATCTGAAAGTAAAAGATTCCCATCAATGTCATTATGTCACCACCAATGTTGCCCTTTGTAGTTTGTTTGAATGTTGCCCTTTGTTGTTTATTATATTTGAATATTGCCCTTTGTAGTTCATAATCAATATTTTATTGTTCATCAATTTTTTATTGTTCAAATATCACACTTAGTAGTTTCTTTAATTCAGATATTGCCCTCTGTAGTTTCTTAGTAATCAAAGATTGTCCTTTGTAGTTTCATATTATCCAAATATTTTCCTTCATAGTTTCTTAGCATTCAATTATTGCCCTTTGTAGTTTCTTAGTATTCATTGTTTAATAAAGAGAATCTAAGGGTACAATTAGAACTTACAAATGTACTGAATGATTAGAAGAATGAATAAAAAAAGTTTAACATTGCACAATACCATGTTGTTCTGATAAGCATTCTTCCAGACTTTCTCGGTGATATAATCCTTACAGTCACTGTTCTCTAAAGCCAGGTAGAATTTGTAGTTCTTTCCTGAAACATGGTTAGATAGCATAATGAACATGGATGTGATTCTCAAAGTTTGCCTGAAACATTTAAAGGCCCCATGTAAACTATTCAAACTTCACATGGGGCCTGTATCATATTCAGCTTTGTCTCTTCATACTCCAAATATGGTATCTCTGAGGTTGGGCACCTTGATGCAGAATTAGAGAAATGTATACTGCTATATTATTACAAGGACCATATTGAATGTCTAAAATGTTGGTATCGACATTTTTTATCAAAGAAATTTGATTTACCTCTCCCCTTATAAATTTTTTGGCCTTGTGGTTAAATGGACACAATAACAAATACTTCAAACATGAACTTACCGTAATCCTCAAAAGACTCCTTCATTGGTTTTCCACATTTGCCAAAAGTGTCAACATTTACAAATGTCTTTAACATTCTTACGAACTTCTCTCTCTTGCTTTCTGTCCCACAGTGGCTTACCACCCAAAGTATCGACTTTGTTTTTCCCTTGAAATAATCCTTTGGATTATTTTTCTTCTTCAACCAATAGAAATAGCCATATGGCAGAGGAAGGTCAGAATCAGAACGATAAGTTGCAGTCATATTAAAAAATCCATTTAGAGCACTGAGATTTTGTTTCCGGAAAAAGTCTCTAGTTGGCGCTTCTGTTGAGAGAAAGATGTACTGTTGCCATGGAAACCTTATCTCAGGTCTCTTGGATGAGGATTGGAAATTAATGTCCCACATGTGGAAAATAATTGCTTGGCTTTTGATAATTGCTTGTTTTGATTTATTGAAATGTATAGAACACGAGCTTATCGGGCATTTGTTGAATGGTGATTGGCCGGAGTAAGGGAGAACTCTACTGTAGTAATCCGTCCACATAAGGATCTCCATTTCTCTTGTCTTTTTATGAGCGTTGATGTCATCACTATTGTCTTTGATGGCATATGATTCCTGGATCGCACCAACCTTTTTATGGTTATCCATTGCATATTGTTTTAAATGAGATGAGCCTATAGTGTTCAAAGTTATTGTTCTGTTGGTTAATATTGTGTTATTTGGTGAAACACTTTGATAATACTGTGGTTTATTTATACCTTTCAGTCTATTACTAGTAATACTTGATGAAGTCACATCCTTTGAAGCTCCTATTACATTCAGCATTGCCCTATTCCTAAACATTTCATTTTTTAATTTACTGATTATTTGTTGAAATCCTGAGTCAGCTTTTTCAGTTTCTGCAGTTTCAGATTCCAATTTTCCTTTTTGTTTGTGTATCTCTGTATCCCTTACAAACGCTTGTTGTTTTGATGGAACATATTGAGATTTCTGCAAGGGTTGATGTATTAATTTTGTACTTCCTGGTCTGTTTGTGATGATTACTATTGAGCAGGAGATGAAGACAAAACAAGTAATCAATCCTAAGACAAGCTGAAAGGTAATTAACAATTCATTATGGAGCACTGGTAGATCTATGGGCCTTAAGGGCCTCATTTTCCAAAATTAGGCCTCATTTCAAAAATCGGCCTGTTTTATATGAGCCTGAATTCTATTCAAAAATTGACTGATGTTTTCATAGTGAACCAAAATTTCAAAACACCCCCCATGTGAATTTTTGGGGGGCCAATAATCCTCTTGACCCCTTGGTCCCTCCCTACTGGTGTTAATTAACCAAAATTTCAAAACACCCCCCCCCCATGTGAATTTTTGGGGGGCCAATAATCCTCTTGAACCCTTGGTCCCTCCCTACTGGTGTTAATTAACCAAAATTTCAAAACACTCCCCCCCCATGTGAATTTTTGGGGGGCCAATAATCCTCTTGAACCCTTGGTCCCTCCCTACTGGTGTTAATTAACCAAAATATCGAAACACCCCCCCCCCATGTGAATTTTTGGGGGGCCAATAATCCTCTTGAACCCTTGGTCCCTCCCTACTGGTGTTAATTAACCAAAATTTCAAAACACCCCCCCCATGTGAATTTTTGGGGGGCCAATAATCCTCTTGAACCCTTGGTCCCTCCCTACTGGTGTTAATTAACAAAAATTTCAAAACACCCCCCCCCCCATGTGAATTTTTGGGGGGCCAAAAATCCTCTTGAACCCTTGGTCCCTCCCTACTGGTGTTAATTAACCAAAATTTCAAAACACCCCCCCCCCCATGTGAATTTTTGGGGGGCCAGTAATCCTCTTGAACCCTTGGTCCCTCCCTACTGGTGTTAATTAACCAAAATTTCAAAACACCCCCCCATGTGAATTTTTGGGGGGCCAATAATCCTCTTGAACCCTTGGTCCCTCCATACTGGTGTTAATTAACCAAAATTTCAAAACACCCCCCCATGTGATTTTTTGGGGGCCCAATAATCCTCTTGAAGCCTTGGTCCACCCCAACTGGTGTTAAATTAAATGTAAATGAGAATTATTTTGCGTTAAAAGATTAGGGATTGTTCTCCTTATAAAATATACATCTTACCTTTTTCTTCATATTGTCTAGTATGTATGTCTTGAGTGTGTATTTGTGTATATATGGTGTCATGTCAACCTGTAAACTCCATGTTATTGAATATATAGCTGGAATAGAAACAAGCTTTTATTACAAAAACAGTTTTCTTCTATTCACAAGCTTTATAATTCGAAATCACAGAATTTGGTGAATCCTATCTGGATCCTTTATCAACAGTATTAAAATCCTGTGATTTCAAATAACAAAATGTATTACCGTAGTCACAATCCTTCTTTAGTTAACTGTTTACTGAAAATCCTTTACAATTTCTTATTAACGTATGAATAATAGAGATCTTGCTGTATGCAGGAATGAATAAAACCGCTTGTAGGTTCAGTACATTATGTCATTGATCGATTCTGGTCCCTGTCTTATATATTGAGTGTCATATACAGGGTGATCCAGAAGTAACGTCAAAGATGTTGCCATTTCAATACTACTGGACCAATCTTTATGAAACTTGGTATGGATGGTCCCGAAACATTACTGAGTGTATACCCCCAATATGAAGATTTTTCTGTCCGATTGGTTGATTTTATGGTAACTATGGTAGCTTGATGTGACGTCACCCTGGGAAAATTATTTGTTTTAGTAGAAAATGGAATAAAAACTTTAATACAGACAAATATTAATGTTAGTTTTAAGCACTCTATTTTATTAAATCATGTACATTTCATTGCTCAATTATTATAAACATATTACCATGGGCTTTCAATATTGAATGCCCATGATATTGTAACTCTCTATAATTACCACCATTAACAATATATTTTTCATTGCAGTTCCCACTATATACTATGTACTATCGGGTACTATAGTAACCATGAAATGAACCAATCAAATAGTAGAAGCTGTATTTTCAGACTTTATCTCAGTGTTGTTTTGGGAACATTTGTTTCAAGATGATTAGTCAAGTAATATTGAAATGGCAACACTTTCTGGATCACCCTGTATATTGTTTTTCTGATAGATATATCCTCCATATTGTATATACTCAATATTGTATTTGTCTTGAAGCTTGAAGTATTCCATTTCTACATTAGTTTAACAAATCCATGCAAAAGTACAGTTTAATCCTGTTTTGTAACTGTACTGTAATTATTTAGCAAAGTACTTACCAAGTAGCCTATATTTCAGCCAAAAGAATCAATATTACTTAATGCATGCCAGTGCATTAAGTGGTTTGAGTCAACAAAGTCCAATGTTTATTATTTCACTCTGTTAAACCTTCTCAAATATTAACAAAATTGAACACATGGAATAACAATCTATAATAACAATCCACAATCTTGTGTTTTTCAAAAGTTGCTTACTTTCAAAAGAAAGTTGTCTTTTTAGATGTCATCATTGGCTTTCAACTAGAATTGGAAGCCCATGATGTCAATAGAGATATTCTGGATTTCATCATTAAAGGCACACTGTAATTCATGGAAAAAATGGTTAAAAAATGTTCTTCTAGCTTTAGAGTTGTTGGTTTCATGGTTTAAACCCTTGGTAAAAGCTGGCTGCTTGCATGTGCTAAGAGTGCTTTTCTGGGTTGCTGTTAGAAAACTAAAGTATACTGGTGGTTGATAGCATACCATCATTACTTAAAAGATGTGATGAGTATTATACAATATGTAAAACAATTGTAATAAAGTACCACTTATCCATGCTAAGTGGCTATATATTACTCCACAGATCAATATTGCGATCTATATCAACAGTTTATATATTTAGACAATGCAAAAAAATTCACATTTATCATGCAATATAAAACTAATATGTCTGATATACTCAACTTCATCAATACATGCTATCAGTAAAGAATCAATGAAACCATTTAAGTACATAATCTTCCAAACTAGTGTCAAACAAACTTCTCAAAGTTTATGTATTTGATTGTATTATATATCTCCTTATTTAAACAGTGTAGTATTGAAGTAGTTTGTTTTATCATCTTATATTGTAGTTTTTAGCTATACCCATGTACATTGTATTTGTGGTAATGCAATAAATAAATAAATATATTTTAATTATTTTACAATTAGCAATAAAGCAACATTCATACAAATATAAAATCTGTCATTTAAAAAAACTGTCACTCCTACTTTCTCTCTGGAAATGATACCATATTGCTACATTAGCGATTGACCATTGCTATCTTATCCATTGTTATTTCAGGTGCCTGTCTGATAGAACATGCAGCATGGTCTAACTGTGAGGAGGATATAACCGTGGCAACTAGGTAACTATGACAACATAGTACCTCATACTTAAAGGGTGACGCATATTGTTTAGCAAATCGAACGCTCGTTTCTGGTGTTGCTCACACATTTATAAAAGGGAGATTTTCATTTTATACGTGAAGCTTATCGGAACCCTTTAAGTCTCAAATCTCTATTTCGTCATAATAGTATAATGAGATTAGAAGAATCATTTTTCAATGCCAATGATGGCATAAATCCACACTTTACAGAACCACACACAGGCCAGTAGCCCCCCCCCCTGGCCAAAGAATGGGTATTGATATGGCGAACATTTTGAACACACGTTTCTCTTAAACCAGTCATCAAAAATTTCTGAAAATCTTACAAATTGTCAATTTAATGGCCATCTTTTGAATGGTAACAATATAATTTGAAATAGATATACATACTTTCATCTATATTGTTTTAAAAAACACATCAAACACTTGTTTTGTTCTTGGTATCATGTTTCCAGAGTGAAATGAAACATCTTTCCGAACCTCATTGGAAGAAAACGACATAAACACAACATGTTTAGGTCTCTCAATATTGTAATTGTACAAAGGAAATTTTGGTTGATTTTAAAAAAGTATCTTGTTAATGAAATAAAAGTTTTTTCTTGATTTTTATCTATTTTGGGGGGATTTTGTTTTAATTTTTTGAATACTTTTTTAAAATCAACCAAAAATTCCTTTGTATAACTTTAATATTGAGAGGTAAAAACATGTTGTATATGCTATTTTGTTCCAACAAGGTTCGGAAAGACATTTTATTTCATTCTCAAGAATTGGTAGAAAGGAGCAAAAACAATTGCACTAAAAAAAAAAAAAAATGTTAACAAAAACGGTTATATAAAATATTTCTAAATAATTTTCACATTAAATTGTTGTCAGTCAGTCAACATTACATAAAATACCATGTTTTTTTACAGAATATTTCAATGATTGGTTTAAGAGAAAAACATTGTTGAATTCAGTTCTCCATATCGATACCTATCCTTTCTTTCAAAATCATGCAGTTTTTCACCATTCTGACTATTTTTTGAGTGATTTTTGGCCAAATTTGCCAAAGTGACCCCCCCCCCTAGAATTTTTTGGAAAAGTGAACCCTCCTTGGAAAATTCTGGCTACGGGCCTGACACATCACTTTAATTTAGAATTGAATACAGTAAAATCTGTCTAACCAGAACACCACTCAGACCAGTCAAAAGAGCTTGGGTCAGCAGGTGATCGCACTTTAAGGTTTCTTTAAAGGTGAATCAATGAGAGGTAACGAAAGTGGGACAGAATAAAAGTGTTTCCATTTCGAGTTGTTTGGATTAGAGAGGTGTTCAGATATACAGGTGTTCAAATATACAAGTGTTCAGATATACAGGTGTTCAGATATACAAGTGTTCAGATATACAGGTATTCAGATATACAGGTGTTCAGATATACAGGTTTTACTGTACTCATAAAATTGCTAGTTTAATTGTCTAGATTTCAGTTTTGGATTTGGTTTGTTTTTTCAGGTGGTGTAATCAGGAACTAGATCTTGTAACAGTAGGAAACAACAATGGTTGCTATAGTAACAACAGCAGTGCATTGGATAGGTCGATTGTTATGGCCGGATATACACAAAATAAACTATAAATGGTCAGTTATATTCACACAGAATATAAAATGGCTGAATATACCATTGGGAAGCTTATAATAAGGACTGTATCCCAAAAATTTATTAAATTGTGATATACCATTTGAAAGCTGTAATGACTTGATAATGCATCAAAAACAATACTGGTTGCCATAATGATGTGGATGACAGTGCGAAGAGCAGGGGTCCATTTCATTTAATTGACTTGAGTTTTTTTTTTGAGTTGAGGACCGCACTTTCCCTGGTCATTTGGCCCAACCTGTTGTTTTATGTCTCTTCTGGATCACATTTAGGAACAACTATGGTCACTTTGGAGCATGTGCATAATTTTCTATTTATGTCTTTGAATTAAGAAATATAGACCGAAGAGCAGGGGTAATATTGTCGAATACACCCCGCAGGGCTAGGCACAAACATTTTCTGTACCCCAAACGACCGAAGGGAGTGAGGGGTTCGAAAGCTTTTGTGCCTAGCCTGAAGGGGTGTATTCGACGATATCATACCTGCTCTGAGGTCTATATTACGATTCGAACATGAAAACTCACCAAAATGTTCCGAGTATTCATTAGTGTCCACCATTACTACGGCCCACCGTTATGCCATCACACATTACACATATTACGAGGGGTTTTGTTCGCGAATATACCCCGGGTGAAATGTTGACTTTGTTTACAGTTTGTAGAAGGCGTTAATACAGTCATGTTCGAATTTATTTCGAAGACATCAAGGCCACTTTGGACCTTTTACGGAGGATGGACCATTTGCTTGGCATTACATTAAGTATTTTGCATTCGATTAATTAATTAACCAGAAGTGGTGACATATACTTACAGTCAACATTTTTGAGGACATTGTTCGGCGGTTGATGTCTGAAACAAATGGCGGGTAGTGGCATTTTGTATCGTAAAGCCTCGTCTTCATTGGATGAATTTTTTGGGGTTGTGGTCCATGACTGGGTTTATTTTTCCTCACTTGATTTATATACAAGTAATTTGCTTGAGTCACTCTGAGTCAGTCACCATAAAGAGGACCATTTGTAATTTTTGAGTCCCTCCCAAGACATGGGCTTCTTTTAATGGGTGACCATTTAAAATGCAGTATTATTTATTTTGAGACATTCCAGGTCTTATATGTACATATTTTCTAATTCATAGTTTTATACATATTGTAGCTCTATTCAGTTCAGTTGCTCAGTTACAGTTGAATACTTGAAGTGGATATTTTGGATTATGTAGATATACTGACTGATTGTTGGATATTGAAATAGAATTTTTAGACATTTTAATCATTTATTGTTTATTTAATTTGCCGCCCACAGGCCACCAATCGCCCATCTGACATTTAGTTAGTGCAATATAATACTTGATATATTAATTAATACATACTTTTCTTGTATTTCTTGACAAAATTGCAGTATATTTTGAGAAGGTATACTTGTTTGGTTTCTAAATACGATGATTTTTTGGATAATTCTCCAATCTAGGCGTCGGCTTCAGAGGTAGGGACTTATTAAGCTCACACGCATTGCAGCTTACAGTCAGAGTCTCACTATACAGTCAGATCGCTAATGTAACTTATCCCTCTAAAGGATGTGTTCAGATACTAGAATTATAGTACCAGGGCCCCGTTTTTGTACCGTTCGTAGTAACGAACGTTCGTTAGTCCATTGTTTAATTTGCGAATTTCGCAAAGTTGCATTTTCGTAAGATTCGTAAAGTTACGAACGATTCGTAAATTTACGAAAATAGTGACGTCATGCTTGTTTTCGTTCGTAGATTTAATACCACCTCTGACCCTTTCGTAACTTTGCGAACGGCCTCTTATTTATTCATTTATATTGTGATTTGTGACGTTTTGTCATTCTAAATCAGAGAACACAAAGGGCAACACCGTTATCAACGTATTATCAACCTATTTCTATATCTATTTTAGTACTTTTCATGGAATCTTTATTTTTATAAAGTTCTTATTGTATGACTTTGGTTTTATTATTTTGATCAACCCTGTTTGTTGTACTATCTGTCCTGACAACTGTGGAATATGACGCCAACCTATTCGTAAATCTTACTCAAAACAATTGGAAAGTTACGAATGACTTACGAAAGCGTACAAAAATGATCCATTCGCAACTTTACGAATTCGTAACTCATTCGTAACTTTTTAAATATTTACGAATTTACGAATTGCGAACGTTCGTTACTACGAACGGTACAAAAACGGGGCCCTGATGATCAACTGCAAATTGACTCTAGACTAAAGCTACATCCTGCAGATCTGGCATTTTTTGAAAATGTACTGAAAATGTCAGATGAGCCTATATACCTAGTATACCTAGTCAACATATTAGTATACACATTTTGTAGTTTCTAAATAGCTGAAAAGTGCTGACATAATAGATGTCACCCTTGTTTGTCTTTGATTTTCTAGGGCCAGACCTCCACCTACACACTACTATACCCCCATACTGTATCCTGTATTCCTTTAAAAGAAGTACAGGCTACAGCGAAGTTGCAAATGGAGGACGTTTGTTTATTTCCATAGTTCTGAATGTATACTAGATTTTACACATATTCTAAGTGTTCTACTATACATTGTATAGATTCATCGAGCAGTTTGCAACGTATTATTACCAGAAAAGCCCAATGGACAAAGATAGAGAATACCCGCTCCATTTGCAACTTAACCGTACCCTGTATCATTTTTAAATGTGGTCACGTGGTAGGGTAGTGTGATCCATTCCAATGCTAGAAACTTGCAATTCAATCACTTAATTTCATGATTTATCAAAGCATGTTGGTTGAATCTGTCTGAAACTTGAATGGCATACTATTGGATGACACTGTCAATGTACATATTGTGATTAAACATGAAGATATTGGTTGTCATACGAATGAACCAAGGTTTTAATGAATTTCAGCATTGCACCAATGGAGATTTGGCCCAAGTTTTTTTAAAATGTCATGGAAAATGATTTAAATGACATAACTGTTTAAATCAAAGCTATAATTGGAGAAAATTTGTCACTGAATCCAAATATGCTATCAAAAATAAAGAAAAGTAATTTATTAGAGGAAAATCATGCAAATCTCTTATAATCTCATGTAAAAGCGAGAATTAGCGAGATTTCAAAGCTATTTAGAAACTCCTCTAATGGTGTTAGGGAGATGTGTACTATTTGGAATCTTTATGCAGCCGTCTTTAAAGTCACGTGTTATTTCCAGGAATACATAACTATATGATGTACATCTTTCACATTTGCACAAATACATGTAGTGCACCGAGATACCCAGAAAAGAAATAATATTTCATATGCAACAGTTGTTCCTGGCACAAGACAATCATGAGTATGTTATTAACTTTCATAATTTACGGCCCTAAAAATAAACTCGACGGGCGTGAAGATGTTTCTCAGCGCGTGTAAAATAACCGTCTTAACGCCCGTAAATAATCATTATCCCAACGAACGAAGTTCGGTAGGGATATAGTGAAGACCTCCGTCCGTCCGTCCGCCCGTTGGTCCGTCCGTCCATCAACATTAGCCGCACACTGCTATTCGGATTGAGTCATAACCACATTCATTTTATGCATATCCATATTTCCTATTTGACCTATCATTGCCATTTCCCAAGTTCGCCCAGTTTCCGAGAAATTGCTGATTTTGACGTCAAAAGGTCAAATTTTCTGTAAATACTAGACACTTTGTTGAAGAACTTTCAGATAACTTGTAGTAGTTGCTTTATATGCAACTTATGTCCTCTGAAGATTTCAAAGCTCTTGCCACTGCGTGAAAAATGGAATTTCTAGACTAAGCACGTCTAGAAACTAAGTCTAAGCACGCCGGGTGCTTAGGTGTGACTAGTTTTGACACGTCTAGGTACGCGATGAAACCAACTCTAGACATCTCTAGGCACGTCTAAGCACACGCAGTGCAAAGACGTGCTTAGAGTGTGACAAAAAGTCTTGGAACGCCTTGAGACTAATGATTGAAATCTAGAATAAAGTAATTATCGAATCAGATGAATGTATATTGTTATAAGCAATTATGATCAACATTCATAATTTAGACATACTTTCACTGAAATATACTGTTTTCTTTTTATCTTTTATCTATTTTATTTATTATTTTGTATAACAAACTGTTCACGTATACCATGTCGTTTTACATATATGATTGAATAATAAATCACGTACTGTTTAAAGGTTGTAAAATACCAAACAAGCTTTACTGATAACTAGTAAAAATATTTTTTCCCGGGCATCTATCAAGTTGTTACATCAAACCCCGGGTATCAAGCAAGATACAAGAATAGTATTATTATTGTGTGTCTGACCAAATGGATGAAAAAACTATGTGTTTATATTGTGTATGCAATGTATCATTACTAATTGATATAGGGCAGGGGCGAAGCCAGCTTTCATTCAGGATGGGGGGGGGGGGGGTCGCGATCGCCAAAAACTTTTCGGTTTTCAGTCACGGGGTTGCGATTGTTGCATAAACAAGCCATGAAAATAAGATTTATTTTGAATTAATCTTATAAAGCAAACAAGAATTCAAATACAGTGTACGTTACGCTAAAAACAAAAACTCCTTCAAAATAGTTTTTTGAAACCCATTTTAGAGTACTTCTCTCCTATAGACTATAGTGCAGGAAATAATTGTTTGGACGGTGGTCAATATTACATACACCCCCCCCCCCCTCCATAAAATTAGTAACAGGATCCCCTTTTCGGCCACCTATCTAATCAAAGCCTGATTATGATTGGCGATTTAGATAAATTCGTCAAATGTCACAAATAACTGAACTACTAGATCTAGCGTTGCAATTGAGGAAAGAATTAGATTTAAATATTGATATGCTTCGAAATGAAAACACACGATTGCCAATCTAATGGAAGGGGTACGTAATGAAGACGCGATATTGTGTTTACCGTCCATCGTCCATCGCTCGAAAAGAAAATCGCATTGTCCTGACCAATCCATCTCACAAATATCGCATTCACCTCAAAACAAAAATTGAATTCGTCTCCCATTTGAAAATTAAGAGATTTTGAAACGAAAAGAGTGTGAAGCTCTGTTTGAGCCTATTAAACACAGGCGAATGGTAATTTCATCATCATGCTCTGACACAGTAAAGTCATAGACATCTGAGCAACAAGCGATTTTGTTTGGTCGCTGTTTTATTGTTTTGTTGATTTTTTTGATGCTGATGTGTTTATATTATTCAATAAAATTTTATATTTCAAAATGTCATTAGTTAAGTCATTCGGATATTCTGTAGACTTATGATATAATACTTCTGGTTTTGTTTCATCATACAAAGTTTAGATATGGACTTCGAACTTCATATTTCATTGAAGAGAGTTAGGAATATCATGATCGGAATTGAATATGGCCTATGGTTTTATACCCTGTGACAACATGATATTAAAGGGTGACGCATATATTTTAGCAAATCGAACGATCGTTTATGGTGTTTCTCTCCGTTTAGTATAAAAGGCCCGATCCCGGAATAATACTCAAGGGTTCACAGGCTCGAGGTCGTTGTGTCAACACCTCTAACTGTTATATAGCATAAGTATATGTATAGATCGTCACACATTTATAAAAGGGTGATTTTTATTTTGACAAATCAATTCCACATTTATGGGTGAAGTTTCAGGATCGTCTATTTGTGTATAATAAGGAAAAATTGACATCTAAATTTCCCCATAACGTAATAGCACATAGCTTGGCATATGAAATATCCTACAAATGAAACAAATCAGTTCTAATACAAGGATTTATATTGGCTGTTGTACATATTCTTTGAACGCAATCACTCTATGGATAACGTTTTCAAAATCATTATAAACGGATTACTTTATCTCAAAGACAATTTCAATAAACTGGATTTTACAGAACTCCCCTTATTTCTTAAAAATGGACTGATCCAGGAGCCGCCATATTGTTTTTATACGGGAAGCTTATCGGAACCCTTTAACCTCTGGCCCTCTGAGCCCTCGAGAAATGTATCGTGTCCCTTTGGAAGGGTTGGTGCACGTCACCCCCCCCCGGCCAAAAAGTCTAGATCTTTCAAAAGCGTGCAGCTTTTCACCATTGTGAGCACTTTTCAAATACACCATTGACCATTCCAATGACTTAGCATCGGGATACCATCATGTATTTCACCAGTCCATGTTATGTCGATGCACCATTGAAGACTCCTCATTTTCCCAGAAAAACTCAAGTTGATCGAATCCCAAAAGGTAAAATCATGCCAGCTTTCAGTCGGGGGGGGGGGTGATGCCCAAACGAATTTCGGTTATCAGTCAGGGGGGTACCATTGTGGCTAAAACAGGCCAATAAATTTATTTTGGATTTTACAAATATTGATGCAACTTCTTTCAAAATTGAGCTAGAGGCTCAAAATAAAAAGCATTTTGATTTTACCCTTTTCTTCTTCTATCTCATAGTTCTATTTTTTATTGGTTATCGCACCCATCGTACCCCCCCCCCCCACTTGGTAACACCTATTGTTTTTTAAACAGGACATTAACACGCGGGAAGTCTCGGGAAGATATATTGTATTAATATCCCTCAGAATATTCCCTATATCCAAAACATTCCAGTGCATAACCCCTATGTACGTATTAACTTTATCATTTGAGAGGAGTTAAGCTACACATTTTAGAGACAAAGTGCACGTGAACTTGTAATATTATGACCCCTCCACATTGGTTTCTCCAGGGCCCCTAATAATTCAATATCCCTTAAACCCCGGGCCTTAAACATTTATCACAGAGTCCTAACTACGACCGTTAGTTTGAATTTCAAATTTGATCAAAGAAATTCCAAAATCAGAATCTAGCAAATCGCAATCTTGGCCACAATCATGTATTCGGACATCGCAAATACATCTATCGTTCCCAGGAAATTGTCATCATTCTTGTGCATAGCAGAGATGGCCTGAGTCTGAGTCTTAGGCCCAGGTCTTGTTGCACCATTTTCGTTGCCACATTCTTACAGGAAATATCGGAGATATATATCTACATAATAGTACTTTTTATTTTTATTATAAAGAATATGTTATCTGGATTGAGCATAAACTTAAACTTGAAAAACATCCGAACTCAACAACGACTTAATTATAGTGAATGTATGGGAGGGGGGGTAATGATTTCATCTTTTATTTTCTAGATTGGGCTCTAAAAGTAGACCTCTAATACGCCTTACTTTCTGGTCTAGACCAATAGTATGCCTCTTTTTAAAGGTTTTGTTATGGCGTAGACCTACCCTGCGTGCAGAGTCTAGTTAAACTACGAAGACGAAGCTCTCTTTTAAGAAGTGAAGTCAAACGAATGCAAAGGGTAGCGTAGACCAAATCATCTCCTTAAAGTTTTCTATTATAAGCATATAGACCAAAACTGCGCTTAAAACTTAACAATTATATATAGTCAAAATGACCATTAAAAACTCTAATGGTTACACAAGTGGCCATAAGTACGCCTCAAAAACTCAAAAAATTGCAAGCAACATCTGAGACTGACATAAAAGGTAAAAAAAATATTGTCCTTTATTTAAGTTTCAATAGATAATGTAGCTTGATCATTTGATTTCACTTGCTGTTGGATAGGATATGAAATGATTCAAAATACTAGTCCATGTCCGTGCGATTAGTGTCAATTCATATAGTTTTGATTACAATCAGAATTCTCAATTTTGAGAATTCACTTTCAAGTCACTTTTCCTTTAATCTATCTGTAATCACTAATTAACTAGATCAATACATACTCGATTTCCTCTGCCCACCAACAACACTGTTATGTAAGGGCGGAAATAAATCACTGTAATCTTGTAATCGGGCATTTGAAAATGACCCCTAAATTTCATCCATGTCCATGGTAAGAGCCAAGGGTAGATGGGGGGGGGGGGGGCTGGATTTCTTACATATGACTGGCCAAAATTTCAATCACATGCAGTTTTCATCATTTTTTGGACACTTTCAGAGAGCACTTTGAATCTCAGGGCCGTTAGATGGGGGTGTTCAGATATCACTATATCTAGGATGTTGATCTGACATTATTTATGCCGGTGTAAAAGGGTAGGAGGTCCTTTCAAATTATGGTCCTACTCTCCATTGATTAATATGGTGACCGCGATACAACTCTTTCCCTCATTATCTTATACACAATCAGGGCCAGTAAGGGCCGTTAAGAAAGGGGACCTTAATCCCCGGGGGGCCATCATTTCTTTCACACCGGGATACCTTCTTGCCTTTTCCAAGTCGGTATTTTTTACTTATCTGCCCGCTTATCTGATCTTGAATAATAGAAATCAAGATAGGATGCATCTTTCAAAATTCTTCAAAAATGAGATTGAAACTTCAAATAAAAAAAATTGAAAGCTCTTTTCTTCTATCTAATGGTTATGTTTTATAAGCTTTTTTTTTGGGGGGGGTGCCTTCGCACTCATCGCAACTCCCCCCCCCCTCCACCCAGAGAGAGAGAGAGAGAGAGAGAGAGAGAGAGAGAGAGAGAGAGAGAGAGAGAGAGAGAGAGAGAGAGAGAGAGAGTCCAGCGATAGTTTGCAAAGCGTGCTCACGGCTTTCCATGGAAAACATCACCAGTTGCAACTAGTCTCTTTTTTTCTTTTTAATTTTTTTTCTTTTTAAAGTTGCAACTAGTCTCTACAACTGTCACTGACTGAAGATCACAGACACAGTTACATGTACATTATGTCAAGGTGAACACAAAATATGCCCTTTTTGGAATGTTCAGGATTCACGATGGTCAGAACGAGATATCAATATACATGTAGATGAAAAATAATATTGATATAACTGAATACACTTAATTTGGCTCCCGTTTTAATTAGACGGATTGACGGAGCCAGAAAATCCGCCAAATTAAAATCCGTCAATTTTCAGTTTGGAATTTTTGTCAAATGCACTTTAAAAATTAATCTTCTGGGGGCCCTTTTCCTGTCAACTGAGCATGTCATCAACATGTCAGACATTATTCCAAAAGAAATACAGAAAATATTTTAGTAAATACCCGTCCTAATGACATAAACCATGGGCTTTCAAGAGAATCTTTTGATAGCCCATGCATAGACATAGACAAAAATTAAACTTCAGTCCTGATTCCGCCAAATTAAATAGCCGCCAATATTTGAAATTGAGCAAATTCGTCAAATTAAGTAGCGTCAAAATAAGTGTATCTAAAGTATCTGTAAGGGGGGGGGGGCTCAAGGCATAACGATTACCGAGAGATACAAATCGGAGAAATAGATGAGATGATGAATATGTATTGTATGTTTTCCAGTTAAATTATGTTATTTGTTATTGGTCCTAATATGATTAGGGACCACCAATATGTATGTGACAGTTTTGAATTTCAAAAAACGGGTAAAATTGGTTAAAGTAAATTGTATATGATAATCAGAGCCGGGATTCAGAGATACACAACTAGAATAACGAGAAATTAAAAATAGCCTATAGACCATGTAGACTGCAATCGTGGACTCTCTTGTTGAAAGCCCATGCTATAATCAAGGTAATTTTGGGACATCCCGTCTTTGAAGAAGCAAAAACGCAATCAAACAGTTAATAAGTTATTGTGTGATCTAGATTACAGATCAAAGAAATCAATTTCAAGATCATTATTACTATGTATTTAGTTCGTTGTATTTTTGAAAAGGGGTACAAGAAAACTATGTATTAATATATCAAGGGCAGGGTGCTACTGAATCTGATAGTTAAAGCTGGGAAAATGCTCTCCCCCATTTTGCAAATATTGTGTGATGCCAATGAACCCTGAAATTTTGTTTGTTCTGTTTTTGTTTTCGCGAGCAATCAACAAATATGTTTATGAAAATCTTGCGAGTCCAGACATATGATTCTCATTCTGTCTTGAGTGTTGATTAGATTTTATCCCCACTCTTCCGACGTCTGTGTCTCCCTCATTTTTACCCTATATTCAGTTTCTTTTTAAACCAAATTTACAAATATCCGTTCATATATATAAATCAGTAGTTGTTTATGACAAGATTATGTTTATAGATTATCAAAAATTAAGGAAGCGTATTCTGTAGTTTCAACTATATGTTAGCCCCCCTCCCCTTCGCCGACAGTAATGTATTGTTTAAAATAATACTGCATCCACCGGCCAATTATTCTTTCACCATTTTGAGCAGTTTTCGTGTGATTTTGAACAAATATCAAATTTGACCCCACCCCTGGAATAAGTTAGCCCCCCCTCGCCGACAGAGATGTCTAGTTTAAAATAATACCGTATCCCCTGGCCAATAATTCTTTCACCATTTTGAGCAGTTTTCGTGTAATTTTTGAGCAAATATCAAATGTGACCTCACCCCTGGAATAATTCAAAAGTCATCCCCTTAGCAAATGCTGGATTCGGCCCTGGTACTTGTCAATGCGAAATAATGGGCGTTGATTAGTGGAAATACCCATTTAAACAGACCTTCTTAATTTATAACAAGTTAACAATTAAGAAGCCATGTTGCGATGTACTTTTCGTGACTCAAGTCGGATATAAAGTGAAAACATACTCTTTTTGATTTGATATTTGAAATATTAACACGTGCGGTAAATTATAATTTAAATGTTTCCATATATAGCGCAAAATCTCACATGGCAATTTAATAACGACTAATTTTGTCTTGTGTCTAACCACGGCGTGCTTAGAGATTTCTAGACTCTAGTCACTCTCTGTCCACGCCAGCTCTAAGCACGTCTAAGCACGCCTAGAAATCTCTAGATACATGGAGTTCCTAGACCGACTAAGCACGTCTGGAAATTACTAGAAATTCCACATTTGATGCATTTAATTACAGCTTTTGGTGTTTACTCTATAAAATTTGACAAAAAGTAGGACTTAGTCATTTTCAGGAAACTTTCTCATGTATAAAGTCAATGGCAGGTTTTGTGATTGACAAGTTTCTCAAAGTTTGCCTTATACTTGATCATTTCTTGCAATGAATTTCTTGCATTACTAGATTTAAGCATTCCCTACATATTGCTCAATATATGTCAGCATCACATTTTTACAGTTTTTGAGATATTTGACGTCAAAAAACAGTAAAAATAAGTTATTCTTCAACTTGCTTCAATTTGACCACTTTTTTGAAAGTCACCTAAAAGATGCCAGGAGTTCACATTTACTTGACCTTCAGTGATCTTCGAAAGGTCAAAAAAGTTGATTTTTCAAATTGATTTTTGGATGTAAATTTTGGTCAGCTTATTCACAAAAGACCTTACTGAGCTCTGACTAAGTAAAATTTTCAAGGTCAAAGGTCATCAAACTAGGGTCACACAACTTTGCTATCTAAGTTTCTCAAAGTTCGAGACTACAAATCCAAATCAATATTTTGGTTTGAAAGTCAGGATATACATTCCTCTGAAGGTTCCAATCTGTGTGAGCACAGGACAGTGGGTCCTTTCATTCATTTCTAGTTATCTGTTTTCCTGGTTTGTTTGAAACAGAGACATGTTTGAAATGGGTAAACATTGCAATCGGTATGTTTCAAGGAGGCCTCTGGGGGAATGACGGCCTATGAAACCTAGAAAATCATCTTTATAAATTATAGACCAAGATATTATATTCCAATTTCAGGCCCGTAGCCAGGATTTATCGGGGGAGCGGATTTAACAAGGGGGAGTTTTTGCGAAACATCATGCGAAAAGAGCTCAGAAAAAAATCAGTGCAAGGGCTTAGTGCCAATGGAAGTTCCCCTGAATTTAATTGTTGTGACTTTTTCTTTTGGAGCTATCTCAGGAGCATCTGTGCTCACAATTCCTCCACCAGATATTGCAAAACCTCAAGAAAGATTTGCCCATGGGCTGCTTTTCTTTGCTTTAACCCACACATGATTCAGGGCTGAACAATGCATGACGTGGACAGATGAGCGCATCTTTATGTACAAGGAAGTGTTGCCAATTTGGAGGGGTATAGGATTATTCTTGCAAGAGTATGAGTATGAACACTTTACAGTACTGTCTATGCCATACCTGTCACACCTTCTTCCAATAGCCCATATGCCCCTTTTTACTGACTTTTGCAATGTTTTAAACTTGGGTCCGAGCTGAATTTTGCCTCACTTTGCAAAATTAATGATTATTCGGCCAGAGATGACTCCCTGTGAATGAATGATATTCCATTGCAAAGAAGAGTAATTTGGCTTTTTGGTACATTGAATTAAAAGGATGCAGTCAGCATTGGTTTTATGTTTTCGTCCAATATTGCATTGGGCTCCGTACACTGACTTTTGCAATGTTTATAACTTGGCCCGAAGCTAATTTTGGCCCACTTTGCAAATGGAATGATTACTCACCCAACCATGACCAAATATCAATGAATGATATATCATTGTAAAGAGGAGACACATGGCTTTATGGTGCATTGAATGAAATCAATGCTGTTATCACTGGTTTTGTGCTTTTCTAAGATAACAATCTGTTGCGTTTTTTTTATACGCACTGTAGAGAAAGAAAGAAAAAAATCGAGGGACAAAAATACCTTGAAAAGGAACGTATCAGAAGAAGACGATACTATGTGCCCCGTGCTGGGCTAAATGGAAAACAATTGAAATAAGATGATGAAAATCGCCGCCAGTGACATGCAATTGATCTTGCAAAAGTGGAGCACATCTAGTGAAAACGTTGGCTAAATCCTTATTCCAGTGAAGTAAACATTTGACATTTTTTTAAAGGAACGAAATGTCTTAGATTTAAGCGACGTTCTCTTTCATTTGCCTCTGCTATGAAGCATTTTATGTTTTGTTGTTTTGTTGTTTAAGAAGTTGTTATTGTTTGTAGTTGGTCATATCACGAGTTTATATTCTAAACAAATAAGTAAATGATATTGATCGAGTTAAAATGTTTTGATAATAATATTAAGATACGTTATTATTTTCAAAGTAATTTTGTATCTCTATTAAAAGATATAAAATGGTTTATGGTGACAATACAATGGACAGGAGCTTGTGTTTTAAGACTTTGGATATATACGAGAAAGATTCGGTGGATTAACAATTGCGTCAACCATTACTTTAAGCGACGTTGTTTCTGATTATTACTAGATGTCTTTGCCACATACAAATATATGATGATTTGAAAGCGAAATCCCATAGTTTCATTGTATGCCCAAAATAACTTTTCACATGTTGTGTTATACATCATGAGAATACATGACAGTGTTGCGTTTTGTAAAACAATTTTTTTGAGAAGCGACTGCATTTATGCATTACAACGTAAATATGTTATTTCTCGATTAAAGTGATAAGTGATTTCCCAAATGCAATTTATAGTTTTGTTTCTTAGTGATCTATAGAATAGAGATTACCAGAGGAAGACATCGCATATCAAGTTAGCTAAAATCCCCATAGAATAAAACAGGTATCGAGAACGAATCTTAAACTATACGCTTTTTATAATTTTACACCTCTTATTTTCAAAATAGTGTAACTTTTGATATAGAATAGTTAAAATGCCAAAACTTGGGGATTTTATAGAGGATACATAAAACAAAATCAAAATCTGAAAATAAATGCAATGAAACGAAGTTCATTTTTCAAAAGTTTGGAACCTTGGATGTCTCCTTATATATGGAATGACTGAAGAGATAGAGCTAATTAAATTATTAGAGAATCTAGACAGTGAGCTGGTCAACGGAAATAATCTCAATGCAGACAACTGTAGGAAATACGATGAAGCAAAATCTAAGCTAAATGACATTTATCAGTATAAACCTGAAGGGGCAATCCAACGTTCAAGGGCTGAATGGGTTGAAA